ACACAATGAGAAAGGGGGCGGCGGGGAGGGGAGGGAACTCGCTGGCGTCATAGGTACAGTATGTATCGTTGACAAGTGACCAGAAGGAACTAGTTACCTAAGGATGCAGCTCACTCCCTCAACATACCAAGCCCGGTGCATCGGCGCCTTTTGTCGACGTCTGGCTCAAGACTGGCCGGAGATGCAAGAACAAGAACTGTGGGAAAAGAGGGCCCAACGCCACCAAGACGGGTGACCGGAAATGGATCGGCTTGACTCCCATGGTGAAAAGAGACAAGGAAGGTGTGGTGTATGGAGTACGGACAGCTGTATACTCACTGTAGTGGTGGTCTTGGGTGTCTTGGATGACGAGTTTGCATTGTCGTCAAGAGGCTGTTTACTGATCCCGGGCGAGAGAATAAAGTCTCATGTCCAAGTCAAAAAGCTGTGATGGAATATGCCGACTGACAACTCCATATAGCTATACGGAACAAGGCCAAAATTGGCAGCTGGTGGCGCGGCTGAAGCCACCGTCTCAGTCGTCGAGTCTAGATCTGCCATGCAATTTCCTTCCTTGACGACTGCTGAGCAGACGGTGGGAATTGAGTAGCAATAGAGTACATGTACAATACAGCAATTAAAATTTTACATCTTGGAATAGTTACTGTAGTTGATGCCAATCTGCCAATTGGATCTGCATAAATTCGGCCTGCATCGGGAGCAGGACGGTCCGAAGAGGTCAAGGCGGCGAAGAGCCCTCAGCTCGGTCAGTGGAGTGGAACGCGGTGAAATGGGCTGCATGGTTATTTTTGTAAAAGGTCCAGAACACAGAGTTATGAATGTTGATATGAAAATCTTCCGTGAGTCTGTAAAGTGTATTCTGTAAAGGCTGAGTTCTGCCCTCGGCCACGCAACCTTGTGTTCCCCAACGCTTGTGACAGCATGTCACTGGTAGGTAGCCGCAGTGACATGCTTCCTGGGGTATTATTAATTGCTACTTGGGGTTTCTCGTGTAGTTGGATGCTACCGTATAAATTATACATGCAGCGGCCCCTCGAGCCGGCCGGGGGGAGCACAGGAAGCAGGGGAGGAGGAGAGGGGTACACATTTCAGATTTTGCATATTGTACCCTGCTGTCCCGTCTTGGCTGTTGTCATTTCCCATGCCCTCCTCGATCCTGGAGACGAGCCAGATCTCGTCGATGCAAAAGGTTCCAGCCCTAGCTTCAGGTACTAACCAACTAATTAACTAATTAATGAACTAACAAATTACTAGTTGGCACCTGTTCTTTCTGGGCCCCCAATTTTTCGAAATGGATAATGCCACAAGCCTTGTCTGCCTTGACGTTAGTTGCCGCCTGTATCCGTACTCTTCAAGTCAACTAACGTGTAAATGGACAGGTGGGTAAGCCCGGTCCAATCCCTCCTTCTTGTACGGGCCGAGCATGATAAATTAAAGTTTAAAGAAATTTCTCGCCCCTCCCCTCTTCCCCTCCTGTTGACCCCAGTTCTACCTCCTGAAGAAGTTGTGGTCAGTGAGACCGCCGCCCGCCCTGAAAAGCTTATTAGCGGCGACTTGCAACGACGCCCAACGGACCCCGGCCGTTGAGAGACGATCCAGAGCGCTGGGATGAAAGCCGATCAGTGGGCAGCAGACGTATCATGCACGATTCAGGAATACAAGACCGTAAAATTTCACGCGAGGGCGAGGGAGGGGCCTGAGTTATGCTTCATCAGGCTAGAATAGGCAGTACGGCCGTTCTTGCTGCGTTTTGCGTCGAGACCAAGGCAAAAGTCGTCGATCTATCCAGACATTCGTCAGTGGCGGCAGTTCAGTGGCTTTCTGGAAATCCTGGTCAAGGCCCCGGAATGGCAGGGATGGGTCAAGTCAAGCGCAATCAAGACAACTCATGAGACTTGGTCAAGATTGGAAGATCCTGAAAGAGAGGCCGCCAGAATACGTAATCTCATTGTCATCTTATGTAAACGGCGGGTGCAAGTGCGAAAATTACGCACACACAACCAACGGCCCAAGGTAGTGTCTGTCTGCTCCTGGCTGGCCGTTGAATAGGTATGACGTTGGGTTTCTTGCCTGCATCTCCGAAGCGCTTCGGACTCGACTCTTGAGTGGCCGGATAGCTCACAGCTCGATAATAGCGCCAGCGTAGTCTGATGTTTGGCCACGGGAAACCGAGCATCCGGGTCCTCTTGGAAGAAAAGCAGCTAACTAATTAAACGGACGAAGCATTGGTCACCAGGTGGACAAGCGCTAGTTATTTGCCTCTCGTCTCCATGATGAAATGAGCCAGACCGGGTCGGTGTAGTAGCTTGGTTGTTGCTTGTGACAATTTAGTTGGTAGGGCTAGCAAGATGGACATTGCTGAAAATAGAAGGCGCATGGAAGCCTGTGAAGAATACTGTTAGTCTCGATTCAGGCTCATGCTGACTGGGCTCTGACTCTCCATCCCTCATCATCCCTCCCTCCCCTCCCCTCTTTAACCGGTGAGTGAGTGGGCTTGGCCGAAAAGTTACAAGGACCACCACTGAAACTCTGAGCTCTGAACTCTGAACATCGGGGATCCTGCCTTTCTTGGGTTTCTTGGGTCAGTGAATTCGCTTGACCCGGGGGGCCAGTTCCAGTTGTTCGGGTTGTCTCCGTTCTGGGTATCCAACGCATTTTCCCGTCGGAGAACCATGTGCCTTGAGACGTTGTCTTTCTTGTTGGCCGCGAAGTTCCCCCTCGCACAGGTGGCTGGAATGGGTGCATTGGGTTCTTCATTTCTGACATCTGATTGGGCAGCAATGCATCTTCAACAACCAAGAACCAGAGCCAAACCCAAAAAAAAAGGAAAAAAAGAAAAAAAAAAAAAAAAAAAAAAAAAAAAAAGGGAAATGCCATGTGAGACTCATGTGGGGTTTTCTGAGCCCATGTATGTTGATTTGTTGTCGCATTATCATACCCAGATGGTCTTATGCAGGCTCGACTTCTGTACGTCGGCGGATCTTTTCTCTCGGCAGCCTGCCTGCCTGCATAATAAAGGGACGAGGAAGAGGCTAGAAGCGGAAGCGGGCTGAGTGACGCTCAAGTAAAGTCTAATTCATGTTTTTGTCGGTGAATTGTTATTGTCACTGGGACTCGCTATTGAGTCCCGGGGCCCGGCGCCGCCCATCAGCGGGCGCAGCTACGGAGGAGGCGGAGGTTCGTTCAGCCATGACAACTCGGTGAGCTTCCCCGATAACTCAATTTGGCGACATTGCCTCGGTATGCGGCCATGTATGTATGTGTGCATAGGTATACATACGTATGTAGTTGGGTGTTTGTGGCAAGCTTTCCCTTATCCCAGCTGGCGCCTGGCCACAATAAGCTTTCCCGTGTTGACTAGCTTTTGCTGGTGAGGCCATTCACTGAATGATGCCTGCGACGAACTACCGGGTTAGTACAAAGCATGTTTTGGCTCCAGAGGCAAATGTATACCCAAGGACGCAAACTCTCAGGAGAATGCGGCGCTATGATTCGTGGACATGGCCTGCGGTCGGTCATCCGCTGGATTAGTAGGAAAAGTATCGACTCCCTATTTTTTACTTTTTATTTTTACTTTTATTGTTAGTGAGCAAGTGACCATGTGGCCAACAACGTGAGACAAAAAACGCTGTACTTGCCGTGCTCACCGGTATGTCACTGGACAAGCCCCCTCCCAAGCCTCATTCTCATTTGGCGCAGCCAGCCGTTTTAACGTTTGAGTTTTGTAATTTGGGTCAAAGACGAATACTTTGGCCACAGAGCACACGACCAGTCATTGACCTTGGAGAATAGAATCACTAGAATAAACAAGCGTCGTCTAAATTAGAGTTGCGTCGTATGGGCAGTCGGGCCTGCTGCCCATGAAAACCTTGTGTCTATAGGCAGACGAATCGTGTACATATATGTATTAGCCACCGTTGCCTCCAAAACAGCAACGGCTTATTACCAGTTTTAATAAAAACTTCAACTGCCGCTCATTTCTACCTTTACCTGTTATCAACGACAACACCACGGCAGAGCCTCCTCATCAGCAGCCAGCCAGCCAGCCAGCCAGCCAGCCAGCCACAAGGACAAGATCCCGTCACGATAGCATACCTACCAACACCAATACCCTACCATACCATACCAACCAGGGTTACCTACAGTACAATCTCAGCTTCGCCTCTTCTTGCCTGCTCCCTGCTCGCCCATCTTGCATCACACTACGCCAACCAGCACGCCACTCATCCTCCTGCGCCGGATTATCGGACATGAGCACAAATCAAGCCTAGTCAGCCCTTGCTTGCCTGCTGTGGTAGTAGCAATACAACTGTGCCATCCGACTGTGTCTCTCGCAGTTGTCTCGTCTCTCTCTGTCCACTACTGAGTTTCCAGAGGCCAGAGGATCCCCTGAATTTCAACTGGCCTTGCCTGGATCCATCCAACCCACAGTTTGATCGCTGGAAAACCAACCCTTTCCTTTCTTTGTTCCCGAGCAAGGTTTCCAACACCCCCCCCCTTCCTTCTCTCCACAAGCCAGGCCACGCTCGCGGGTCCTTGGCCTTGCCTTGCCTTGCCTTGCCTGCCTGCATCCATCGCTGGTCAAGACTCAAAGTTGCCTGCCTGCAAGTACTGCGAGTACGAACAGGACAGAGCCCTTCAGGAACCGTTGTCTAACCGAGTTAGTTGCAACGATACAACCTCATCCTCTTCCTCAATTCTCACCCCTCTTCTTCTTCTTCTCTCACCCTCCACCACACACACCCTAACCCTCATTCTTGCTTATTACACGCCCTCCTCCTCCTCGTCTGCTCCTTCCTCAAAGGCGCCTTACATATAATAGTACATGCCCTCGCGCTTCCTCTTTGCAGGCACCAAACCCAAACTACGCTCTCTCCCCATCTTGCTAGCCTCATATATTCTTATTCATCTTCTCATCTTCCTCCCTTCCTCAACCTACCTCTCTTTCGTCTCTTCCCTCCTTTCCATACCCTTCCCACATGACAACATCGGTCATCACCATGCCTCACCGTCTACCTGATCCTGATTCCCTCGTCGCCGGCGTTCCCATCAGCAGCTCTGCCTCCTTGACTAAGACGGCAGCCGGTTCCTCCTCGTCTTCGCAGCCCATCATGGCCGATGTCAACCAGGCCCTCGAGATCGCACGCGAGAGCCCCGCGGGAGCCGCGGACGCTACCGTTCGCAAGATCCTCGATCAGGCCATCACGCATATCTGGAGGAAGATCCAGGCCGAGCCAGACTCGTACATCATGACGCGCGACGAGTTCTCCGTCTTCAACTACTTCCAGCACCGCTTCGTCGGCGACGAAACTGCGGTTGCGGCTCGCGCTCGGTACTGGAACAGCATGAAAGCTTAAAACGACGAAAAGACGACAAAAAGAGAGTTTCCTCTTGCGACAATAAAAAAGCCCCAAAAGTCCATTTTGACGATGGCTGACAACGCCACCAAATAACCCGTCCAAACAAGGCCACGCACGTCACGCCACGCCCTCCACAACACTGACTGCTGCCCTTGTTGGGCACACTCACACCCAACTTGCCCTCAAACTCTCAAACTCTCAAACTCTCAAACACACCTACGAACCAGGATCTGGTGATTCCTTCACTCGCCCTGTCCCTACCACCTGCTCCGTCCGTCCACCGTGCATCTCTTCCCACCGGTTGCTCGTCCCAACCCGCATGTCGCAACGTTGCCTCATGACCAGCTCAAGTAATGAAACGACGACTACAGGGCAGGAAAATAACCCCCACGATCGCCATTTGCTAGTGGAGCGGAGCACTAGACAAGTACCGGGCAGGTGGAAGACGAGGCGACGTAACAAAACACGAGAAGCCAAGTCAGGATCAAGTTTCTAGTTACTTCCTTCTCTTGTTTCGCTACATCGCCCTGACATTTCTCGGCGATTGAACCAACCATTTACGGTGCCGGCACCACCAGACAACCCCCCACGTCCACGTCCTGCCAAGACTCATGATGCAACACACACATCGCCACAACAGCAAGCACGGCCTCATCAGGGACACACGTCCTTACTTCCAGGGTATCCAATCTATCGTTACTGCCAGCCCGACAACACGAGGCCAAGAAAAGTCGTCGAGTCAGCATGTCTGAACTTGGTCGATGTTCGAGAGCCCGAAGCTGTCAGTCAGTGTACATCTGTCATCTGCTACACACATTGGTATCATGACTAAAAATGACATCCAAGGGCATGATGTTCCTTCATCTTGGCTTGGATTACTATTTTACGAGAACATGACACTATCTCTTTTTTTTTTCAGGTTGCATTTTTATCCCATGACGCAGCCTTGCTTACTCATGTTGCTTGCTGCTTATTATTATTGTTGTATTTTAGCAAGATTTGATGCGTGCTCCCATTGATGCGCAATGTCCTGATTAATGGATTAGACGCATTGGAGATGGGCACTACCTATGATACCCCCTACTCTTACACGAAAACCATTTTTTACAATTATTTATAATTCTTCTTGCAACTTATTTTCTTCTCGTGAACATCCAATAACTCTTGTGTGATTCCAAAGCATGCCGTCTGTTGGTATGAGCCAGTGTCTCGGCTCCGGGACACCCATCTCTTCGCATAATGTAACGTGCCACCGTTGGTGAGAGTTAAGGTTTGTGGTTCAGGAGACGCTCAACGTCTGTCTGCCTGTCAGCAACCATCACAGCCAGCGTGTGTGTGTGTGTGTGTGTGTGTGTCCTCTGGCCCTTTGGGAAAACTGACTGACTCGACACGGGAAATGGAAATTGGGGAAGCTAATAAAAATCACCAACTACGGGCTCCAGCAACCTGCACGGCCGCCACCGTACCGGCCACCTGGGTCAAGCTAACAACCAACGGCCGGCGACTTGCAAAGCTGAGGGTGTAGAGCTGGCGGGGAGCAGGCGGGATAAAAAATGGCACGAGAGGACCGGGCTAAAAAGAAGTTTTGGAACGAGTTTTGGAAAATCACGCAGCAATTCGGTCATTGTGACAAGAGGGACCACCTGCCATGTGGCCAAGACCCGAGACGGAAGAGCCCAGTAAGGGAAGGCCCTTGCTTTTAAATGACAAAAACTCTAAATTGCTGCCGGCTTCTAACATTTCTAGTATAATTTCCCAAATTCTTCCTCTTCTTCTATGCGACCTGTGCATAACCAACTCATGGACCGGAATAGAAGCCGACCAGGGTCTTTTCGGAATCTTGCTCTTGTCGTCTTTGTTGGCACTTCCCTTCCATCAATCTATTCCCGAATGCCTGTGCATTGTCCTGGATGGCTTCCATCCAGCGGGCACAGACCCTGACCCTCCTCTCTGTCTGGAAATTCCAATCTAAAGTCGTTGCATGTGGCACCCCCTCCTTCCCTCTCCTCGCCGTATATTCGTATGTCGAGGAGCCGGGAGCCCGGGGTTATTACCTGCTTGAGATTTCGCGGCAACCTGATCCTCCTCCTTGATCACATCTCACATTACCCATGTCGTCATCGCTTCTTTGTTCCTTTTTCCTTCGTTTTTTTTTCCCCCCCCCGATCGACGTGGTCTTTTATAGTCGCTTCATCAAGATATCGTCGCGCTGCACCACGCTTCCCACCGCAAAGTCGTGGAAGCCGATCCCCGAGTAGCCCAGCTTGGCGTACACCCGCGCCGCCGCGCCGTTCTCCTCCCACACGCCCAGCCACATGTGCGTGAACCCCTCGTCGCGGGCGACGTCCTCCGCCGCCGCTGCCAGACGGCGCCCGATGCCCTGCCCGTGGTGCGAGGCGGCGACGTATAGCCGCTGCAGCTCGGCAGAGGAGGACGCCTGGGGCAGCCGGGCGACGCACGGCTCGGCGACGGAGGTGCCGCGCGTGAGCTGCGCGAAGCCGACCACGGCCGGGCTGTCGGCGGTGCTGGACTCGTCCGAGTCGGGGCTTGTCCGCTTGTCCGAGTCCGGGCGGTCAACGGCCACGAAAATGTCCTTGGTGGCGTCCTGCAGCTCGGCGGAGATGAGGGGTTCCGTGTAGGCCGAGTCCAGGTAGGCCTGCAGCTCCGAGTCCGGCACGGAGTGGCCAAAGGTAAGGGCAAAGACGCCCCGGCCGATGCGGATGATGTCGGCCACCTCGGCCAAGGTGGCTTTGCGGATTTCAATCATGCTTTCCAAGGTGTCTGTAATGAATGTTGTGATAATTCGGGTGGAATATGAGTGTTAGACGTGATACACTCCTGCTCTAGGACATCCAACTCCTTCCTGTTGACACCGCCGCTCTTGTACGCTGCGTGTCGATCCTTATAAGTTTAGCGGCCCGTTGGTAACGACATTGTTGGCGCGCCCTTTCTGTCAAGCTTTTCTCTAGTTGGTCCTAGAATGCTCCAGATGGACAAAGCAGCAACCCACAAATAACGTTGGACGGCGTCTTGGTTCCGAGAGGAAAGAGTTGGGCCAACTGTTCAACTCAATTTTCTTTACTTGGGAACAGAATATCGAAAACAAAATTTCTATCCTCAGAGCAAAGTGGTACACTTACAAGGTTGTATCTAAGCGCCCTAACTTTCAGCGGCCCCAGTGGCCACACCATCAGTACTACAACATACCGAGCCTGTATTACATGGTGGCTAGAGTATCTAGCATGGTTGAAACCCAGATTGCCTTCAAAACTCGTCCCGGAAACGCCAGTAAAAGCAAGGTTTTGCAGGACTCTGGCCCAGTGCTGCCGGCCCGGCAATTGCCTGGCATGGCCAAGGCCGGGGGAACCAGGGTATCCCAGCATTCACGGTGACCGTTGAGTGGCAGATTCAAGTTTTCGATCCAGATGCTGTCCAGGGTATCCCGGGTTAATGCCATCAGCTCATGCTCCAGCGCCCCTCCCCTCTCGGGAACAACTTGGAAGAAGCAAGGAAGACTTCGACAAATATGGCGGGGTATTGCACGTGTCTCCTACCGCGAGGATGAAGTTGGGCGTTTCTGGGGTTCCGTGGACGAGCAGCTAATAAATCAGTTTCATTAGACAATACAAATAGGCTATATCATTGAGTACTAGCTGTTTGCTAGGGAAGGATGCTGCTCGATCCGGGACGCCACGGACGGCCTAGCTGATGGATAGAAGCATGTGATTGTAGGAGCATTCAAAGTGATGGGCCGACTTGACACCATCATGGCACAAGCTCTGTGCTTTATTTAAAATTAAAAGCCCGTTTTGCAATTAGGCAACACTATTCTTCGCATGCACCGGTTTTAGAGCTCCGGCAATACCATCCTCACGCGCACGGGCTTACATACAAGTTGATCGACATTCGCCAAACGGCTTCCCCATACTTTTCTCTTGTCTTCGCTTACTACACTGCAAGTAAGTAGTAAGCTTTCGTTATTGCATTGGGCGAAATTGAAGCTGAAGCTGATGCCATGAATCCCAGCGCTTGAAGATGGGCGTTTCACCAACGCCTCTCTCTGCAGGCGCCCTCCCGTTGGATGTTGTCATTCCGAGAAGGAAGCCCTTCCTTCCGAGACTTCCTCTGAATAAAGTTCAAATCTATGGACTATCCTCGCATGCCTTCTTTTTTAGGTCATGGTCATTAAACGACTCAACAGTGGCTCGCTCGACGCTCAGCCAGGAAGAGAACCCTATCGGTCAAATGACATGGGGGGTTCTTCTCGTGGATCACTGTTGGCAGGAATGATGACCTTTTTCAACCGTACACGCCCCTCCTTCGTTCTATCAGTAACAGGAAATAACAAGAAACACCCGTGAATAAAAACTCTATATAGTCGATGTTGATAACGTGGTCGCGCATTGTGCCGTCCTGAGACTTGTAAAAGGGCCGATGCTTCCGATGAACAGAAGAACAAAGCATGTCCGTTCACACACCGCTCTATATCTCTCCGAAAAGCTTACCAATGGACTTCGTATTGGTACGGGCCCTCTTGTGGCTGTGGAAATGAGAGTTTCCTCACGTATGCACAAGGGTAAACTCTAAAACGGGTGGTTCGGTTCCGACTTCCTTATCGGAAGCTTCGGCCTTGATTACACGGTTTGGAGAGAGAGAAGTTGTCGCAAAATTGATCCTTCGCCCAGTGCTGAAGCAGACGATGCGGCTGATTATGGGAGATTAAGTTGATGGGATGGCTTGGGTCGGAGAGACTGCTCCGCGGACTTAATTGTAAGTTTGAGGGTGCAGCCGAGCTTGTCTCGCTGCTTCTTCCTAGAATGGTATCGCCGCTCTGTTTCGAAGAGTCCATGCACATTGTACATGTCTTGTGCAGTTTGATCACTCGTGCTGACGTACCACTCCCATAATCCTGTCCAGTCTGTGCCTTTGTCGCAGAGTTGAGCGAGGGGCACGAAGCCTCCCGGGTAGGATCATGTTGGGCGTAGCGACAAGGACTCTATATCCATGTTAATTCCGATATCGAGATAAGTAGGCTATGTTGGCGTTTGACGATTAAAGAAAGATTCCGTATGAAATATATTTCTTTATCGGCTTGTATACAAAATTTGGTCGCGATATACGAATCGACAGACACAGCCCCTCTCCATCATCCTTCTTCCCCATCCGCCCTGTATATCCGACCAGCGCCGCCAGCTTCCCCGGCCCTAGGCCCAGCTTCAGTGACGTATGTACTGTATGTAGTATCTAGATGTCAGCCGTCGGAAGTCAGGGGTTATTAGCAACGGCCGGGCAGGTAGGTAGCTCAAGTGTACCACTTAATCATCGGGGGCAGATTGAATCAGTAAAGTCATCGCTCATCCAACATGTATTTTTTCTTTCACCTAAAAATAATAAACAATTTGACGGCGTAACGGTTGCATGAGTGTCTGCGCCACAGTAACACCGCTGCGAGAACTTCCTTCGTTGCTGCTCTGTTGTTGGGCCAAATCATTGTCAGCGTTTGTAGCACCTCAACATTAACTGTGTATCATTGTATGCAACTACGATCTTCGTCACTTTCTCGAGATCAATATAAAAAAAAAAAAACGCAACGCAACGCAACGCAACGCAACGCAATCGCTTAAACCCCAACAGGCCACCAACATTTACATCATCGAGAGTACCCTGTTTTTGCCAGTGGCTGCCCGACCCCACAAAGCTCAATCGATCGCATCATCGATTGCATCGAACCGCCGAATCTGCCGAACCAAGCTTTTAGGCAGCTTCTTCTTGCCTACTCTTCATACACCTATTCACTGCTCTTCCAGCATCATTTTCCCTTCAAAGACAATTGCCTCTCCAGCATTCGTCGCTTCCAGCTACCTCCCTCCTTCCCTTGAACTTGACCTCAAACAAGCCGCCCAATCACACATCCATCCAATACCATGTCGGGCTTCTTCAACCTCATCCTGCGCGGCTTCGCGCTCATCTGTACTATCATCATCACCGGCCTCATCGGCAACGTCATCGCCCAGGACTACAACGCCTCCACCTCCGCCCGCGCCGCCGTCAACTTCACCATGTTCGTCGCCGCCCTCTCCTGGGTCGTCTGCCTCTACGGCATCCTCGCCACCGTCATCGGCAGCCTCGGCCGGCCCCTCATCCTCACCGTCCTCGACGGCCTCGGCGTCCTCTTCACCTTCATCAGCGCCGTCGTCCTCGCCGCCCGCATCGGCCACACCAACTGCGGAAACGTGATCGACCGCCCGGCCAACTGGATCGCCTACGGCTCCACGAACCCGGTGCACCGCTGCCGCGAGCTGCAGGCCAGCGACGCCTTCATGTGGTTCCTCTGGGCCGCCCTCTGCGGTGCGCTGTTCTTCTCGCTCACCGAGATGCGCAGCCCCATGGGCGCTGCCCGCTCCTCCCGCCCGGCCATGTCTCAGGTCTAAGTGCCACCATCTGGACTAATGTTCGACGCGAAGGCAACCTGCAGTCACAGACGAGCTCCTTCATTCAAGCACATGACTAGTCTCAGCTCTATTGTCGTGACTAATTCTGTTCGCGGGGTCCAAGAGTCAGCCTACCTAGACCGTCTAGGATACACGATCTCTGGTATATGAGTTTCCCTGACGCCGTTTATGCCATCTTTCATCGACACTTTCAAATTGCGGGATAGTTATGATCTTCTGTTCATCGTATTTAATAAGCGCATCCTATTCAAACGTTAATATACTGCTTTATTTTAACTTGTTTAATATTTTACTAGTCAAGTTATTAAAAATATAATCAGTATGAAGAAAGCAGCAGGGAATGCAGGAGGGAAAAACGCCAATTTGCCTTGGCTACAATATTAATAACTACATAAAAGAATCACACGACGATAAGACGGCACAATCAAGGAATGTATTGTAGCTAGCATTGCAGAGCACTAGATACAATGATTGTTTAAGGGAATGTAAGAGATGCGTTAAAAGGAACGAGAAAGTATATAACAATCCGCGCGACAGAAATGCTGCTGAAATTAGCCAGATAAACTGACCAAGTAGATGAAAGTGATACATGATTTCCATAAGAATGGACTTGAACCTGTTTAAGAGCCCTTAATTGATAGCAATGCGACGAGGCTGGGGCTTTTTCGCCTTGGGGACCGAAACGGAGAGTACACCATCCTTGAATCCTGCAGAGATGGCGTCCTGATCCACGGGAGACGGAAAGATAAACGAGCGCGAGAACTCGCCAACTTTGCGTTCGCGAAGCCAGTACTTTGGCTGCTCCGTCTTTTCGATGGCTTTGGGTGACGCTTGTGCCACAGTATCTCCCTTTTGGTCGTCACCTGCTTCGGTGATGGTTGGCTTGTTCGAAACGTCTTCGACCCTGTCAGCCGAGGACGACGGCTCTGTGCCTGAATACGTCCGCTCGGACTTTCCGCGAATGACCAGTGTCTGGGGCTGGGGAAATTCGATGTAAATGTCTTCCTTTCTCATGCCCGGGAATTCTCCATGCAGCTCGTATTGGTCACCGCTTTCGCCAACGTCAAACTTTGGCTGCCAGAAAGCAGAACCAGGGTGGCTATCATGGACAAGGGAAGAAGCACCTCCCTGACGACTGTAGTTGTCGAACTCGTCAAGGAGGCGGAACAAAGGTGTAAAGGATGACGAGCCGTCGCTGTCGTACAAGGTTCGTGGGAAGAGAGACATAGTATATGGAAGTATTCGTGTTTGTTGTTTAGCGTTTCTTGTTTTGATGACTCTTTGTGGTTTAAAGTGTGAAAGTCGAGTTAAGCCAGCGAGAATCAACGCGACCTTTATATCTTTCTAGCCTTGCATAGAAGTTACAGACGATGCGTAGGTATAAAGGCGAGAAAGGAAGCGACAGCGTCATATCGAAACCATAAGAAGAAAGTTAGACGGGAGAAGTCATGGAGGAGACGGGAGAAGTCATGGAGAGAAAGTTCGAGACGGGAGAAGTCATGAGACAAAAGCTCGAGACGGGAGAAAATTACCGAAACAATTCGAAAGGAGCGACATGTGATGGTTGATGCAATAAGATGCGATGTTATGCATGGCTTGGTGGGGATCCTGTCGATGGCTCTAGAAGCTGACGATGGCTCTAGAAGCTGCGGTGATGCAAGCTTAATGGAGCAACCAAAAAGAGTAATAACATGCCCTCTGCTACATTTTGCGGACTTGATACGATATTTTAGACCTGTTGTTACGCCATAACTGGCCAAATTTTTGTTTTGGGATATTTGGTCGCTTCGCGGTCGCCTGCCGTAGACGCCGCCTGGATGTCGTTCCTTGATGATTCTTCATCACTGACAGGCATAGGACGCAGGAGCCGCCTCGTCGGTGACGAAACGCATCGCTGACGCGAGGAATAGGGCTCACTCTTGATAGCCGAAATAATAACAATACAGAGGCAGAGATCCCTTGTTGAGTCCGCATCACAGGGGAAATTGTATAGAGAATTTCATTCTATGCACCTCAGACTCTACAGTATATTGTGTGTAGGGAAATACACTGGTGTTGCTTTGTACACGTTAGCTCAGGCACTGGCTTCTTGTCACCCGCCTGGGCGTCGCCACTAATTTCAAACATGGGGCCGTATGCGCACATCCGATTCACAGGAAAACTTTCGTGTTTTCCTTTAAAGACTAGATTCAGCCGCCGTGCTATTTTGTGCTCATCATCTTGAGAGCTACAGGTATGCATGCTTCGCTGCGGGGGTGGCTAATAATATAATGCACTATGTACCTATCTGTTCAAGAAGGCGGCTAGTATAAACAAGGTGAAAGGAAGCATGTATAACAATAGTTGCAAAGTAGCTGTTGAATAGTAGATAATTCTTAATGATGACAATATTAACCACCAAGGGAGAGAAGTCCTCCCTTGGTAGCTCCTCGCTACATTCCCGCGTCTTTCAAGCAGCTTCCACGCACCATGATTCGTATGAGAATGCAAAGAACCCTGTTGAACAGCTTCATAAATTTTGCCTAAAATATGGCTTCTAACCAGATTATATACCCCCAACGCCAGAGAAGCAAACAGTGGGCGGCAAGCAGCGTCGAGTGCTCCATCCATGGAGCCGGGCTGTGAGCTGCCATGCAATGTCGTAGATATATACCACAGCCAAGACTATAACGACCGGGCAGCTTCCACCGCTCCAACCACGTTGAATGCCTTTTTATCCGTGAATCGGACCTCGACGTCGTGAACCCAGCTCATGTATTTGGCCCAGCCTGCAAGTCAACAGTTAGCATACCTAATTCTTCATCTACCGCGTGAATCAGACCACCGCCGGCAACTCTCGGGGTTACATACTCCAGTAGGCAAACTTGCGGCCGAAGAACTTGCCCATCCATGGTACTAGTACCATGGTGAGCAGCATCTGCACCTGATCTAAGCTGCGCTCCCATTCCGCCTGCGCGTCATCCTCGTCGTCCGAGTAGAGTTCCTCCGTCGAAAGAGACGGCAACGAGTCCAGCTCATCGTCCTTTTCCAGAAGCGATGTCTGCGACACCATGTATAACGATTCGTCTGCAGCGGCCATGGCGGGTGTGGATCGCGTTGAGAAGATGGGGTCGGTCGGAAGAAGAGAGTCGAGCAAAGGGGTTTGTGTCGGTGGAGTGGTCCTTGTCCCTATTCTTGTCTTTGAAAAGCGTGGGTTCGACGCTGCGGCGTCTCTTGTCGCCCTCTTCTTGCCTTCGCGCCTTCGTAAATACGCGCGGTTCACGGCGAAACTGTCGGGCTCCTAATGTCGGAGGAGGAGAGAAGGCGGCGATGTTGAGCGGTTTGCTTCGGGAAGTCTGGGGTAGCTCCCTGATGTCGCAATCTAATTGGCTACAGAAAGCCTCTGTGGGGCCTCCGGGAGCTCACCGGCGGTTGTTTGAAGATCGACTGGCTGTTTCTACATTGACGACTAGAGCCGTGCTGCATTACTTACATGTTGAATTGGTAGCTCATTGACCTAATCAACTTCGCTGACATGGCGGAAAGGGTTGCCAAGCCTCTTCTTGCCCCAACATCCATGCGAGCTCAACTACCAACACTAACACCCCCTAGCAGTCTACCCTAGAGTGAGGTAGAAAGTTTATAGGAGGTTTACAGAGGTAATCGCTTAAATAGCTCTGCCTATCTCTTTAAAATGTTTATTTTAGTTAGAATCTAGACTTGAGGCTTTTTTGGTACAATTCTCTCCACGTGTGTTGTAAAATAAGAAGTGTAGTTTAATTAGCTTGCATGCATCACAACCTAAGCCTCTAGTTGTGGCCGGAAACATTTGCACTACGTGATTCACTACCACAACGCGTTCGTATCTAGCACAAAGTTCCGAAGCATCAGACAAAAATAGGCCAATAGACGAAAGAACAAAGAAACAAGAACAAAACATCTTGTCTACTACGTTACTGCATCAGCACAATATCAGCGTCTGTTTGCTCGTCACTTTGCTGCGCGGTTCCTGGACCCACACGTGACCAGGTAGCTTCCTTTAAAGACTTCGTTGCATTTGGCAAACAAGAAAACCAAGGCGCATTCATCCCTTTGCAAACAATCCCACACTCGGCAACATAATCGACGAGCTGCCAACCGGACCAAACCGCCCATTTAAACAGTTCTTGCATCATGCCGTCGCCATCGCCGGCACGAGGGCGCTTTCGCTCGCGATCGCGGTCGCCCAAGCCCAACAAGGACCACAGCGCCCGGTCGCGGTCGCCCTCTCGATCGCGCAGCCGATCGCGCTCGTCGGCGCGCAACGGTGGTGGCGGGGGAGGGCGCGGCCGAAGTTACAGCCGGAGCAGGAGCCGCAGCTACAGCCGCAGCCGTAGCTACAGCCGCGGGCGCAGCTACTCCAGGAGCCCGAGTCGTCGCAGCGACAGTCGCAGCTGGAGCCGCAGCCGCAGAGGCAGCGAGGGCCCCTTGGCCAAGAGCACAAAGGTACGTGCCGCCCCTATCCTCCCCGAACGGTGGTGTGGAACGTGTGCGCTGACCTTGGAGGGCGGGGTAGATTGTCGTGGAGCGTTTGACAAAGACAATCAACGAGAACCACCTGTACGAGATCTTCGGCATGTTTGGCCGCATCAAGGACCTCGATCTCCCAGTGAACCGAGCCTGTAAGCTATCCCTGTGAAAACCCTCAACACCCTGGCACCAATGGCCCCTAACGAAAGTGACAGTCAACACGAATCGAGGCACCGCGTACATTTTGTATGACCGCGAGGCCGACGCCGAAGCCGCCATTGCCAACATGCATGAGGCCCAAGTCGACGGCGCCACGATCCACGTGTCCATCGTGCTACCACGACGCAAGCTCTCCCCAGCGCCGCCGACAGCCCGGCGCGGCGCGAACATTGACCCCCGCGTGCCGTTCGCGGCTGGCGGGCGCGGAGGAGGCGGTGGTGGTGGTGGCGGTGGTGGCGGCCGACGTCGTCGAGGCGGCCCGCCTACCTCCCCGGGAGGCGGTAGCAAATTCGGACCTCGCTCGGATGTCTATCGACCCGGCGGCGGTGGCGCCGGCGGCTCGTCGCGTTCCCGGTCACCGCCGCCTCCACGGGGCAACGGTGGAGGAGGCAGATACAGGAGCCGCTCGCGCGCCTCGTACTCTTCGCGGTCACGCTCGCCGCCGCACAGAAAAGGTGGCGGCGGCGGCGGCGGCGGCGGCGGCTACGGTCGTCGCAGTCGCAGCGTAGACAGCCGCGATGGCCGCGGTCGAGGCGGATACTGAGTTACGACCGAAGCAAGACATGCTGGACAACGGAACGACTGGTATTGTTTGGAGATGCGTGGTTTGTGTATAATACGCTTAACAAAAAAAGGATGCTTGCTTGCTTTGCTTGGACCGGAGTACCGAAAGATCACACAAACGAAAAGGAATTTGGCATGGACTGATCTGGCGTTGGGGAATGTATTTATGGGACGAGCGTCTAGGAAGAGACGTGAGAGTCACTGCGCTCTCTGTTTCTGATTAGGCAGATAATCTGAAGGACATGATGCCTACTATTGACCACGTAAGCACTCACATATGCCTGTCAAAGGCTGTCTTTTTTCTGCTGCCCTCTCTATTACTGCTTCGGAGAAAGTCGTTGGCTATCTACCACTTCGATACAGGTATGTTCATTACTATGTTCAATCCGCAAACGCCATTGTGTCTCATCTATCATTCCACGCTGCGTATCCAAAGAAGTTGAAGCCGGTCCTACAGTAGTAGGCCGGCGCCCAAGACACCCAACGCCGCCACGGCCGCATGGACGGTCGGCGCCGGGACGCCGGGGTTCTCGCTCGACTTGGACTTGCCGCCAACGGCCGTGGTCGTCGTCGGCGACGCAGTGGCGCCTCCCGTGCTGCTTGGGCAGTTGGTCGTGCACGGCAGCGCTGAAGCGAACGGGCTGCTGGCGACGCTTACGGGGAAGGCTGGCGCTTGGGTGGGCGCGCTGGCGTTGGGCGCCGCGGCGGTCGCGTCTGGGTTGAGCACGTCGGCGACGAGGTGCATGATGCCGTTGGCGAGTAGGATGTCCGGCTGGACGATCTGCGCGGTGTTGACGAACTTGTTGTTGCCCTCCTGCCGGACCGTCAACCCCGGCGCCGTCCCGTTACCACTACCACCGGCGCCCAGGGTAGCCAGCACGCTGCCATTGGCGAGGTCCGCCGAGGACAGGACCCGGCCCGGCACGACGTGGTAGGCGGCGACGCGCGACAGCGACGCGCGGTCCAGCGCCCGCAGCGAGCCCCCGACCAGGTCGACGGCGGCGTCCCGCGGCGCGAAAACGGTCACGTTGGGCCGGTCGCCGACGTCCGGCATCAGCCCTGCGGCGTACAGCGCGGCGACGAAGGAGCCGGCCTGGAAGGCCTCTGCGGTCTGGCGCAGCGGCGCGGGCGGCATCAGCAGGTGGTCGACCACCTGGACGCGGCCGCCGCGGAAGTCGAGATCGCGCTCGATTATGGTGCAGCGCGCGCCGAGGCCGCTGGTCAGCACGGCGGCGTCGCCGGGCTGCCGCGTGAGGAGCACGTTCTGGCCGGCGGTCACGTTGGTCCACGCGGGCGCGGCGGCGCCGGTCAGCAGCGTCGGCTCCAGATAGGTCGGCCCGGCCTCGAGGTCCCCGACAGAGACGCTGCCCCGGATGACGTGGTACTGTAGGAAGGCGGTCGTCTTGGCGTGGTCGTTGGGGTCCCAAACGCCGTTGAGGGAGGTGTAGGGGATATCCTCAAAGGCCTTGTCCGACGGCGCGAGGATCTGGGGGCACGGCTGGATGAGTATGCGCTGCGTTGAGGGATGATGAGTGTGGCTCGGGAAGTGTAGATGAAGCTTACAGTCACGCCATTGTAGCTAGGAAGTTCCAAGAGTACATCGGAGTTGTTCTGCGGGTGTTAGTGAGGAGCTGTTGATGAGGAACGTGGTATAAGCCTGCCTACCTTGATCAAGTTGTAAAAAGTGGTCAGATTTTGATGCTCTTGGAGAACGGAGCCCAAGTCGTTGGAAGAAACGGCAAGCGCCACCCCGGTAAACACGGCCAGTGACCAAGCAGCAAACCGAGCCATGTCGGGTTGAGCGAGCGAGTGGTGATGTCGTTTGAGATATTTTGAGATGAAATGCCGTGAGCACCTTGAGATGGCCTTTGACAGGTGTATTTGAACCCGTCCAAAATGGGAAAGCACGATGCAATTCTCACCAACCACAGGTGAGCCAGCTGAGATTTTGTAATCCGGGGGCAACGCTGAGCGCGGCCGTACGCTCCGATGGTGATGGTCGGGGCAGCGCACGAACCGGCCTGCTTGTCCGTCCTGTGTCACCGGGGTTTCTTTCGTCCTCGGCAACACACAGGAGCGAGTGGGAAGCACAGCAGCGCAACACTATGCGCTCCGAAACCTTCTCGGCCGCTGTGCGATCTCTCTCCGTGATATTCCCAGCGCAGTATTTGCCCGTCGCGTGGTTCGGGAAACAAGGGGGCGCGATTTGCGCGTCCTCAGAAATCGAAGCCGGTAAGAGCCGGTATGAGCCGGTATGAGCCCGTGTAAGGAGATGGTATGGATTGCGCGGCTGCCTTGTAAGCCTTCTCCGCACTTTGAATGCAAGTCGTAGCGTGCACTGCTACGCGAGGCAAGAGGCTAGATCTAGATGTGCGCGAGATTTTGAGCCCTGGAAACCGCCTGTTGGCTTTGCGCATCGTCGGGGTAGCATCGTTTCATTGTGCATCTCACCGCCCAACAGCTAAGACAATGAACAGCAGATCAGCGCGGCCCAACGGGCAATGAATGGAAGAGGGGTTGCGGTTTCGGCACACGCGCTAACAAGCATGAGAATACGAGATGGCCCGTCGCAGGTACAGGCTGCAGGAGTTGCAGGATACGAAGAGGGGAAAGAAAAAAAAAGAAAGAAAAAAGCTGCATCCGAAACCCTAAGCAAGCCACAAAAAAAAACGTGAATAATATCTCATGGGTGTGATAAAACGGCGCGATCTGAGTACCGCGACGTCGGGCTCGAGACACGTTTGACAACGGGGCGGCTGACGACATCGGGCCGGCGCCGGCATCGTGTCCCTTTCGGATTGAGGAACGGGGTGATGGCGTAATGAGCTTGTTTTAATCTCTTCACGACATGCATCGTCTTTTTTCTTAAACTACTATCCGCAGCGTCAAGCGTTTTGCATGATGCAACGTGGCACACCCGTCAATAATATCGCTGGCGTCTCCGAGACAGGGCTGCCAGACAAGGTGATGGTAGTGAGACAAGCTCGGGAGATGAATGATGGAGAAAGCCGGTTCTTGCATACGCATCGTTGATCTACAGCAAGAAGGTCGTGATACCCTGTGCGTCCTCACCATTCATTACACGGACCAAGGCATCGCCAGGCACTGTTGGCCGGATGACGCACTTTGTGTGCAGGTATCTGCAATACGGCATCTTCTAGGCAAAGACCGAGCCCGGTGCATAAACAATGCTCGACCAGAAGCGCGGTCTCAGGCCAAGCTTGTTTGATATCTGGATGTGGCTTTCAAGCGTAAGATGCAATTCTGTTACATGTTGTTAGCCGGGAGAATACGAGGGACTTGATGGGACAGCGGTCCACGGCAAGCACAAGCAAGCACAAAGAACCTCTGGCAAATACATGTACAAAACTCCAAATCAAGAATGTAAACGAGATGAGCGAAAAAGGGTAATCGGTAAGGTGAGACATGTGCATTAACTCACACGTTTTTGCAAGCCACTTGCATTTCGGTTGATAACCCATCGTCCTCTCTTGTTCTCGACGTCCCGTATCGGGCTCCGTGCGCAGGCGTGAATAAGACTGAACCCGACAAGGCTCGCATGTATGCGTTGTACATGCAAAGCCTTGCCTTGCTTGTGTTCCCACAATGCGTTCCCACAACGTGGTTCGCGGGCTTCTTTTCCCTCGTTTATTACCAGTACGGTAATCAACGGCTATCATGGCGTGAATGTATGACAAGGAAGCAACAGCCCATGGACCATTGGGAATTCAGGAATTGACCATGTTCCCACCATGATAGCCTTATGTGCCCCATTCCCAGGCTTCCGGCGCCGCTTCCGCTGCCCATCAGACGTGTCGAACCTGGCCCACGTTAGATACAGATTAGAGATACCCCCTGCAAAGCAGAGCTTTTACTCGTCTGTGGCTTTTTGTTGTTGGGTGCACTAGTGTTATCCGAGTGCTTGCATATACGGGAGGCTGGGCCTAATATGTTAGTGATAGGCGCTGCACGTTGATGTTGGCTGGCCCGTCCCGACAAGTGGGTACGCAATATGCCTCTTTATTCCCATGGTTACATTTTCCAGCATACCGGGCCCTTGGATGGAAAGAAAACACGACAGGGCTACAATCAATTGCGCAAGGCGGGAGGAGAGAGAGCAACCTGGCAGTTGTTGCCGCACCTGGGCTGGACCGCTCATGCCTTGTTTGCTGATGCGTGGGGTGCCAGCTTGGCCAAATAATAACTGCCAGCATCATATGTGCCTTATTAAACGGTCCGATAGATACAAGCCATGAGGTGGTCCGAATGGCGCCAGGACGTCTACTCTGGCAACGGAGGTTGTCCAACTTTATTAGGCTTCGCTTGAACGCCGATTACTCTGGATCGACCCTCAAGACGGAGTTTTCATAAAGGTGACAAGTCATTGGCAATATGTGAGAGACGGCACTATGCTGGCGGCGCCGATTTGACGAGCGCTCTCGTAGACGTCTTCTGTTGCTTTAGAAGCGCCGCGGAGAATGTCTTATGAAGCAGACATGCTGTATGTGTGCCTTGACAACAATCGATCGGACTGCGCGTGCGCCAGAATGGAGTATGGCCTGCGGTATGACACAAGACGCTGATATCAGATCACCTCTTCCATTTTTCCGCTCCTCTCTTGCGGACACTCGGTACAGTTCAGCTGGTTCGGTATTGAACTGACCGAATTAAGCTCTTGAGCCATGGACAAAGCCTGATGAATTAAACTTTGAGTCCCCGTTTCAGTTTCCTGGTTTTTATGCCACCTTGTTCACGGGCCACCAAGTCACCTGTCATGATCACGATCCACTGGCCCGGTAGGGTGCCAAGTCGGACCTTCTCCGGAGAGAGTTGCCAGTAACCGAGCAGACATTATTATATTTGTAGAGGTGGTCCAGGTGCCTCTTTCTGAGATAACTCTGCGGTGCCCCTCTGTCCAGCGCCAATCTTGGGACTCTAGCGTGGCTAGTGGATCAAAATGGAAGCCCGCTAGAAAACTTTTGTCTCTTCGCAGAAGATGGGCAACAGGGTCGCAGAGAGCCATGAGAAGTTCGTTAGCATCCGATGGATTACGGGACTGAATATTAATCCCTTGGTCTCCATTTTGGCGCCTTTCCGTTCTTATAACGGAAAATATACCGATTGTCATCAACTAGGCACGCCGAAGTGGTCGTAGTTCCGAGTGGCACTTTGCCATGAGGTTCTGAGGTTAAGCTATGTCTATGGCTGAATTAGCATTGCGGCGTAAATGATGATGGCTCTGAACGCGAAACTGTGTTCGTGGCTGGGGGGTTGAAGCGCCGAAGAATTTATGTGGTGAGTAGGTCGTATTGGTGTGTGTGAGCGGGAAGCGGAATTGATTTGCGAACCAGCCACCAGGGGCGCCCCGTCTCTGAGCAGCGAGAAGCGACATGTTCTCTAGGGCAGTTGGATGGGACTTGCGTTCGCTTTTGAGTTTCGTTGACGATTGGACAGCGTTCTTGCTGTCCCTGTGGCTTGTCGAGGCACCAAAGTGCCCAAGCGTGGGCGGCCGGGAGCGCGGAACTTGCGAAAGCAGTGTATCAGGTCGGCTTGTTGTCTGTGCTGAGCCGTCATGGTGACGGCTGCCAACAAACGACCAAAGCAGCCGGGAATCAAGATGACGGGTGAGGCGGCGTCGGAAGAATTTGCCAGACTTTTGGGAGCAGTCAGTAACCGGCTTTGAGGGGAAAATACGAAGGCTCTCGCAAACAGTAATGTCTGGCTTGTCGTCTGATGTTAGCGCTGGTGCTGGAGACGCCAGAATAGAAACAATGGACTGACTGAGAGAGGAGGACCAGGAAGAGGGGAATGGATGGCGGAGAGGGGAGGGCGTGGGCGACATGGTAGGCCAGGGGAAAGCGAGGGGTGTGGATGTAATCTAGCCATGGTTTTTGACTCCCTAAAAAGGCAAGAGAAAAACTGGCCCTGGCAAGCCACAGAAGTAGAGGCACCAGCCACACCTCATGCCGCTTTTCCAATGGCACCGAGTTGCTGCTTTAAATCTGATGTCAAGTTTGCGAGGAGAACTATGTACCTACCAAGCAAGCTAAAAGACTAGGCGAAATGAACAAAAGAGGCACTGGAGGAGGGATTAATTTAGCGTGATGGTAATTCGTCAAGGCTCGCTCCACAGAGTCTGAGAAAGAGCCTGGTCCCTGTCCAGCGCGACAGATATTATGCAGGTCTTCAGCGGATCATGGTCTGCGCTGAGCTGGAGGGAGGGGCTGTGTGCTGCCATGTTTCGCCTCGCCCTGTTGCATTGGATGGATGGGATAGGTTCTAGCTCTGTTAGCTGCTAGCCCTACCTATTTTTGGCCTGGATATGCAAGCATAGCTATTCACCGCTGACCGACCGAGGGACTATCGAGTCTCGGTTGTTGGATAGTATGGCGCTTACAAGACGATCGGCCAGCGCAGAGCCAGCACGGGCGGCCGACGGACATGACCGGATCCAGGAGTACGGTCCGTTGAATACGATGAAAACAGTTTTGTTTCTTGGTTGGATGTCAATATGGTGGGCGGAAGAGGTGCGCATTTGACGGGCTTTATTATTTAGATTGATGTCATGCTCTCCAGACACGAGGTGCAGCTGGGCTTGTCAGCTGCACCCAGGCCCGCGACAATGCATTAACTGCATGCTATGTGTATCAGTATGAAGAGCAGCTTGACAGGGTGCCCAAGCCAATACGGGGAAGAAACCCAAGCGCAGCCTGTCACTTGTTGAATGGGCTGATAGCTATGGCTTGCGAGCAGGCACCACCGCAATGGTAGGATAGTACTGGGCAACTTTAATAGGGGAAGTGATACAATCCATGCAAGCATTACTTTTTGCAGGGCCCCTGTATGTAGGGCCCGAGATCGATAAGAAGTGACAAACTGGCAAGGAGTGGTTCGGTTGGCCAGGGTCATTGCGCAGTGTCTCTGTGTTGACAGTGCTCCGTAGTTGGGTGGAAATCAAGGCACGGGAGCGGGCAGTGGGCGCCTACGCGACGGGGAGGAAAGCGGCGGTCGGTAATTCCAAGATCGAAATTCACGGCGCTGTAATATTGTCAGGACGCAATCACGTCCGCAGCGCATGGGTAGCTGGGTGGACAGAGGACGTGCGTGATGGTGTCAAGCCGTGGACACGTGCGTTCGTGCGCCTGGGTACGGGCAGAAATGGCTACCAGCCAGCCAAATATTGCCCTAGTCTGTTAATTATCATCATCTTGGGCTTAGGTGCTCAGCTGAAGGGTTGTGGCACTGGCCGGCGTTGCATGTTGTTCATCGATGGGTAGTGAATCGGAATTTTTAGGTCCACTCTAGGAGGTAGACGGGAGGGACTTGGAGCCGCTACCAACTTGAAAAAAAGGGCTGGGCGCCAGAGGCCTTGCTAGCCGCTACAATAGAACTGGACAATCCTTTGCGTCGTTCTCTAGAAGGGCAAAAAGAGAAGACCCTACCTCGATGCTGATGTAGTCATAAGCTGCTACATAGGAAGAAAACTGACTGATACTATGAAGAAAAAAAAAAGGGCAACTCCGGCCATCCCCGGTGCGCCCACTTACATACATACATCCAGTACCTGTACTCCCCGTTCGTACGGCGCCTACTAAAAGTCAGTGCCACAGCCACAGCCACTGGGCAGGATCACTGAAGGTACCTGGCAGTAGCGGTACCTCTCCTGTGCCACCATTGAGTGGAAGGAAGCACCTGGCGCACCTGAAATATTCCACCAAATCCACTGACAGACTGGTAGACCAGTGAGTCCACCAGCGCCGCCACAAACTTTCTCGCGTTACGTCTCATCCACCTCACTTCTCTTGTCCCTCTCTTCCTCTTCAACCATCCCACTTCTCCCGCTCTTCCATTTGCAACCAATGCGAACCTCATTTTGAACTCTGCAAATATACCATCTGGCACTCATACGTCATCGTACTCTCTTTCACTCCATCGTCAATTCGACCGCTACACAGCTCCGCGCCTCCGCCTTCGCGCCTTGCGCCCGCTTGAGTTTCGCTCCAAGCGGCCATCGGCTTGCTCTTTGCGACCACCATTGTCCTGCGTTGACGGCACCTTCTTCCCTTTAGGCTTTTCGCTTGCACTCTGCATCATTTTCTTCACACACATCGTTCGTCATGGATAATCAGCAACACGACCGCTACGCCAGTAGCTACAACAGCCAAAACGCCCAGCCTTACTCGGGCAACGTCTCCTCCAACGTCACGCCTCCCCGCTCAGGATCTCCAAACACGGAAGGCGGCCGCAATCCCTTTGATGCTACAGAACCTACCGCCAACCAGCGACTGGCCACCGCGACTGGCACAAATCCATTTGTTAGCCCTGCTGTCTCGCGACCTGCCTCGAGCTTTGGCTCGTCCAGCGCACTTGGACCGCGCTTTGAAGAGCGCGCCCAGCGCTTCTTTCACTCACGTCGAGTCGCCAAGGGCGAGGTTGAGAAGCCCTGGCTGCAGAAAAAGGACAAAAAGGAGAAATGGGTCACCATTATCCCCGTCATTGGTATCCTTATCGGTCTCGGCATCTCTGGCTTCCTAGTGTGGGATGGTCTTCGTAGTGTTGTTCACCACAAGTACTGCCCACTCATGGATGAGAGCTTTGGCAATGGCCTTGACAGCAATGTCTGGACCAAAGAGGTCCAAGTCGGAGGATTCGGGTACGTATTTCTCTGCACCATACTACTCACAGTCAACTCTATGCTAACTACTGTAGTAACGGCGAATTTGAGATGACCACTGGCGGCGACGAAAATGTCTACGTCGACGGTGGCAACCTCGTCATCAAGGCCACCCTCCAGGACGCCGACAAGATGGAAAAGGATACCACCATCGATCTATTAAAGGATGGCACCTGCACCTCGACCAACTTTTACGACTGCGTTGCTGTTACCAACACCACTGCTGGCAATTCGAGTGTTGTCCCACCCGTCAAGTCGGGCCGCATCCACACCAAGAAGGGCGCCACTCTCAAGTATGGCCGCGTCGAGGTTACCGCCAAGCTTCCCGTCGGTGACTGGCTGTGGCCTGCCATCTGGATGATGCCTGTAAAGGATACTTACGGACCCTGGCCTGCATCAGGCGAAATCGATATTATGGAGTCGCGCGGCAACAATTGGACCTACGCGCAGGGTGGCAACAACATTGTCTCGTCAGCCCTACACTGGGGTCCCGACCCCGCCAACGACGCCTGGTGGAAGACGAACAACAAGCACAAAATTCTGCGTGGCACCTTTGGTGACGACTACAACACATTTGGCCTCGAGTGGTCACAAAAGTACATCTTTACATATGTCAACACGCGCCTGATGCAGGTGCTCTATACCAACTTCAACAAGCCCATGTGGCAGCGCGGCGCTTTCCCCCAGACCACGAGCAACGGCACCCGCCTGGCAGACGTCTGGAGCCAGACGGGGCGCAAGAACACGCCGTTTGACCAGGACTTTTATCTCATCATCAACCTTGCCGTCGGCGGCACCAACGGCTGGTTTGAGGACAACAAGTCGCTCAAGCCGTGGGTCAATGGCTCTCCCAACGCCAAGAAGGACTTTTGGACAGCGCGCGAGGACTGGCAAGCCACGTGGAAGCAGCCTCAGATGGAAATTAAGCGTGTGGTGATGCAGAAGCAGTGCGACGGTGACGAGGAGCTGTAGAACACTTAGCTTCCTGATTCTTCCCCCCTTCCCCTTTTAACCATTTATCACTACATAATCGCGAGCAAGTCATTTCTTCTTCTTCTTTTTTTCACATTTATTAGACGACATGGTATCATAGACATGAATTGGGGCAGGTCATTCTGGACCGAAATTGACCATTTTCTTTATGTTTGGGCTTGGGTAGCTCGGGCGCGCAGAGACACCAAAATGCTATTTTGCACAGGCATGGGTCGCACATATGTAGGCTTTCATTTCATTTCACAGCAATTCAACAATCGAAATAATCCAAATGTCAGAGACCATCCGAAATTATAATCTATTATTAGATGACATGCCGTTTTATCGACCACCTCGTACCTTGTTTGCCGCCCTTGCAAGCGACCAAGCATCCGGAGCCGGTTGCCGTTGTCTCATATGGGGGTGGCCTGCTTTCTGAGACGACGATAATCTATCTAGGTAGCTACTTCGTATCTTCAATCAACTGAAACATGGCATGGAACGGATAAAATTCCCTAATCAGCGCCCCCTTGCCGTTTTTTTTTGGTCCATTTTTCTTGGTCCCTCTCGCCGGCCGAGTGCTCTGGTCACCTACAGCGCTATGATGCTGCCCAAGCAATGTCCTGTGTCATTCCGGGCCGTTTCATGCAGTGGACCAGCCAGAAAAACTTTATTTCCACTTACTCGCAAGCACAGAATAAGAATGATGAAAAACCAAAAAAAAAAAAAAATTAATTTAAACAAACTAAGCAAGCAAGCAAGTAAGCAAGCGCAAAGCTTGCAGGCGCCGTTTTTTCCGACAGAGAGTGAGTGGAGTTGGCCTCGTCTGTCTGTGTGTCTGCTTTGGCGAATCTGTCTAGAGGAGGCGAACGGTGAGGCAAAACCCCCCGGGGGGTGGTTTAGTACGCCGATGCCTAAGCTCAGTTGCCAAGTGTCAGCCCGAGCTGAGGTTCATGTTTCTGCTGGCATCATAAATATGAAATCCGTATATGTATAGTTGCTCTCTGTTATGGTAGGCTGTTATGGTAGGGCTGGATGCCCCCCTCTCTCAACCCTCCCCTGTGTCTCATCTGGCCAAGATCCAATACGCACCTTTTTTCGCTTGTGGTTTCTCAAGTGGGCGGGATCCCGAGAGCGATAAAGTCATATGGGGGTCGGGGCTCACGACAACACCAAAAAGAAATCGAAGTGAACGGTTGTTCAGGCATTGCTCTTTGTGGAAATGAAAAGAGGGCATCTTGGCGGACAGACAGGGACCAGGTGCCTGCGTGCACTGGTTGGTGGACGCCGCAGCTTGCCCAAATATCGTCCAACTCAGACAGCAGCAGCAGGCCCCGGATGTTGGCCGTCGCCCGGGCTGGGCTGAGCGGGTGGCTCTTGTCTCGAATGGTGGGCTTGTGGCTGTTGGTGCAGTGAAGGCCCGTAGTGACGAGGCACCAGGTGAGGCGAGCTGAGCAACGGCTGGTTGCCTCTGTTACAGTTTAGGTTTCCTTTCCGTAGCTTGCGCTGCTTTGTTTTCCTCAGTGACTTTTGGAAAACCGTCGGAAAGAACTTGGAAAAATTTGCTCGTGACGCACCCTTCTTCTTCTTTCGCCGCCGCGGCTGGTATACTTGCCGCACTGGCCGCCCGCCGTCCGTAGTGGTGAGCACACCAAGTTGTGTTCCCTTCTTCTTCTACTTCTTTAGGTATATCATAGCCACATGGCTCCCCAGGTAACACAGAACGGTTCGAGCGTTTAGGTCATTTTGCCGTCTTAAGCCCCCGTGACATGACCAAGGTGCAGAAGATGTGCCTCTTCGATGCGCAAGCTATGTACGTAATTGAACCCCCACAGTTTGAGTCGTGCGAACTTTGGGAGAGGAGATTTTGCGCCCAGCCGCACTAGAAACATGAAGCGGGCCATCGTATCTGCTCCATTTCCTTGTTCCTCTCGACTTGAATAAGGCGGATGGAGTTTATTCAAAGGAGAACATCTCGGATGGAGCTCTTGGCGAACCATGTGCATGACAATGTTGACAAGAAGCACTCCCTAGCCACTGCCGTGCGTACCTGGGCCGCGCACGCCACCATCTGCTGAACTCATCATCGGCCCTTTGCCACCTTGGCGTCGCCGGGCGTTTCTTCCTCTCCTTCTTGATTCATCTTTCGTTGCATGCTTTTCGACGCGGTGCCAGACCGAGATCATGAATAAAGTCAACAGACTGAGGCGCTGGGCTCAATTAGGAATCCCTGGCTGAACGGCTAGGCATGACCGATAATGTCTGCCTTCCCCCACCGCTCCCGAGATTGCGTTTTTGATTGCCATTGTGACGCTGACCGCAGACTATCGAGCAAGAGGCGCCAGACACTCTCACTGTTCAAGGCTGGAGGTGAACTCACTAGTTAGAGCGTTACGTTACGGCCCGTCTGGACGGATACAGGCACTATCCTTTTTGTGCGCCAAATGACCAACCCTCAATCAAGGAGCCTGGGTCGAGGCTCGGAAGAAGACGATGTGAAGTGTCTTTTGGAGCTCATAATGATTGATGGAATTACTGACGAGGACCATATGACTCGACGATGCTTGTGTTCCCAAGGCTGTCGTACGCGAGATGCAGGAAAGCCGAAGCCCTGCATATCGCACAAATGCTTCCACTGTAGTTCTTTCTTTTTTCCTTTTTAACAAAAAACCGTAGTGTTAGCTTTCGATCCTCAGCTTCTCGCCACGTCAGAGGCGACTTTGTACCGGTACTGGTACTGGTACTCCCATCAGTGAAAGGAACTTGCTTTGCTCACATCCCAACTAGGAAAGCGACTCCGCGGTCATCTCTTTCACGATTCCTTATCTTCAGTCGTGGAGGGGCGTGTGCATTTTGAGCTGAAGGTTGACGTGCGCAGGGCTGATGATAGTTGACATTGACTATTTCCAGAAAACCACGGCCTGTGTAACCTGCATCTACTTCGCTTCCTCCCGCATCAGCGGCGGCGATCTCGCATCTTCAATTGTATGGAACTGGCAAGAACGAGCCAGTCAGGAAAGTAAACGTTGCTCGGAGAAGAATGGATGCTGCTATCTGGCTTGCATCAACGCCAATACACCGGATGGCGCAGCAATCACATCATGTACACATAATAAACGCACCTTGATATTAACTCGAGCATCCATCGCAGCCGCATCCAAATGTCGTTCAGCTAGCCTTTCATCATCCTGTGTGTGGCTTGAGACATGGCGTCGCCATCCCGTGCCCAAGCGCAACGACCTTGTCCTTATCGGATGCGAAGCCCTGAGCCGCAGGTCCCCTTGCCCACCCTTGAGTTGGGTGCGCCTCGGTTTCTGCTTGTGGCCAGCAGTTCCCAGCCCTTTGTGCCATTTTTCTTTTTGCTTTTTATACAAACCCAATCGCTGCTGTTGAGACAGGGCTTGGTTCAGTTCAGCGACTCAGCCCGCCCCCACGTTTTTCGAGTTAAAAAGTTACCTTGCTATTTTTGGAGTAACGGCATGTAATAACAGAGATGGGGAAAAAGCGGTATAGCCATATAATACGAGCTGAAATGCTGGTAACGCAGCTGTGGGGAGGGGTGGTCGTCTGCCGATTAGCACACAAGGCATAAAAACACCTCACAGCGGGTTTTCTGGCAGGCTGTAATCTGTGTCTGTAGTTTCTGGCGATTGTCAGAGAGATTGGTTACGAGAGCCGGCCCCTCGTTCCGTCTTGCCTGAGACGCTAACTAGTCAACTAAGCATGGGGCCACTGTGTGTGGCGATCCGGCATGATCCAGGCCTTGCTTCAGGAGAGGAGACAAGGCAAAAAAAAACGAAAGAAGAACAAGAGAGTAGCCTTGTCGGTGTTGGGGAAATGATCGTCAGTGAGGATGGCCGGGTAGACTGGTAGAGTACAAACATGAATACCCTTGGCGAAGCATAGAACAACATTCTGGGCGCCTTCCAAGGTCGTTCTCGTGCAGCAAAACAGCAATAACGCCTTCCGGTGGCTGCAAAGTTAGATGAAAGCCCATTGCCACAGTAGATGATTACTTCGTACATTTCGCCAGGCGCCACTATCACAATGGTCCATGTTTCGGCTGTGGGACGCGTACGCCTCTTATGCCGGTGCGAGGAACAGCATGAATGGCTTCTTCACCCACGTATCATAACGGTGTTGTCAAGGTTTTCGCCTGCACTCTTTGTAACTTGTGCTGGCACAACACGAAATCTGCCGAATGCGAAAGGCTCGTTATCCTGTCAGGGGTGTCGTGGTGGCATTTGCAGGGCCATGATTAGCGGCGGGTCGTGCAGAGCAAGGCTCGGTGAAAGGGAAAAGAGAGGCTTCATAGATACTGCTGCGCTGGCCTGCATGATGAGTGAGGAGCTAGGGGACGCATGTGGCTGTCAACGCCCGCTTGCATCTATTTTTTCTCTCGTAAGGTTGCATCCAAGACGTGCATATGTGGCTGCAAGGATGTTATCAATCCTATTGACAGCTGCAAATTCTGTACTGGTACCACTCAACAGCCTATACATGGCTTGCTTCCCTGCAAGCTGAAGTTTTTGGCTTTTCGGTGCACATTGCAGGTTGGCCACGGGGCGGCGTGCTTGGTGCCTATTCTGGTATAATCGCGCTGTAGATATGCAAAGGTTCCTGAATCCGGGCATCAAGAGGACAATCAACGCCGGCGTGTAGGAATGAATGAGCTGACGATGCAGCTGCCGTTGCCCATCCCAGGGCCGCGGATCGTGTGGTTCACCTGTCATGTAAGCCGGCGTTATGACTTCTTTATTGGCCACTTTGATACCAGAACTTGAACATTGGACGAGTTGGAGGGCTGGCCCGAGCTTGAATTATCGAGATGATGGATGGCACGTGGTAGTGTGCAGGTCAACGGTCACCAGACAATGAGCGATTGGCGATGGCGGCTCGGAGAATATGGAAAAACATATGAAAAAGGACAATGGGCCGCTCGAGACAGAGTGCCTTGTCGTCCATGGACAAAGTGAGGCGACATGGCGGCCCAACAGAGGCAAGAGCCAAAACTGCTAGCTCAGTCGTAGCTTGTTGGGAAGCAGCTAGCATCGCGATACCTGCAAACAAAGCATCCACGGATAGACGAGGGTCGAAGGTTGTGGCGCAAGCTTAGCCAGGGGAGAGAAAGAAAATGCCGCCGCTTTAAGATGGCTAGGAAATTCGCCAGTTGAACTATGCGTCCCGTTCCGCCACCAGCCACAGGTACAGCAACTTACCCAGTAAACTAAAAATCGAAAAGCAAATCCCAGCAGCCCGGTCGACTGGGGCATTTTGCGTGGCGACCAGGAGAGGGAAGCTTGTTGAGCTAGTTAACTTGTTAGTTTTAAAGCCATCTACGGTGGGTAATTTCAACTTGGTTGTCAGGCTGCCTTTCTGGGCTGCTAAGCGAATTGAGGCAGTGAGTGATGAGGTCGGCGGCTGCGGTCTGCGCGTGGGAGGGGATTGCTGTTAACAGATCGGATTGGCAATCTCGAAGCCGAGGAAGCGGGCCATGGATATCCAGCAAAAGTTGAATGGACAGGCCAAGCTGAAGCGGGAACTAACCACAGGTCTTCGTACCTGGACCGTCCGCGTTGCGGCCAAGCGCCCATCTTGCCAGCGTTGCGATGCGGTGTGGTGGAGCGAAGCGGGTTTCAGCAGTGCGACACTGTGAGCCAATGCCCGTCGGGTTTGCAGCACGGGCGGCTAACTGGCAGCTGGGGTCTAGCAAGCAATAAGCTATCAGCAGGCCACCAGGGCGATTCGCCCGCCCGTAGAGCGATGCGTTGGTTAGCAGGGACTGGAAAGACATGGCAGTTTGGCGGAAGAGAAACAAAAAATGACACGGGCCAGCCTTCGCGAGCGCCAGTGCCAGGCAAAGCGAAGCACCGGCTGCCATGATGGCTTGCTTGACCAAAGTAGGAAGTTGTTACGCCTCGCTTCGGCCGCCACAAGGCTTGGGCTGTTGGGTCGGCCGACAGAAGCCATCGTCGCTGCTAAACTCATCTTGCACAAGCTTCAGGACGGCAAGGCCTGTTTTCTGGTGAACTACCCTACTGCTAGTGAAAGCCGGGTTATTGTTTTGTAAGGCATTGCACTAGCTACCTAGTTAAAGAGCGAACTAAAATTCGGTCGCCATTGCATCCGTATTACTATTCAGTCTATGGATACCGAGCGCCGTGAGCACAAACTCGGGAGAAGAGGAAAAGAAAACGTGGTGGTAGACGCTAAAACCCCCAGCGGGTCTGACCTGAAGCACACACAAAATGCCGCCGCCGCCAGGGACAGTGCGGTAAACCATACCGTGACGAGCCAGTGTCTAGGCGAAATCATTCTCCAGGCTCGCTACGGTACATGCTATCAGAACATAAACCTGATATGGATCGGATCCTGCTCGCTGGCGTTTCAGTGCCAAGACCCAGCTCCCAGCCAGTCAACAATCAATTTCCCCTGCTATCCGGACACGGGGTTGATGTACGGAGGGGCTGGGAGTGGGCTTTCCATAAATAATGCCAATGACAGGCCGGGGTTGGAGGGCAACACAGGACGGTGAGAAAAGAAACGAAAGGGCATAAAAGGAAAAAACAAAAAAGGTGGTTGCTTCGTATTATCCTCACTGTACTCTGTGCCGGTATTTGGCTCGTACAATGCAGGTTGATGCATGCACAACCCACCCCAGCCCAGCCCAGCCAGGATGCGCTGCAGCGAATCATGCCAGCCGCAAGTCTGCGTTTGCCAAAAGTTAAGCTGTACTGTGCAGTGGGCCGCAAATATTTTCCTCTTCGAATTTCCACCTATACATACTTTGCGGATAGCTGTCTTGGCATGCAATGCACTTCGAGGCTGCTTGGCTATCTTCAGCATGCCCTGTGCCTTTTATTAACATGCCCTCCCTGTTCGCACCTTCCGTTCTGAAAGCTGGCGCACCCGCCTCGTCTTTGGGTGTGGCGTTTCTTCGGCCACGCCCCCATCCCCTCCTCCTCTGCCCCTCTCCAGGCTCCACTCCCGCTCCATTGTCTCGCCAGCTAGTGCCGTTGTGCGCCGGCTGCTGCATCCTCTCACCATTTTTATTACTATCCTACCGCACAATGCGCAGGGGACAAGGTACAAACAGAAGACAATTGGAATAAAAAATAGCCTGTAAAAAAAAAGATCGAGGCCGATGGTCAGCTCCAAAAGATCGGGACCACCTAGTCCAGCGCTTTGCGCAGTTCCACTCTGCATGTGGTCCTTGCTGCTGGCTCATACGAGCCACGGCCCTTTACTTGCAACCTTCGTCACAACCTTGCCTCTCTTATTATCTTGTCCTCCGCACGTAGGAAACCCCCGCCTGGTCATTTTTCCTCTCCATCTCCAAGTACGACCTCACTTTTTTTTCCCTCCTCTTCTTTTGGTCACCCACGCTTGGGCAGTTGCGATTTCTTCTGCTCATCATCTCACTCGTTCTTCGTTTGCGCTCGATCGTCCCTTCGCTTTGCACTAATACTCCTGGCCGCTCTCTTCATCCTCCCATGACTGTCTAGCAGCAGCATCTTGCAACCAGAGAGTCAAGCCCATACACAAACCGGGCGTTTTACGTCCTGCAGCCTGACGACTGCAATCTCGACCACCTCCATCAACTTCCACATTCCTCAAATAGACGAATCGCAATGGGCATCGGAAGCTACTTCAAGGCGGGCAAGAGCAAGGCCGCCGCGCCGCCGCCCTCGCCGCCTCCCGCTGCTCCCTCACGACCCGAGAGACCGGAGCGATCCCAAAACACAGCAATCAACGAGAAACCCTTCAATGCCAACGACATGGAGCTTCAAGCTCCCACGCCGCGCTACAGCTCCCGTCCCGGCTCGACTCGCTCCGGCCACTCTACGCCCTCAAACCAGAGCTCCTACATGCTAGACGAAATCAAGCATGAGGTCATGGTTAACTACCTCTACCAGCAGCAGTGCTCCCAACTCTGGGTCAGCGACGGCTCTGGGGAGATTGAGGGTGTTCTCCTGCGTAAGTCGCGCGGACACTACATGGCCTGCCCTCCTCAGCTCGTTCATTCTCCGTTTGCGCAAGCTTGTTGCGCTCTCAATGTTCAGGTAAGCCCGATTCTGCCAATCCCAGCTACGTCAGCTATTCCATCTCTCATTGTTTTGTACCCATTGGCTAACAGAAGTGCAGTGCGCCATGACAGTCAACTCGCGCGTCATCAAGACCTTCCTGCAGTGGTCTCCTGATGCCGTCGATGTCCCACTCATGAACGGTCTTCGCGTACAGATTCTCCCCACCGTGGAGGATCTGCCTCGCGCCCGCAAATATCAATTCGCTGCCTTTGTCGCCTCCGAGGGCCTTCTGGTGGTTTGGGACGACGATGCCCTGCATCTAGTTCAGCGCGCCAAGGCCATTGAGTCTGAGCTCATGGAGCTCGTCTGGAAGGCCGGCAACAGCGACGAGGAGGAAGATGAAAAGCGCGCTGGCGCTGTCGCCGAGGCTGAAATTGACGAGGAGAGCGGCGAGGTCAAGCCTGAAACTCGCCCGGTCCATCTCCAAAACACTATTCTCGTCTCCCTAACTCTCATTCTCGTCATTGTCTCACTCGGTGCTGCTTGGCGACAGCTGGCAATTGAGGTTTCCGTCGACAACTCTTACATGCGTCTCGCCCTCGTCGCTCTCATGCCCCTCCAGATCTTCTTCACTCTCTTCTTCGCCCAGGTCATCGTCGGTTGCTTGGCCCAAATCTTCGGACCTATTCGCCAGCTCACCATCAACTCCAAGTTCTATTCGGCCCGCCCTCCTCCTCGCCTGACCACGCCGATCCTGCCGCACGTTACAATTCAGTGCCCTGTCTACAAGGAGGGTCTTCAGGGTGTTATTGTGCCCACTGTGAAGTCCATCAAGCAAGCCATGTCTACCTACGAACTTCAGGGTGGTTCTGCCAACATGTTCATCAACGACGATGGTCTCCAGCTCCTTCCTGAGGAAGACCGCCGCGCGCGCATCGAATTCTACGCCGACAACAGCATCGGCTGGGTTGCCCGTCCCAAGCACGGCGAGGACGGCTTCGTTCGCAAGGGCAAATTCAAGAAGGCCTCCAACATGAATTACGCCCTTATGATTTCCTGCAAGGTGGAAGAGAAGCTTTTGCTCGTCAACCGCACCCCCGACTGGAGTCAGCACGATGAGGCTATCGCGTACGAGCAGGCCCTCAAGGAGGTTTTGGAAGAGAATGGTCGCGCCTGGGCCGATGGCAACATTCGCGTCGGCGACTACATTCTGCTGATTGATTCTGACACTCGTGTTCCCGCGGACTGCTTCCTGGACGCTGTGTCCGAGATGGAGCAGGGCCCTGACGTTGGCATCATGCAATTCTCTTCTGGTGTTATGCAGGTTGTCCACACCTACTTCGAGAACGGCATCACTTTCTTCACCAACCTGATCTACTCTGCTATTCGTTACACCGTCTCCAACGGTGATGTCGCCCCCTTTGTCGGTCACAACGCCTTCCTCCGCTGGTCTGCCATTCAGCAGGTGTCCTACCAGGACGAAGATGGCTACGACAAGTTCTGGTCCGAGAGCCACGTGTCTGAGGATTTCGACATGTCCCTCCGTCTTCAGTGCAACGGTTACATTATCCGCCTCGCTGCCTGGGCCGGTGAAGGTTTCAAGGAAGGTGTCTCGCTGACCGTCTACGACGAGCTTGCTCGATGGGAAAAGTATGCCTACGGCTGTAATGAGCTGCTCTTCCACCCTATTCGCACCTGGCTCTGGCGTGGTCCTTTCACCCCTCTCTTCCGCACTTTCCTCTTCTCCAACATTCGATTCACGTCCAAGATTACCGTCATCTCCTACATTGGCACGTACTACGCCATCGGCGCCGCCTGGATTATGACGACGGTCAACTACTTCCTCATGGGCTGGTTCAACGGCTACCTGGACAAGTACTACGTCGACTCGTGGCAGGTCTGGTTCGCCATCATCATTGTCTTTAACGGCCTCGGCAACATCTCGCTCGCTATTATGCGCTACCGCATCGGCGAGCGCAGCCTGCTGTACGCCATCTACGAGAACTTCAAGTGGACGCTCATGCTCGCCATCTTCCTTGGTGGTCTGTCGCTGCACGTCAGCCAGGCGCTCCTCGCTCACATGTTTGAGATTGACATGACCTGGGGCTCGACCTCCAAGGAAGCCGAGTTTTCCAACTTCTTCATCGAGGTTCCCAAGGTGCTCAAGAGCTTCAAGTTCTCAATCATCTTTGCCCTCGTCGCCATCGCCGGCATGATCATCCTTGCCGTCGCTCCGTTTGTGCCCCATGACTGGCGCATCACTGACTTTGTCGCCATCCTACCCATGTCGACCGTCGCGGCCAGCCACTTCCTGCTACCTTTTGCCCTGAACCCAGCCCTCATGACCTTTTCCTGGTAAACGCGTCGCCGTGGAGGGCTTTCCTCCTTACCTTGTGATATACCAATCTCGCGCTTATTACTCTACCCTCCTTACACACAAAACTTTCCTGCCTTTGCCATGCACTGCGGATCAACACCGCCAGACGTGGTGATGGCACATAATCAATTCACAAAATCTTGCACATGTCGATGCACCAACAACGGAACCAACCCACACATTTTTAGACGCATATTATATCGGAGTTTACCGGCGTCGCGGCTCTGGCTGAGTCTCATTGTCCTTTTCCTTCGAGGGACTTTTTGTTTTATTTAAAGGTTGTTGGATACTGCTCCCTTTTTCCATTTTGCATACAATCTTTTAAGATGTAGCTGAATGTGCTCTCATGCATCGTGTGAGATATTTCTACTATTATTAAAGAGACTGCTGGGCAGCGGGCCTCCCTACCTACCTATTAACCTGCTTTGAATGGTCGAGAAGATATCTGATTGCTCATACTATGCCGATCTATGTTAATACCTATTACTATTACCACGAAGATATAAAAAGAAGTTTACAATATTTAGTTTAAAGTTTTTGCGCCAGTAGTGTGTTGTGATTGCTGACGCAAGTCACTCGTCATGCTCGCGGGTCTATCTTATTTTGAGGACATCTCGGTAGAACTACCAGCCTTTTACGTCTTGTCACAATCACGCCTTGGATCGGCTTGATGCATGAGCAGACTAGCAATTACGCCTGTTAGTCTTTTGCTTTTTGCCCATCTCAGCCCGTCCAGCCAAGAGTTGGTATTCATGCTTGTCCTTACCACAGCTACCCCCCCTCCCTTTCTGTATGTGTCCCTGTCTGCCCGCACTCCCCCTACATGTCAAACCGATTTTTACGTCAACGCAGCTTGCACACGTGCAATGGACCTCGCGCAAAGCAACATTGCTTCTGGGAAAGACAAGCTCCGTTTTGTCGTCGCTGGAGACGAGGGTGGTGTGCGCCTCCCGAGTTTCGGTCTAAACTTGGTTGTGTAACGATTACGACGGGTAAAAAGAAGGGAAGATGTAAAATTTACTTGTGTCTTGTGTCTTGTGTCCGCTACGATCGCGTTCCCTTTTGCCGCGACAGTAGCACGCAGACACCCGCGACTCCGCCCACGAGGTTCTACAGCAGTTCCGTGAAGCCCGTCCCCCCCCCCAGGATCATATGCATTGTTGGAAAGTCAGAGGTGAATTTGTTGAATCGCCACTGCCTGCTGTTGCACCAGCCTGCGCTCTCATCGCACACGCGGTTCAACACTGGCCGGCTTGCTGCTGCTCCGCGGATGTGCCTTCGAGTGCACAGGTCGTGTCGGATGGGATGAGATATCGTACGCCCAACACTAGTTAATCCTGGCTTCAGGTTAAAAAGCCTGTCTTACTTCCCCAATTCGCTTGTACTCTGTGTTTGTTTTTCTATGCAGGTACACTGGTCTGCTCTTGCGCCAGCGTAAGACCTCGACCAAGTGTGACCACCCAAATATCAAGAGGCTCGCACAGGTTAGGAAACGATCGGGATGAAGGACACAAACGTCACGTAGAGAACGAAATCGTTTCACCCAAGCTCCTACGACCTTGCTTCTTCTCCTTCCCCTTCTCCATCTTCTCGTCATCTGATCTTTCTCGCCGATTTGCACGGAACCGTCGACGAACCTCTTCGCTGCCGCACACCGACCACGTCCATCTAGCAAACTTACAGCTACAGCCCCCCTGCCGCACACCATGCCGCTGGATAAGAACCTTGACCTGGGAGCGCTTAAGCACAACAGTCCAGAGTGGCAGGAAACCTACAACAAGATTGGGGAGCGAGCGGACAACGCTCAAGCAGTGCGCAACCTGTCCAAAGAGACGCAGGAGACGCTGCTCAAGAGCGCGAGCAGCGCGGTGGAGAGAGGCGGCGACAGGACGATGAAGACCCTAGAGGAGCAGCTTCTTGAACTTGATTGGGTGGTGTTGGAGGCACAAAAGGCTTTCGTTCGGACCATGCATTCGGGACAAGAAGTGCGAGAAGTAGAGGAACATCAGAAGGCGAACCGGAGTGATAAGACAACCACGGCGCAAAAGTCCCGACAAGCGAAACAGTAGCTAGACAAATAAAGGGCTTTTATTTAACAGACCTTTGCGATGGCGACCTTGCAGCTTCCATTGCGTTGCATGATGCCATTTGTTTCGCCTCGGCCGCAATCTCAGGATGCTTTTTGAAGAAGTCGGACTCTGCCTTTTCCAGATCGTCTCCGAAATGTATCCTAAAATATTCGGAAAATGAGTTAGTTAAATAGCGCGGGTGGCGTATCAGCCGAGCAAACCAAAAGTTGTCGTTCGACTTTTGCCCGCTGAACCACTCTAAGCGCAGTCCCTCCGCGCGGGGGTCTGAAAGCGTAGCGTCGAAGAGCGTCTTGGCAAAAGTCAAGTACAGCCCTCGAAAGCATTCCCTGGGGCGAATCACCCACAGCGGCGGGGTGAAGAGCTGCAACGGAACGGTGTGGGTGAATTCCCAGTCAATGATGCCTTGGATCTTCAAATCATCGTCGACGATGATGTTGCATGGCTGCATGTCGGGATGGTGTAGGATGAAGGGGCCAGCCTCTAAAGGCTCTTGAATGAACTGATCGAACTGCTCTCGCATGGTATGGAGTGCAAATAACTCATAGCGATAGTCATCTTCTGAGAACTTTGGCTCGGGTGTTGCGACGTCCTGGGTTAGAAGTTGATGTTGTGCGCGCATGTATTCGGTTGCGGTGGTCATAGACGGCAGCTCGGATCGGTGCTCGTCTGCTATAATCGATAAAGGCGCGCCGAGCAATGGCTCTTCAGACGTCGTCAGCATCAGGGAGCCCGGCTTCGGGAAGGTGAGGCCGCGCAGCTGTGCGAGATAGTCGATCAGTTGGAGGAAGAACTGCTTCTTGGTGGCGTCGTCGGCTTGGTACAAGATCTCCATGACGGGGTCGGTCAGCGGCCTCCCGGGAATCATGCTTGAGATGAGGAAGATTTGGCATTGTGACTCATTATTCGTCAGCACTGCGTCTCTCCCAAACGCGTGGACTACCGGGACAGGGATCGTCGTGTGAGCACGGATGTAGCTACGGCATCCACCATTAGCATCATACCACTTAAACGGAAAGTCTAGAACAAGGGCCCTACTTGAGTGTCGCGACCTCACTTTGGAGCTTCTCCCAGGGCTTGTGCAGGCTCGGCTCTATAGGGACGCGAACGGTCCAGCGCGTGCGGCACTCGGCAAACTCGACGAAGAAGCACGCGTTGAAGCTCCCGCAGAGATGATACAGAACGTGACACGGCGTACCGCCGTTGTAACGAGATGCAAGATTCGCCACACGTTCATACTGCAGCGCGTCGATGAAGGAATCAGCAGTAGCGTGAGCGGCCTCGCGCGGCAGCGGCAGCGGCTCCGGGGCGGCGTTGTTGTTGTTGTTGTTTTTGTTGCTGGCAAGCTCAACGTCCGGGGCAGCTGCGTCACCACGACTGAGGCGGGGCCAGAGGCGAAGCAGAAGCGGTTTTGAAAGGTCCCATACAAGTCGCAGGAGATGAACAAGGCCAAGGTAGAGTCGCTGGCCCATTGCGTCGCGGCGGGCAGCCCCAAGGCGATGATGGGGAGAGGGGGGTTTGAATCGACGGCAAGGAAGCAAGCTGGCCTGGGAGGTCGGTTGGTTACTCCATGGTAAGTATCGATTTAGTCAGCAGCCGGGCGGCGCCCGGACAGAAGTGAGGTACCCTCGAACCCAGCCGGAGGTGCCGAGTAATAGAGTCGAAATGTTAAGGAAAAGGATTAATTGATGAGAAGTAATACGACTGTAGAATCAACCGTTGGCCTTGGATTGCGTTAGTGGTGGGCTGGCACAGGAATTAACTAGCAGCGCTAAAAATAGCAGTGACTTGGGCTATGTATGTAAGTATGTAGATCCGTCCGCTGTCAAGGGGACAAGTCATTTCCCCATCTCAACTTTGCAGGTTTATATTGTCTTGCGGTGCTTCATTACTCGCCTACTAGCCTGCTTGCGACCATCTTCTTTTGCTTCATTTGCCATAGGGCCCTTGACGGAATCCGCATATGGCGCAGGTTCAGCTCCCGGACGTCGAGGCGGGTGATGTGTATGATATGGACCTCCCCCATATGGCTGATATGGGCCTGGAAATAACGAATATGGACCATATTCTGAATATGGAAGTCCCTCATTTTGAGCTCTCTCAGGTTGAGCTCCCGCACATTGAGGCGGGTGATATGGATGAAATGGAACCCCCACATATGGACCTCCATATGGAACTCCGTACGGAGATTCCCCATATGTAGGTCCCCCATATGTAGGTCCCCCATTTTGAGCTCCCGAATCTTGATTCCCTGGATAGCAATGCTCATATTGAAATTCCGAATAATATTGATATTCCGAAGTTGAAAAAGCGGCCGGGTCTGGATTCACAATCTCGGTGCTGTAGACTCGCAGCCTCCTCCACTCCTCCTGAACGACGCTCGCCAGAGATTCAGAGTGCGTGCATCCCGCTACAAACTCCCCCCAGCCGGCCGTTGCAAGGTCTTCTTGGATCCGTGACCAGTCGATCTCTTGAAGATCCAGAAACGCCCCGTCCGTTCTCTCACGATCGCTCACCGCATACGCGAACCGGATCCAGCCGTCCAGCATCTGCTTCTCCGCCTTGTACACGCTAGACTCGGCGAGGGACAGCGAGTCCGACGACTTCTTGTACCACTCTTGGGTCCTGGCGCTCGACTCAAAGTGCTTGAAGAGGCCGCACTGCAACCGTGAATCTGACGGGAGCCGTGGCCGGAGCAGTCGCGCGGTGAAGTGGATATGCAGCCCGATGCTCTCCCCCATCTGCTGTTCTAGCCGAAGTCCTCGGAGTCTCTGCTGCTCAAGCCACAGCTTCTCAACCTTATGCGGCGGTAGATCGCAGTTTGATTGCCTCTGGTGTAGCATAAAGCCGTTCAAGAGCTTCAGTTCGTCTTGACCCGCCTCCTCTCTCAACCCCGATTGTTCCAATGCATCTCGCAACGCTTTGCCCCGAAACGCCTCTTCACGTTTGAGATACTTGGCCATAGCCTTGTCTAGTTTCTTTTGCGAGGGGAGAGAGTGCAAGTCGAATTGAGCAGTGTGAATACCCTCAGCGTCAGTTCTCCTTCTTCGCGCCTGAGCAAACTCGTCCAGGAAGACATCGCGACTGCCGTCTAAAAGACCGAAGCTCAGGTAATATGGTAGCAGCCACAGGCCCTTCCGCGATTCGTTGACTCGCCCTGAGTGGATGCAGTGCAAGAATTAGTTTTTGAGCATCGAGAGCCGCCTTCGTTTGCTTAGCCATGCCATACCCTTTGTGATTGCCAGATTATTGAGACACATTACTGGTGCTTTCCACGACCAAGGCGACAGTTTGTCCACAAATTTTGTCGATTTAAGGGGCGTGATAAAAGGTCTCAAGCCCTCGGTGTCGAATCCTGCTTCAGAAACGGACTTGATTCGGGAAATCATCCAGAAAAGACTCAGCGTCGACAGGCCAGGATCGGTATGCCCACCCCCGATGTCCGAGTGACAACCAACAAAAGCGCACTGTTCGGCCGACAGTGTCGTGTCAGTCTTCGTTTTCCACAGGACGGGCTTGAAGCTCCGCCTCTTCTCGTGCAAGGAGACGGCGTGGAAAGCGTGCTTGACGTTTTCCGGGACCTGATCGACCGGGAACGAAAGCTTCTTCTTCCACGGCCGGAGCGACCTGACTGCGCTGACGCAATCCCACTCGGCAAGCACATGAATCTTGGCGCCTTCCGTTCGAAGGGCTCTTAAGCTGTCCAGCTTGGTGTTCAGCTCCAGTTCAGCCCCTTTCTTGTTTTCCTTTGCTCTCTGCCAGGAATTGTAAATGGAATGGAGGAAGACTAGGCCTTTCCGCCGAAGTAGCCCGACATCGTTGATAAAGCGGGCGAGGCATCGAACAGCAAAGGCACCTCGAGAAAACCCGACCAGGATGATCTCGTCTAAGCGAGATCGCCCGTTGTAGTTGTTGCAGATGAAGCAATAGGCGTTCAGGATGTTGGCGTCAATTCCTGCTGGCAGCTTAGAATATTTATTTCGTTGTATCAGACTGCTCTACGTACCTTTTCCAAAAGCCCCCGAGAACAGACTGTCGACTGCCAAAGACGACTGCGTGCCCACGCCACTCGAGTAGTAAACAATTTGACGGACAACGCCGTATCGTTGGTTCTCGCGGGGGAGCTCACTCTCTGCCAACAAGTTTTCTGGAAGCTGAAAGGCGTCGCGACCATACCGAGATACAGCTCTGGCCAGTTTTGCCACGTTGGTCAGAGGTGCGCTTGCACCGGACGCGTTGTTCCAAGTGCCATCGCAGCAGACAAAAAGACGCTTCCTCTCATGGTCGTCTGCGAGCCGCTGCATTGCCTCGTGCGCAGTGACCTTGGGCCGGATCAAACCTGGATCATCGAACAATCCTTCCAGTTTTTCAGCATGTTCCGCGAGATTTATGGTGGAGGATTTGGAGCGATGATCCTCCGTTTTGGCATCGGAATCCACGGTCTCCTTGGCTGCCTCCATCTTGACGATGCAAATAAATCACTGTCTGGGGCAACGAGCGTGCAAGTAGATGTGAACACCAGAAGAAGGGGTAGGCAGCTATTATGTATCGGCTGTTCTTGACCATCCAAGCCTGAAAGATGCGTGTCTTCAACTAATTATAGGTACAGTGCCGGGAGGAAACTGCCTCGGAGGGTGGCCGTGGACACATGGTTAGTCGAAGCATTCAAGACATGACGTGTAGGTCCACAGGCAAACAAAGCTGTCTGTCTGCAATAAGCCGACAACGGTTCAGCCGCCTCCAGCTAATGTTGGAACAACAGTGTCCGTATTGGTTAGTAGATGGTCTCTTGTGCAGGGCCTTGTTGTCAAACTGCATTGGTGGCTGCGGTGAGACGCGGGCGCTGCCAAGCCAGCCACAACCGATGACAGAGAAATTTTCCTCCTTCTGCTAGAGAAATGGAGAGGTTCAGGTTGCTTGTGATCTTGATGCAGAAAAGAGCAAGGAAATCATCCCCAGGGCAAGGGTAGCTAGCTAGCCAGAGTCCCGACATTTCTTGCTAACAAGCTTCAATTTGATATCTTTTAATCTATTCTATAAAAAGACGTGCAACTGACGACAGCATTGTATCCCTAATGAAAAACCAAAAGACAATTCAGAAACGCCTCTATCTATTTGTTTCGTTAAAAATGCTCCAAATCCCTCTTCTGTCATCCATCATGTGCATACACCTGCCAGCGCTCTACTGGGCCGCCTCTATGCAAGCCACCGATATCGAGCGACATTCCGTATGTATACCCTCATGTATGTAAACCGAACCCATTTTTGTATTCCAGGAAACCAAATCCCTCTCTGTTCTCGTCTAACGTCGCCTGTTTTTCTTTTTTTGCTTCTTTCAGATACTCCTCTGTATAGATGTGAGTCGACAACAATGTATAAACAAAGCAGGATTACTCCTCATCATCAGTATCAGGAGGATGAGGTGTGCCCTTAGGGCTGTTGAGCCACTCAATGTGACGCAGGCGACGACGGGCCTCGCGCTCCTTGAGCTCCTTCTTGGTCATCTTGCGCTTCTTTCTGGCTTTGAACTTCATGTCCGAGTTGTCTTCAGCACCCGAGTTGACAGCCGACGAGACCACCGAATTGGCAGCAGTCGATGCAGCAGTCGAGGCGACCGCGCTGGCCACGCCGCTGGCCGGGTTGCTGCTGTCCTCGAAGCGGTCCAGGCTGATGGCGGCGGTGCCGCGCAGTGCTACCTGGCCATCGCGTACGTGCCACTGCTCGGAGCACAGCGCGCCAACAAACTCCTCGTTGTGAGAAATGAGGATCACGCCGCCCTTGAACTCGCGGATGGCAACAGCGAGGCCGCCCAGCGAGTCACGGTCCAAGAAGTTAGTCGGCTCGTCAAGAACCAGCAGATGCGGGTTGTTCCACATGGCACCCGCAATCACCACCTTGACCTTTTGACCACCCGACAGCGAACCAATCTCATTGTGGTTAGCGATTTCGGGATCGAGGCCGAGATCCTCAAAGTGCTTGGAGATGACCGATGGCTGCAGCTCGCGGTAGCCGAGACCCTCACGGGAAGCCTCGTGGTCATCAAACTCCTGAACGAGCTTGTCGAAGCCGAGCTCGATGAGCGTCTCGCGCGAAACTTGCGAGTTGTGTTTCGGCATCAGACCACGCCACTTGACCTCGTACTGGAACGTCTTTTTGTACTTTTGACGACCCACAAGGGCCTCAATCTGTCTGGCAGACTTGCCATCCTTGAGGTCCACCCACTTGTCGAGCTGGGCACGGTCGGCGTCGGAGAGGAGACGAGTCTGCTTCATGTGGACTTCGCGGTCGTCACCATGCTGGTAGCGCCATTGAAGGTACTGATTCGGGGTCTTTTCCAAGTGCATCTCGACGTGCTCCAGCGCGTGCTGCTTGATGTACCCGATACGCAGGTTAGGATGCTTCTCAACCTTTCCAGTGTTGGGAATGGCCTCTCCAGTCAACAGCTTGATAAGCGTAGACTTGCCCGCGCCGTTGGGGCCGATAATGGCAACACGGGATGAGAGTGTCAATTGGCAGGATACTTCCGACAGGGAAGGCTTAGGGGAGCCGGGATAAGCGTACGAGACGTTGCTCATGCGGATGATGGCACGAGTCTGGGACTTGACACCGGTCAGGATACCCGGAGGCGGAAATTTAAACTGGACATTGCTAGCAGACAACGTGTAGTAGCTCTTAGCCTCAGGCTTGATCTTGACAAAGTTGGCCAGGTTGCCCTTGTAGCAAGCCAGCTTCTTGTTAGGCTCGTAGTGGTAGATATCGGTGGTAACGTTGTCAAGGAAGCCAGAGTCGTGAGAGACGATCAAGCTGGTGATGTCGGGGTGGGATTTGAGGTAGTTCTCTAACCAAGCAATGTTTGTGACATCCAAGTGGTTAGTAGGTTCGTCAAGCAGCAGTACGTCAGCCTTTTGCAGCATGGCGCGGGCCAAGGCGAGCTTCATCTTCCAACCGCCGGAGAGCGAGCCGACTTTTTGGCTCTGGCGACCTTCAGGGCCAGATGTGAAGCCAAACTCTTCTAAGACTTCTGAAATGCGCTCGGTACCCTGAGGGCCGATTTCAGGGTCCTTGGCGACAAACTCCAGAATGCTGATATCAGCATCTTCACCCTGGTTGTGCTCAACGTAGCAAGTGCGGAGGACGTCTTGAGGAGGGAAACCCTCAAGCTTGCCGTTCGCAATACTTCTCATAAGAGTAGATTTACCGGCGCCGTTGCGGCCACAAAGGCCGTAACGGTGACCCTTGAGAAGTCTCAGGTTGGTGTGTGATAGCAACAGCATACCACCGTAGGCAAGAGAAAAGTCGGCATTGACAATCTCGACCTCGCCGTCGTCTTCCTTCTCGGGTACGCCAAATCGGCGCGCGTCTTCATCAACGTAGAATTGTTGAACGGCGTTGCCGATAGTAGTAGGTATATCGGTGTTCTGAACCAGATTGTGTAGGTAGGGCGTGATGCGAGCGGCGATGCGAGTAACGAATCGGTAGTTGACGTCTGTAGCTACCATGTCGCAAATATAAGGCTCAGCCTGATTGTAAAGATCGAGCTGGCCGGCGAGACCATTGTTCTTCTGGACTTCGGCGTCGAGGACCTTGGCAACATCTTTAGGGGTTGTGCGGGCAATGATATCGCTGTCCTCGCCCATGGCCTTCTTCATGGTAGCCAGGGCACGCTCCGCGAGCTCACGGACCTCAGGGAGCGAAGCGCGGTCGCAGACGCCCTTGACACCAGGGGTAAGCTTAGGAAGGAAAGTACGGGCCTCGATGGGATCGTGGACAAGCTTGGTCAAGTTCTCAACAATAACGACTGTCTGGCGCAGAATTTCCTGAGCAGTATTTGGGTTGTTCAGGGAGCGCTCCAGAAAAGGAGTGAGCAGCGCGAGAACGGGTGAAGTGACGATGGCGACGAAGGTGGTCTGCGAAAGAGCGTGGATCGCCTTCTGCAGCGTCTGAGAGGAAGGGTGCTGCATGGTGTCCACAAGGAGCGGAATACGAGGGGCAACATCGTCGTTGGAAAGAAGCGCGGTGAGAGAGTTCATGGTCTGAACAGCCTGCTTTTCAACCTCGGATTTCAGATCATGCATGCCATCCTCGACTATGGGGATGAGGGAAGCGAGCTTGGCGCCCATGGCTTCGCGGAGGACGTCCTTCTCGGCGGCTTCCTCCTTGGTGGTCCCGACAGTAAACTTGGACTTGTCGGCCATCTTCTGGAGGAGTTTGTAGGCGCCGACAGTGCCCTGCCACTTGCCAGTCTTCTTGGAGAGGTATGCTGTCAGTGCAGGAAGGAGACCAGAGACGAGGCTCTCAGCGCTGAGGCCATTGAAGAGGGCGTCGAGGCCGTACTGAGCAGCCTCACGGACGACGGCACCCTTGTCAGCTAAAGCATCGAGAGCGCAGGCAACCATACCCTGAGCAGGGTCGAGGAGGACAACTTCGCTTATAGGCTGTCGGGGAGGAAAACGCTCGAAGATGGCGCCGAGGAGGTTCTGGCTAGATTCGCGGCGGATGCCGCTCTTCTTATCGTTGGCAGCCTTTTTCAGATCGGCAATGACACCATAGTGGTTGAGACCGACAACGCCGACTGAGTTGAGGAGCACCTCGCAGAGTGCATAGCAAGCGTCGATGCAGGCGTTGGAGGACTGCGCGGTGAAAATAGTGTCGAGGAAGGCCGTCACATCTTGCTGGGATGGTGGGGGAGGGGCAGCCTTGGAGATGGCCGTTGGTAGCGACGGAGGGGAGACTGGGTGAGGCATGATGCGTGTCGTATGGGCGTTCCCTTGTGATCCCAGACTACAAGATGGAAGAAGCCTCGAGACGCTGCGCCGTGAGATGCGCGCGCAAGAAGTGGGAGTGGAAATATATGGGAGAGGGAAAAGGCTGCGTGGCAGGGAAAAGTCCCGGGCGAATTTCTACTCTGCGAGTACCTGCCATGCTGTACTGTGCATACTAAACTTTTTAATGGCAGAATAATTTTTCTTTATCTTATCGGAGGGGCCGGAGTCAGCAGCTTGCCAGCCAGCCAGCCAACCAAGATGCCACTAACAGCCCGTGACCCGCTGGGGGAGATGAATGGCTGGGGAGGAGGGGGCGATGCGCTGGGGCACCAGGCGGAAAGGCGCTTTGCAAAGTATGGAAATATTTGGACACGAGATCCGGCAAGTAGACGGAATTTTCAAAATATTTAAAGCAGAGAAGAAAGGTTGTTTCGAATGATTCTATCTCTGACACATGCCTGGTCTCTTGGTTCACTATCGCGGTCCCACCGAGCCACTATGGGATACAAGGCCGCTGATTCTTGCAACGCCTTTATTACCCCGGCTACCCAACAGAAGCAGCCCCAAGCGTGGATTAATGTTTGTTATCGTGCGTCGCTAATAAAGCATTGACGAGTTTCTTAGAATAAAAGTGCGCGAAGCAGGATCCAGATTTATAGAATACTTAGGTACTCCGTACGTACTGGTGAGATGCATACGCCAAAGGATTAATGTCTGCCAGCGACATTTGATACTGCTGTCTAAAGGTACTAAATTTTTCAATTTCTCGGCGACCAAAAAGATCTCATACTTTTGTAGTAAAGAGTACGAATTAATTAATTCCTTTTCCAAAATAATGCGATAATGTTTGCATAAATCTGGCCAACTGTCACGCCGTTGCCGTACACCAGCCAACTGCGCACCATGAGCCCTCATGTTGCAGCGCTACTTAACACCTGCAGATTTTCTTATTATCCAACTTATCACACCATATCCGTACATCTTTTGAATGTTCATCTCACATTCAAAGGTTTTCCGCATCAGTTGAGAAAGTTGATCCCCCCCTGTGGCTGCTGTGGCGCTTGGACTCCCTCAGCCCCCTACAAAAAGGCGCTCCACACTGACCACCACCCTGTATTTGGTTTAATGAGGGCCGAGACGGTCCTGCAGGAAAAAGAAACAAGGACGCTTTGTCTTTGCATCTCGCCTTCGTCCTTGTCTCGCTCCGTGGTTCGCGCCATCCGTCGCCGTCTGCTCCGCTTCTTTCCTATCTTCTCCCTTTCGACCTTTTGACCTATTGACCAAAACAGCCATTCATTGTCATCTCACCATCATCTTCACTCGACGTCCCTCTCTCTACAAGCCAACTTTGTCGCGCCACTCCTTCCGCCTTATCACCTCCTTAGCCGAACTGTAATCTCCCTACCAACACGCCATTCTGCAGCAACCTGTTTGCAGCCTTCCCACCGGGCCATTTCGTCTTCTCACATTCGCCATTACGTATCGACATGTTATTTTATGAGGCTCGATAACCAAACCAATACACTGCACAGCCATGGCTCCGAGGCTATCCTCCGAACGGTCCACCTCGCCACACGACCAGAGCAGCTTTCCGGCACCACAAGACGACAATGCTCAGCATGTGCGTCCCGCTAGCATCGTTTCCTCGCGAATGACCGACGTCGGTAGTGACGATGGTCGGTCGTCATCCAAGCAAGCCAAGAACCGCGCTGCCAAACCCGGTACTTTTGGCACTTCACGAAACAAATACCCGAGCCTGGCTCGCCAACAGCAACAGTTTGGCAAGTCTAAGCCAGTCGCTCCTGCGCCCACCACAAATCGAAGCCATGTCCCCTCCCTTACTTCCAACGCATTTTATCGACCCATGAGTTCGCAGAAGCTCCAAGCGCAAAGAGCTGCTGCTGCTCGACCCGCTGCCACTCTATATCCTCCGGCCGAATTCGAAACGCTAGATGACGGCATGACAGATGCCGGCGCCTCCACCATTGGAACCTCGGCAGCGCATCGCAAAACACCATCCGACGTTCGTCCTCAGTCTCGCGCTACAGAAATGGCCGATCAGGATACCCTCGACCGCCTGACTGCTAATGCTAGTCCTACTACTGGCCATGTCCCAACCGATAGCTTGACTGATAGCATGCGGCCGCTTAAGCAGCGACACAATAGTACGCATGATCACCCGACCTCTCCGGTAGCCGAAAAGTCCACTCGCTCCTTTCGCTCAAGTTTCCGCCTGGGCCGCAGAAGTGATGCCAGTGCAGGCCGGCACCACGGCAACAACGGCGCTGAGAAGCTTTATTCAAACGCTTCCTCACCCCGACTACGTCCGGTGGACTCTCAAGGCCGACCCGTGACGGGCGCAACCGCAGGGACGGAACATGGACACGGCAAGCTTGGCTGGGTCTATCAATACTTTGAGGGCAACACGGTTTTCTGTCTAGGCGGCAGGTGGCAAAACACCCGACATCGGCCCATGAACATCGCGACTGGCATCTTCGTACTCGTGCCCTGTGTTCTCTTCTTTGTGTCCGAAGCGTCGTGGCTCTGGCATAATATTACCCCGGCTCTGCCCATCGTTTGCGCCTACCTCAGTTTCATCTGCTTCTCTTCATTTGTTCACGCATCTGTCTCGGATCCTGGCGTACGTCTTGAGCTCTCCCCTTGATACAATATATGCTAATAACCATAGATTTTGCCGCGAAACCTTCATCAGTTTCCCCCCCTCGGAGACAATGACGATCCCCTGCAGCTGGGACCGCCAACGAATGACTGGACCCTCGTCAAGTCGGCCGAACCTTCGGCTGCTGCTATGGAAGTTCCAGTGAAACACTGCCGCACCTGCAACATCTGGCGCCCGCCTCGTGCTCATCACTGCCGACTGTGTGACAACTGTATAGAGACACACGATCACCACTGTGTCTGGCTCAACAATTGCGTTGGCAAGCGCAACTACAAGTACTTTTTCGTGTTTATTTCGAGCGGAACTCTCCTTTCGCTCTTTCTTATTGGCACGAGCCTGGCGCAGATCCTCATCTACCGGAGTCGCGAAAGCATCACATTTGGCCAAGCCATTGACCACTTTCGAGCTCCCTTTGCTCTGGTCATCATTTCTGCCTTGGCATTCTGCTATCCCTTTGCTTTGCTCGTGTACCACGTCTTCTGGATCGCTCGAGGCGAGACAACGCGGGAATATGTCAACTCCCACAAGTTTGATAAGAAGGAGCGCTATCGACCATTCAGCCAGGGCAACCTGTTCAAGAATTTTATGGCAGTCCTCTGCCGGCCGCGGGGCCCAAGTTACTACACATTCAAGGGCAACTATCAGTACGGTGACCAGCGCCTCGGAATGCGGCGTGACCTCCGTCCCCGTCAAAATTCCCAGGGACTGGAGCTGGGCTCTGTCCAAGGCACTGCACAAGGCTTTCAGGGACCGGTTGCACTCCGGGGTGAGAGTCGCCAGTGATGACCACCACCCACTCCCTTCTTTAGCCTTTTCTTTCTTTTTCTTCTCCCAAACGAAACCGATATTGTTCGATTCATCCGGCAAGCGTTCTTGTTTCTTGGCACCCTCGCTTTTTCTATTTGTTTATCATCAAACGCGAACATCATTTGACCGCACCATGTAGTGATAGAATACCCAGGTGATTAAGATAATGGGCGAGTATATGTTCATCTAGTGTAATTAGGCGGTGCAGATTAATGTCCAATAATAGTAATCTGCCACCACACGCTACCAGAAGCAAATGTATTAAATGCGTGACTACTTTTATGCCCATGGATTATGTATTGTACTGCTCGGAGTGTTCTTTCTTCTATTCACTTAAATCATTATTTACCACTTAAATCATTGCTTACCACTTAAATCATTATTTACCACTTAAATCATTATTTACCACTTAAATCTGACGTATTCTTCAACCATGCGCCTCCAACGCCGGTTTGACCCGGACCTAAGGTCTTTGCAATGGGCTGATTCCGGCGCACGTGATTCGCTGGAGCTTCCCCAATGGCCGCACTGCGCCAATGAGCTTGGGAGCTTTTTCTGGCTTGACCTTTGTCGACAACGTCATTTTCTCTCAACCTCTTCGCTCCCATCCCTAGAAACAACGAACGCCATCAATCCACAGCAACAATGGCCTCCCACGTCGCACGTCGCCTCTTTTCCACCACGACCCGCCGCATGGCCGAGGAGAACCTCAAGGCCGAGTCGAAGCGCAACCCCGAGACTCTGGTGCGTCCCTTTTTTTCTTGACTTGGCCCTCGGTTGTCGTCAGCCGCACGACCAAAGGTCGCCCGAAAAGCAGCATCGCCGTCCCTACAGCATCCCGATTGGGTGTCTAGAGGCTCAATCGGACGCGGATGTGCCGCTCGAACTTGACGGAAGGAATTTGGCTGGGCTAACGTGCGGAATCACAGATCCTCGGTGGCGTCATGGTCGCTGCTCTCGGCGGCGCCGGCTACTACCTTGGTAAGCTTTGCCTCCCTTTACCTCTCCCGTTTTCCCTCCGATTGGCACAAGAAGAATTGGCACCGGCTCGCCAAAGAAAAAGGAAGACGCAGACTAACCCAGCTCGCCCCCCCAGGCCGCAACCCTACCTCGTCGACCTCCGAGTCCAGCGTGCATGTCACCAAGGGCAGCGCGCCATGGGAGTCGGGCGACGCCGCCAAGTACAAGTACCAGCCCGGCGGCGACCCCAACGCGGAGCCGCGCGACGCCCCCTCGGCCGTCAACACGGTCGTCGTCCCCAACGTCACCCTCACCCAGGAGTTCCACGACAAGTACAACAAGTGGGGCAAGGATGGCTACCCTTAAATGTCAGCTTGCGTACGGATATGAAAGAATGCGAGGGTTGAAAGGACGGAAGGAAAAGGAGAGGGAAGACGACTGTTCAATGGCGGTCCGGAGGACTTGGGTAGACCTTGTAGAGTTGTGTAACATTTTTCAAGCAGAAGAGACCATGATATAAAACTATCTCACCCACACGCAGGTTGAAAATACGATATTGTGGTGGTGGCACCACGGTAAAGTTGTTGTGGTGTAGAAAGGTGAATTATAATCATATGTACAGGATAAGTTTCAACATGTCAAATTCTAGATGACTGGCAGAAAGAAGTCACCAGCTCATAACACCGTCCCAATGCCGGCCTCCTCTGTCCTCAGTTTTCCCACTGGGTTCGAAAAAAGGACAAGGAATAAATAGATACATACATGTTTCTTTCGTCTCGTCAACTCCGTTCCAATCAGCAATGCATCCCCAACACCACGCCTCAAACACACACCCAACAACACATACCAACTTTTCCACTCCTTCCATTTTTCATTATTATTCTTACGAGGTCAGAGCATTAATCTCCTCGGCCGTGAAGCCAAACAGATAGAGCAAGTCCAGTAAGCTCTCGCCGTTGAGGCGCGCCGCGGCCTCCATCTGCACGCGGGGCTTGGCGTTCCAGGCGACGCCGAGGCCCGCCTTGTCGAGCATGAGCAGGTCGTTGGCGCCGTCGCCGACCGCGACGACCTGGGAGAGGTCAATATTCTCCTTGGCCGCGATCTCGACGAGCAGGTCCCGCTTGCGCTCCTTGCCGACGATGACGCCCTTGGCCTCGCCGGTGAGCTTGCCGTCGGCGCCGACCTCGACCTCGTTGGCGTAGGCGTAGTCGATGCCGAGCTCGCCGGCGAGCCAGGCGGTCAGCGGCTGGAAGCCACCGGAGAGCACCGCCGTCTTGACGCCCAGGCGCTTGAGGGCCCGGAGCAGCTGCGGGACGCCCGTGGTGACCTGCAGCGCGGGGCGCAGCCGCTCGAAGACGGACGCGGGCAGGCCGTGCAGCAGCCGCAGGCGCGCGCGGAAGGACTCCTCAAACTCGAGCTCGCCGGCCATGGCGCGGCGGGTGATGTCGGCGACGCGCTCGGCGAGGTCGCCGCCCTCGGGCACGTGGTCGGCGAGCAGGTCGATGACCTCCTGGCGGATCAGGGTGCTGTCCATGTCAAAGGCGACGAGGCGCGGGTGGCGGCGCCAGACGGCGTCGCGGCGCAGGACGACGTCGACGTTCCACTCGCGCTCGAAGCGGTAGAGCGCCTCGTGGCGGCGCAGCTCGGCGACGCTGAGGAAGTCGGGCGACGGCGCGGGCGTCAGGGTCAGCTCGACGACGCGCGGCGCGTCAGGGTCGTCGAGGCAGCGGTGCGCCGAGTGCGGCTCGTCGGCGCCGTCGCCGTTGTCGGGCAGCGGGAAGCCGGACATGAGGTGCAGGAAGGAGGCGATGCACAGCGGCGACACGTACGAGCCGTACAGGTGGTCGAGGTGCTCTGGCTCCTGCGTCGGCGGCTCGAGGGGGAAGGCGTCGAGGCTGGCGGTCGGCGCCATGTTGGCGGGCAGCGAGTCGGTGCTGCCGTCGAGGGGGGCGGCCGTGGCGGTGTTGGTGCAGGTGGCCTGGCCTTCCGTCGCGTTGTTGCGACTGCCCTTGTAGAAGAGCGTCACGACGAGGCGGTCGGTCTGGCGGCCAGCGGGCGGCGCACAGTTGTGGTGGGCGTAGGTGTGGTCGATGCCGCTCTCGACAATGGTGGGAGGCGCGTCGTCAGAGGGCACGCCGCGAAAGGGCAGCGCCGTGACGGACGGTCGGCCGGGGCCCTTGGAGCTCTCGAGGACGGTGTCGATGCCATGGTGAGCGGCGACGTCAGGGACGCGCGGGCTGGCGCGGCGGTACTGCTGGTGGTCGCTGAGGTACGAGCTGCTGCGCATGGCGCTGGTGAGTTGGGGCCTGGCAGTAGCCGGCTTTTGCGGGCTGGTCGGCTCGGCCATGTTTTGCATGTATGTCTTGTTTTCTTTTTGCTCTTTGTTACTCTCTTCTTTTATTAAGTTGAAGAATCTTTTATTAATCTTGAAAAGGCTGCTCCTGAGGAATCACAAAAAGAGGAAAGAAGAGGGGTTTAGGGAAGAGGGGGAGACGAGGGTATTCAGAGGTCTCGCCCGTTGGAAAGAAGGGTAGGGCCCCACTGGGCATTTGCGAGAGGGAAGAAATCGGCGATGCAGTGCGTCTTGGCGGCGGCAGTTGGGCTGCGGGTTTTGCGCAGGGTCAATTGGCGAGGTGAATTTGATTTTTTGTAAATATTAAACAAATAATTAAACCTCTTGCACAAAAGAGGTAGGCAAGGAGGTGCACGACAGCAAGAAATGGCAAAATGTGCGAGGCTGGCATATGACGCACTTTTTTCCCTTCTCACAGCGCCCCGCCAAACAATATGCAGCGGCCATTATTAGGCATCCGATCGATCAGTGAAGCAGCAGCCAACAAACACTATAACTACTAGGTAGTACCCTGGAATCCATCATCCCATCTTCCCCTAATGCCCACTACAAATGCAATGCAACACCACAAACGCCAATCAAGACGGCATGGATTCAAATCTACATACTACCAGAATCATTATTCCTGCACGGGCTGTTTCTAATCAATGGGGGCATGACAAGTGCGGAGAAGTATAACTTGTTAACCCCTATGTGTGGAGAGGACTGAACAGATTGTAGATGGCAGACACAACACAGGGTCATTACCTCTTATCTGGTAAGAAGTAAGGCGAGGGCATACAAGCACCCAGCGTACTCCTCTCAATCTGGCACGGGCTGGCTACCTGGCTCTGATCTTGGAAGCCAATGCATCATGCCTTGCTTCGTTAGAGCGGGCGCGACCTCCTTTCCGCGCCGTACTAATAATACTACTAGGAAAAAATAATACTAGGTCCGAGAAAGTATCTGCCACTACTCCGTAGTAATCGGCGTGAGCCTGCCCGGCGACCCTAATCGGGCCAAGCCGTGGCTCCAACTACCACGACGCCGGTAGGCTCTTTGATCCAACGACATCAGACCCAGCAACAAATTGAGATGCTGATGTTTGGCGCGATAGGCCCAGGCTTCATAAATATCTGGTGACAAATTCCTGACTTGTATCTTAACAAGGCGTCCACGCTCCCTCCCTGTGCTCATCCAACTTGCTGTTCCTCTATGTCATACACTCGCCGCCCAAACCAACACGCGAGCCCCAAGCAAAGTTTTCATTCTGCTGTTTTTGAAAAATGGAATCTCTTCTGTCCAGAGCATAATTCTTAGCGTCTGTTGTAGCATTCCCCCGTCATCATCGCCTTACCGTAAAATACATACATCTGCTTTTCTAAAAATAAGAATCCCTTTTTTCCAGAGCTTAATGCGTAGTGTTAGCTGCAGTATTACCTGGCGTCATCACCTTACTGTAAAATACATACATTTGCCTTTTGAAAAATAAAGAATCTCTTCTTTCGTCAGCTGTAACATTCTCCCGTCGTCATCACCTTGCCGTAACGTACATATATTGACTTTCCAAACTCTACACTCTCCCTAAAGCTGTGCTCTTGACAGATCTCTCGGACTTAAATGACACGCTATCGTGCCGAAAATGGAAATTTCGCAATTCTGAACTGTAAACTTGCGCTTATTGTAGCAGTTTAACGCTCCAGACCTTAATTTGAGACTCTCACTCCGAAACTACCTGCTAGTTCCGCACCACGCCATGCCGCGGCCATTGTGAGTACGCGACCAACACACATGAATAAATATTTTGCAAAGCTTGTTGGTGTAAGTAGAGTTCGGTATGATAACCTAAATGCAGCCTTGCTCTCTATAAAACACCCTGCTCTCCTCCTCCCAAAAAAATCTCCCCCCTCTCCTTCATCTCTTGTTCAACCGTCTGACAACCACTTACTTCTTCATCGATCTTGGCTAAGACACAACTAAGTCCCATTTACACTCGTTCTCACTATTATACTTGGCATCCAGTCAATCGAAACACTTCGTCTCACTCAACTTCGATCCTCGATACTCGATCCCAATAACAACCAACCCACTCTCGATCTCCTACACTCAGTATCAATGGCGTCTACGAAGCTCATCAAGTCTCGAAACATGCCGAAGCCGGCGGCCAAGAAGCCAACCGGCCTCCTTGACCTCCCTCTCGAGCTGCAAATCATGATCTTCAAGCGTGTCCTTGACGAACCCATACTCTGGGATCGTCAGCACCGCAACGGGTGCCGCTTCCGCCCTACTCGAACCAACGTCATGGCCCAGCCGCCCTTCATGTCGCAGCGCGTCTTCGTCGACGCCGAGTACGCCCTCCACTGCGGTCCCTACGACGCCCCCAAGGGCTTCAGCCTCGCCGAGACCTGGACCGCCTGCAAGTGCGCCAAGCGTCGCGGCGTGAACCTTTTGGCTGTCAACCGCCACATCTTCTGGGTGGCCCGGCCCCTCCTCTGGTCCAAGACCACCTTTTGCTTCTTCGACGCCACCGAGTTCGCCGCCTGCATAGCCGTCACGACGCCAGGCAGCCGCGGGCTGATCCGCTCGGTGAGCGTCCAGACTTTTCGAGGGCTCGTCGGCTGGCAGGACTACCGCGTCTGCCTGCGCAGCAAGTTCCCCGACGGCAGGGACCGCCCCAGTGGCGTGTTCCCGTACAAACAGAAGTGCGTGAAGGCGATGTGGAGGGCACTGCTGGAGATGCCTGAGCTCGAAAATCTGGGCATCCCATGGCAGTACTTGACCACTGAGGTCTTCGACAGCATGGATGCCGCTCAGCTTGTCCAGTCACATCAGTACTTGGAGGGTCTGGGTGAACTAGAATTGACGCATTTCGGTTTGCATGGTGGCAATTTGGACCCCGATGACGAGCCCGGAGACTTCTGGGTCGAGCTTTTTGATGGCAAGTGCTTGTCGTCATTGGCTGGCTGGTCTCATCGCGTGCAGTTGGCGCCCTGGCTCAAGCAAGAGGCCGCGCCTGGCGCTCCTGGCGCATACCCGCCTCCTTTCCCCGAAAACCTCACCAGCCTGCAAGAGGGTGTCGTCGAGGACTGTGAAGAAGATGTATACGCCGAGGTCAGGAACCATGTAATGGTCCAAGACCACAACACCTTCAAAGCGCGAGGCATTTGCTGGACGCGCCCTCGCGATGATATCCTTGCCAGCGACGGACGTCTCGACCTCGATACTTTCCATGGACAGCTCATTTCTTTTAAACTCTACAACATGCCTCTGAGCAAGGATGCCTGCGAGAAGCAGAGAGCGGCACGAGCAGCTCGTTTCGATGAAGGGGCTGAGTGCGGGAAGCAGTCTCATCGCGGCAGCCGGAGACGAAGCCCGGAGCTCAGTCTCATCAACTGCTTTGACCGCATGTGCATGGACGAGTACAACTATTCTACCCGAGGGCTCACTCCAAACACGCCTGTCTACGAAGAGATCATGGCCCCTGCTGTTGCGGCAAAGCCGGTCAAGAGCAAGCGTGTGCGGGTCAAGAAGAACCGTCGCGGTAGCAAGGGAAAGCAGGAGTAGTGGTCCAAATTCAACACGAGGATGCTACAGAGTTGGAATATAGCGGAGGAATTTTACAGATTGGAAATGTTAGTCTTGCTAGGAAATTCTTTCTCTTGGTAGGGAAAGTCTTGGTCTTGCTAGGAATTTTTTGGTCTTGGTTGGAAGGTTTTGGTCTTGTCGGAAAGTTGCGGAAGGCAGGCAACTGAGTCGGAAGACCTAACCTCAGCGATGTGATGGCACAATGGCCAAGTGTACTCTAAACTTTTCATACTCAATAAAATTTGTTAAACCCAAGATTTCTTTTCGCCCCTACAGTGTGATGGCAAGAAGACCGGAGTAGTCATCAGTGACTTGTGCCAGCAAGGGCAGCCTGAGACTGAGGTTGTCGATGCCAGCCTCATTGCCCGGCGTAGCAGCGATGCCGCATTGGTTTCAAGAGCCGAGTAAACGGATCAATATAGAACATCTACGCGTGTTTACGCTCTACAGTCAGAAAATTGAAGGGAGCGGCCTGATCATTTGTCGACTGAGAGTCGACATCCCGAGCATTGCGCGGTGATGCGTGCCACATGAGCGAGGGCCCGATCCCTGCGTGCCTCCCCCAGAGGCAAGAATCACAGGCCCGCCCCCGCCTTGAAATCTGCTAATAACGCATGTTGACGAGTGCGAGCGAGCGAGCGAGCCACCATTATTAACGCAAAAGTGGTTCACCTTGTTGTTCGCTGGTTCGTTGTCCGTTCCCTCCGCAAGGCCCTCTACAGCCCACCACCCACCATCAACGCCACCCACCGCACCAGAGAGAGTATTTCAGGGAAAAAACGCCATCATGCCATCCCGCCTTTCTTCCTTGCCATCGACTCGTGCTCAAACGGCTGCTCAACGTCGACGCAGCAGTGAATGCTGAGCTGCGGCTCGTCGGGCGGGCTGTCAGCTCACACTGGCAGGGCTGCCGCTGCCGACGACCATGCGAGACACTTCTGTGCGTGATTGTGTGCCCTCTTTTCAGCGCTGACAAGGCGATCGACCTCGGACGCGGGGAGAACGAAATCATTTCATCATCCACCCGAGGCAAGGGGCAATGACGAGCTCGATTCCAAAGAGCATTTCTAATCTCAATGCGTGGCTCAAAAAGGCAACACAAGCACACAGCCCTTGGCCGGGCCGGGGGGCTCCAGTAAAAACTGAGCTAAAAGCCCCATCAAGTCGCTGAGACATGATGTTGTTGGCTTTGATAGCGTGAGGCAAAAGTAGACAGTACTTGCCGACGGCCCTTGCCGGCTCCTCGCTGGCCAATCACATTGCACGCTTCGCATCGCGGAAGCAATGGCGTCGATGTCGTGATCAGTCCCCATCACCACGCAAAAACTCAGACGGTTTCGCCAGGCTCATAGTATGGGCGTTTCCGGGCACAGCTCGTTGCACGTCAAACGGGCGGCCTGTGGGAAAAGACGCAATGGAAGGAAAAAGGGCGTTGAAACAGCCCACTCCTGTTGCTCAATTAGTCAGGGCACTGTCCCCCCATCCCATGGCTTCATACAAGCCTTGCATTCCGTAAACCTCCTCCTCCTCCTCCTCTTCCTCTTACTTCTCATTCATAACGGTGATCACACATTCTCTGATTATAAACCTGGTCCTGAAATCAACCTGCCAGCATCAAGATTAGCAAAGCCACTTCTGCCTCTATAAAACAAGCCCAAGACTCACCCCTGGCAATCTTACATCACATCCGCCCACACAAACATCAAATCCACGCACAACAAGAGACGTCGTGGCTCGATACTCCGAACCCATCCTTTCCTTGGTCGTTGTCATATTCCTATCCTTCATCATGACGCAGAGCTCGCCCCAGTCCTTCCACGAGGACAAGATGGACAACCACGACATTGAATCGGGATACGTCTCCGGCCAGGACGGCGAGGTCCCGGTCAAGCCGGCCGCGTCGTCGCCCCTCATCTCGCTCAGCAAGTCCCATATCGAGTACCTCAACGACCAGATGGAGACGATGCACCCCATGGACATCCTCCGCTTCTGCAAGATCATGTTCCCCAACCTGTACCAGTCGACCGCGTTCGGCCTGACCGGCCTCGCCACCATGGACATGCTGTCCAAGATCCAGGCCGAGAGCCCGAGCTCGCCCACCGTCGACCTCATCTTCCTCGACACGCTATACCACTTTGACGAGACGTACGAGCTGGTCGACCGGGTGCGTGTGCGGTACCCCAACGTGCCCGTGCACGTCTTCAAGCCCGACGGCGCCGAGACGGCCGCCGAGCTCGAGGCCACCTACGGCGAGCGCTTCTACCACGCCGCCGGCGACATGTACGACTACATCGTCAAGGTCGAGCCGCTGCAGCGCGCGTACGACACGCTCGGCGTCGCCGCGGTGCTGAGCGGCCGCCGCCGCTCGCAGGGCGCGGCCCGCGGCGCCATCCCCATCATCGAGCTCGACGACGAGCGCGGCGTCGTCAAGATCAACCCGCTGGCCGCGTGGAGCTTCGCCGAGGTCAGCCAGTACATCAAGGACAACGACGTGCCGTACAACGCCCTGCTCGACCGCGGGTACAAGTCGGTCGGCGACTGGCACTCGACCGTCCCTGTGGGGGAGGGCGAGGACGAGCGCGCCGGCCGCTGGAAGGGCCAGGCCAAGACCGAGTGCGGCATCCACAACAAGAAGTCGCGCTACGCCCAGTTCCTCAAGGACATGGAGGGCAGCCAGCAGATTTCCGTCTAGGCTCGTGCGAGGCTGTCGGCCAGCCGGGCCGGGCAAGGTCCGTGGGGAAAGCAAAAAGCGGTGATGTAATGAACTTGATGATGGAGAGCATTTTGCGGTATTCTTTGGCGATATTTCGAGGCTTTGTTTTTTTGGTGTTTCATTGGTTGCACAGCATGGGTATTGATGCGGCTGCGGCCGATTTCATTTCGATTCATCATGGATTGGCGTTTGGTGATGCTTTTTTTTCCTTTTCGGCCAGTCACCCGCCGAGATGGTCGTCGCACAACAAAAAGGTGGCCGCTACTCCGGCAAGGAGACTAGGTGATTCATCTGCATTAGTTAGACCATTCTTAGATACGAATAAGCAAAAATTAGCAAACTCACTCGTGTGTTGTGCATCGTGACAAGAATGAGGCGAGGACGTCGCAGAAGTGGGAGTTGACGTCGGACAGGGCCGTACTGGATTGGCCAGCGACCACATGACCCCGCAGTTGCATGACCTCTATGTAGCCCCGAATATTGATGGGATTTGGCAAGGGACTTGATCGTGCAGATAATGTACATAGTTAAGTATTTACGTAAACGTTATTTTACATAAGAACTTGAAGGCCAAAATGTATGTATTCTTGCGATGCTATAGCGTTATGCTGCCGCTGGTCAATACTCTCTTCAACCCTCCTCTGGATAGCCTCACGGCGTACAGCATGGCTCTGCGCAACACTGCGCTCCAACAAAATTGAAACTGTAGAACAACTGTGCGTAACAATGAATAGTCCTATTTTGAACTCTGAAAATATAAGAATCAAAGACACTTTACTCTGAAAATGGCAACTACATTCCAATCCGTCACCCAGCCAGCATGGCGTCCAACAAGACTCACTTATACGTCGTGCCAAATAAGAATCGCCTATATGTGACTGTGTACCCAGACGACGACGCCCCCGACGACAAGGAAAGGTAACTGCTGCCCTGATTCTCGGTTCTCTGTGGATAATTAGTTTCTCTTTTTTCTCTCCGAGTATGGCAAACCTAATCAAGCGTGAGTGAGCAGCTTCAGCTGGGGTTTCCTCATCGGGCCAAAGCACGAGGACACCGTCATCAACCCCGGCGTGCGATACTACATCGACCGTTCGCCGGTCCCGGCCACGAGCGAACATCCCGAGGGCAGCAGCGGCGGCGGCGGTCGTAGCTTCCGCTGGCGGTACGCCGAGGACGCGCTGCCCAGCATCAAGTGCCCGGCGCGCATGTACGCGCGCATCCTCATCGCCAAGATTGAGGACGAGGACCGCCTCGAGCGGCTCCTGCGCGAGACGCCGCGGCCGCGCGCCCCGGAGGAGGGCGAGGATAACCCCCTCGCCGCAGCGCTGCGCGTGGGCTACAACTCGCAGGTGTGGGCGTCGCAGGTGCTGGCCCGTCTAGCCGGCATGGGCCGCAAGCGCAAGGACCGCATCGTCGGAACGGCCGTGCTAGACTGGCATCGCATCGAGCAGACGGCGCGGTGGTACGTCGCGGAGAAGATGGCCGCTGACAGATACAACGAGGACTATCTAAGGGAGACGCAGCATCGGTTGCCAAAGCCGACGTGGGATATGCTGCTGGACCGAGAGATAGCTGGTTGAGTGTGACGGTCGTGTGCGGTAGACTGGGTATGGCGTTGGATGCAATAAAATCGATATTGTTTTTATGAAATAGATAGATGATAGGATGTATGTATATATAGCATTCAATAAATAGCCTTGAGTATCAGGTCTAAAATGTTTGTTTGTTTGTCACGACGGCAACGAGCAGTGAATCACTAACACTGAAGCACTCAAGGGTAGCACGGGACGATGTGCATTCACACCCCGCATGAAGCGGAAGAAATCGGTGTAAACGACAGAGGGGGTATGGTTCTGTTTCTTGTATTTTCTTGCATTCTAATGTATTGAGACGTCTATCGGTAATGCATTAAGTAGGACGTGTCGTGTTTTCTCATCATGACATACTTGGTGCTGAACCCCACTCAAAATTCTTCCTCGATGGTTTCACTCACGCACTAACATTCATCATTCGGCCAACATCACATCTAATATGAAAAGGAAATAATCGAGCCACTCACATCTACTAGATAACACACACACACGCAGACACAATGGCCGGACCACCCGCGCTACCGCCGCCGGGACCAGCCTTCGAGGCCCGCAGGAGCAAGATCCTCGCCCAGCTCGCCGTGCCCGACGCCGAGTACTCAGACGCCTCCCCCAAAGGCACCGTCGACGCGGGCATCCGGCCGCTGCTAGACAACGTCAATGCCGCCGCGGGCTTCGTGACGACAAGCAGCTGCGCGGGTCGCGTGAGCGTCTTTGTCGAGGGCCGCAAAACGGCGGCAGCGGCGGCGGCGGACGGTGAGCTGGGGACGGTGGCTGGCCCGGGGGGCAAGGGCGGCGGCGGGACGTGGCTGTACGTCTCGCACGATCCGCACCCGCTGGTCGGACAGGGCGTCGTGGTGGACTGGGTCAAGGAGCTGGGACTTTCGGGGGAGCACGGTGATGCGGCGGTGCTGGATGCTACGGGCGGGTTTGGTGTTGGCGGTGATTCGGAGCGTAGACTGATTCACTTCAAGTTTGAGCCAATGGTGAGTGAGAACCGACGCAGACACTACCTACATCACGCACGCACTGCAAATGTTAAGTCGCAACCCCTGTCCAAGGCTGACAAAGGAGAACAAGATCCTACATGTCCTCACGGCGTCTCATGCCCACGCGCAGCTCCTCCTACGATGCGCCCTCCACGCCGGCTTCCGCGAATCCGGCGCCGTCAGCCTCTCCCCCGCGAGCGGCGAGCCGACCGCGACCGCCACGCCCATGGTCGCCGTCCGCTCCATGGGCCTGGGCTTCGAGTCTCTCGTAGGCTACGCCAGCGGCGACGGACAGCGGCTGCTCGTGCCGCCGGGCTATCTCGACACGCTCATGGCCGTCGCGCAGGAGCGGTTCGCGGAGAATGCGCGGCGGATACGGCGCTTCGAGGAGGCGTTCCGCGAGGCTGCGGAGCCGCGAACGAGCTCGGAAGGCGGCGGCGTGTGGGAGGACGCGGCGGCAAGGAGGGAGAGGATGCGCGCGGAGGGGTTGCGCCGGAAGGCGGCGGTGCAGGCGGAGAGAGGCAGCACGGAGGAGGATGTAGGGATGGATATAGACCTGACAGGGTCAATAACAGACTAAATCGAGCAAAACCAATCAAAACAGTCCAAAATGATATGCGGCCACTATGCGGACATCACCCAGCTGTTGTTTGCGCATGTCTTTTTTTGTCTATACAGCTTTTGCCGCTCCCGATAATCGTAATGTACACAAAATAGCAATGCCCCGAGCAGGCGCGGAGCCAGCGTGTGCAGCAACAAGGCTCAAGGTACCTGTCCTCCCCCATGAATCCATCAAATGATTATATCCCCCCTTCATCCGCAACTCACGACACCACCTTGTCGACCCACGACCGCTCCAGCTTCTGCACCTCGGCCTTGAAGTCCTCCACCTCCTGCCAGCAGTCCAGCGGCCGGCGGTCGTTGACGCGCAGGCACTCGACGACCCTGCCGCGCGCGCGCTCCACCTCCTCGGGCAGCGCGCGGACCTGCTTGCGCTCCTCGAGCTTCTTGCGGAGGGCGTCGACCTCCTTGCCGACGGTGAACCGGTTGGTGGTGGTGGCGTCGTCGGAAGAGGGGGCGGCGGAGGCGATTTTGTCGTGGGCGGCGGCGAGGGCTTCGGCCTCGCGCTTCTGCAGCTTCTTGAGCTCCTCGGCGACGCGGGCGTGGACCTGCTGCTCGAGCAGCTTGGCACGTGAGGCGTCAGTCTGTCACACAGGGCGGTTAGTTTGGTTCTGGGAATCGACGGCAGCGGTGATGGAATTCGGTCGATGGTGAGCGGTATCGTACCTCGGGACTGGACTGCAGAGAGTCGAGGACGGGCATGGAAACGCCAGGCGTGCCTGAGCTGTTTTTTTTAGATAGCGGTTAGCTTGCATTGAAGAGATTGGTGGTAGCTGCCGCAGGGTTTGACGGAGGGAAGGGGGGATTCCAGTCGACCGGTACGTACGCTTTCCACTGATAGCCCGATTGCTCGGGTTTTGACGTGCTGGACCCCATGATGTGTTGTTCAATGGCGAAGGGCGGCGGGCGGGACGGATCTTGAAGAGGCGGCCGGATCAGTTCGGCTCAGAGGAGAGCTTGCGCGATCAGTTGTCGGAGTGGAACAGCGTTGATGCCTGAGGCATGATTTTAGGTTGAATCAATAAATGATGAAAGCACAACAATCTGGAACGGAATTGAAATTTATTCAAGAAACCATCTTCGACAGGAATATATATTTCTTAAATATTCTATTGAATTTTGAATAAATATATAATACCGTCGTGCTGTGGAGATACACTGACAGCATAGTGAACGCGCGTGTTTGTGACGTCCACCGATAACGTATTTCTTGCAGTAGACTCAAGAAAAGAAGAACAACAAAGGGGAATCCTATAAAAAAAGCCTATAAGGATACTATAGCTTTGGTGCACGGTTCGTCGACAAAGGGTTGCCGTGCCGTGGTGCAAGCGGGAAAAATCACCAAAGCTCTTCTGGTACACGATTGTTGGATGAGACCATGCTCTGCATGACACTTAGAACGAAGTTGCCGATGCGCAAATGAATGACGGAGCAGAGAAGCAACAAGAACTCAAGCAGAAGGAAACGACACCTTTTTTTGTGTAGCTTGAGGTACTTGAGCTAGGTCGCGGTCGGTTCTATGCGCTGGTTGGGTTGGTCAAGGGTGACCAACACCCTTGGACGGCTCCCTTGGTACGAGTTGGCATTATTTTTAAGCTTACCAGTAGCATTTACCGCCGGACATTTTGAGTGAGTCGTGGCACCGATGTTGGCGGCACCGTGAGATCATTTGAAGTGCGTGACATATGACATGATATTATTGCGGACTATTCCCTACCAGGCCGAGCTATTGAGTGGCAGGTGCTGTGTGCAACTAAGTGTTATTATTATCGCAACGCAGTCTTGCACCGCAGCTGGTGTATCTGACGACGGCTGATTTCCAGTCATCAACTGGAATGAAGAAGACGTCGTTGAACCATTCTTGCCATTGTTCGCCGGTGGAGACTGTTTCCCTCGGTCGTTTATAGCGGTCGGATGATTGCATCTAGGAAGATTTTGGTGTGACAGATGCCATTTTGGATGCACTGGAGGCTACTCCGTACCTGCATGGGTAGTTATTTCCCCGACTTCCCTGACGAATACAACGACTCTGGTGCAACCCTTGGCCACGACTCGCCGGGTTATATTTAGCGGTTCCGCGTATTGACTTGTAAAGAGTTTGGCTGTCTCATTTGTTGATAGTTTGGCCAGAAGTATCCGTTCTTGGGCGAGTGAAACGTAGCATGGCGACGCAAACGGCTGATAATTGCAGCATGCATGGCGTTTCTGCTGATACAAATTTGCTTACCTTTCCCGAGGCTTTCTTGTGCAACGTGGATACTGTTGCAGATTGAGTAATAATAGCGGGCGTAAAACCAGCAGGGCGGATATTGGTGTGGATGGCAATGGAGACGGGATGAATACCAGTACGTGGCCGGCGTGGCATAACTAGAGGCAATTAACTAAAATTTCGACAGCATGCTGCGTGTACGACTGGTGTGGCTGCTTGGCGGTCCTTTGTAAATGAACTGTCAGACTGGTGGCTGGTGAGTAAGTAATAAGAATTTATCCTTCTGGGCGCCACGCAAGCGGTCTTGTAATGTTGCGATGAGCATTCGGCAGAGCCGGCAGAGACGGCATGGAGGGGTCCGAGACGTTGGTGTCTGTGGCCGTGCTGAGTGCTTTATAAACAGTAGTTATCTGTAGATGGGCAGATGCCCGGGCACTGGACGAGCGCGAATTGAAACATTCACGTGTAGGCGGGACTCGGGCGCGACTGGGCGGCTAGACGTGTTTTGTTGAAGGTGTGGTCGGTCACCAGGCGAGGAGGTGTCAGATCGGGTGAGAGAATATGCAGAGAAGAGGTGCAGAAGCGAAGGAACGATTGGACTTGTACTTTGTGGCGGTGACAGAGCAATTGTTTGCTGGACAAGGAGTGGTGGGCGTCGACTAGAAGCAGACAGGGTTAGCAGGGAAGATGGTTCACGCGCACGCTGGTTGGCTGAAGTTGCAGGAGGCGAGCAAAGCAAAGGCGAGGCAATGCAAGCCACTACACGATCGCGTATGCAGTGCGACCCCTCCCTCCAACCCATAAGCCTGAGCCCCTGCAGTATAGCGCTCCGCTGTGGCGGGTTTCAGGATACAAGCCTTTCTGGGCGAGCAGTGGTTGATGTTGAAAGTCATGCCTTGTGAGTGGTGGAGGGAGAAATGGACAAGAGGCTTGCTGGAGGTCCGAGAGGAGGGGGAGGACAGCGCGTTGATGATGTCCGGATGCAACCAGCCGTTGCCTGGATGTGTCGGGTGTGGCCACTGGTGAGGAGATGGGACGAAAGAGGGAAACGGGCCGTGAGGCGGGAATGCGACTTTGCAGGTGTTGGATGATGAACTGAGGTTTGGTGGAAAGGCAACGCAGGCAAGTCGAAGATTATGATTCTCCGCAGCCAATCTGCTGTGCCAAGGAAAGGGCAATTTGGCTGGGGGCGCTGCGGCCCAGCGGGTACCTTTTACGTGGTGATGATTGCTGCGTGGCAAAGGTACCTCGTATCGGAGTGAAGGGCCATACTTGCGGGAGTTATCTAAGATGGGAGTAGATTCGGGGTTAGTTGGTGTAGCTTGAATTTTAAGGGCTTCATCCAGCTTGGACATGTCAAGTCTGTCAGACGGATTCGGCTCGTTGATGGGAAACATCAGATACAAATCCTCCGTAAACTGCCAGTGCTGTATCATCAACAGGAACAGCACATTCGTCGTCGGGGTGGGACTGGCCGTGGGTATACCCGCTGTTATCCCCTGCGCCCAAGCCAGGCACAGCGTTTTGTGGATCCACAACCCCTGGACTGGCAACTGGGCACTGCGAGGTGCTGACCAGTAACGGAAGGCGGAGGCCACAGGTACAGTTAGTGTAAACCAGCCCCCAAGCCTCCTCCTAGACCACTCAAACCACTCCATGGAATGCTCCCTCGCCTCTCTTACCGACCTATCCTGACCAAATCTGACCTGATCTTGTCCAACCGACCGCAAAGTTGTCGTCTTTTTCGCTCGACTCGCTCGTCCACTCCTTTCCTCGACCTCTCTTTTTCTTCCAACATATATTCGTCCACCGCCTTTGCTTCAAGCCCCAGCCCTATTTTTTCTCTCCTCTCTCCTCTCTCTCCTCTCTCTCCTCTCTCCCTCTTCATCCTCCATCTCGTCCTAGCACCCCGCTGCTAAAGTTAGCGTGCCCCTACGTCGCATCCAACTTCAACCCACCCCTCGGACGATCGTCATTGCCCAGTCGTCCGTCTGTCGGCTTTCAACTCTGATTCACTTCGACCTGGGAAGCCAAGGGAATCTGACGTCTCCTTTCAGACCAACCCCCTTCTTTCTCCCTTTGTCGATACGACGACCCTTCGTTTCGCCTCCCCATCTTTCGTTTTGCCGTTTGCCGTTTGCCGTTTGCCGTTTGCCGTTGGCCTTTTGTCGTTGGTCCTCCTCCGCTCCTCGCCTGTCGTCCACTCTTTCGCCTGCCACTCGTTTGCTCTGGTTGATCGACTCTCTGCGTCGGTCTTGTTTCTCATCGTTTCTGAAACCCCCGCAACTGAACGACGCCAAAAAAACGATAAAAAAAACCAGCATTGTTCTGCATCTGCACCTCCTCTTGAAACGTGCCGCCCTTGTCCTGCATCCAACCGCCGTCTGCGTCACTGCACGACACAACAGACTCTTGCAAGGCCGCCCTATATTTTAACTACTGACGCACTTTCTTTATTTTTACTTCACTCTGCACTACCTATCCGGCACTACTTCTCCCGCTATCTTCTCGAATCTGTCATTTTGCTTCCCGCCTCTTTATTTATACCTTCTACACCTGGTACACGCGACGAATACATCACATCATCCTCGGCACTGCAAGACAGCTCCTGAAAAGGAAATAAATCGTCCATTTCGCCACTACCGCTCCTGTGCTGCCTAGATTCACTCGCTAGCCCCCGTTGTGGAGTGTTGGCGCATTCCTCTTCTTTCTTAGCCTCTATCACTACTAGTAGAGGCCTCGCTTCTCACACGCCGCCTGTCGCCAAGGACGCTCGCCTCGCAACAACACACCCCCTGCCCACCGGCATTTCTTTGTATCTGCCGCATAATCCTTTTTATGCTAGCCTCTCGGACCTTTCTTTCTCGTCACTGGCCTTTTCCATTCTTCCTTCTCGTCCATCTACGGCTCCTCAGTATTCAATCGGCCTCCCTGAGTTGGAGGCCTATACTGCTCGACTCTCACTTGACTCTTGGTTCACTCGTCACTTCTTCTGCCGGATTTTCTTTTACCTCTTCTCGCGCCGACCCTCCCTCCCTCCTCCCTGTCATTTTCGGAATTCGACATGGACGTCGACCCTCGCCGGTTCGCCGGTGTGGCGTCTACACCAACAACACACACCTTCAACATGCGCACAAATGAAGAGGTAGAGCAACCCAGTTCGACAATAGAACCCTATTACAACTCACTAAATGGAGTCAACCAGCCCATGAACATGGTTTTTAAGGATGCCCTCTGGCTAACCTTGGGCGGCCTCGGCCTCATCATTCTCACCATCCGGCTCATGGAGATTCTCTGGGCAAAGCTGCGCCAGGTCTCTGCCATGTCTGTACCTCGAGAAAAGCAAACTTACTGGAAAGTTTCCCAATGGAGCTGGATGCCCAGTCTCAAGAAGAACCTCATCTATGCGCCTCTCTGGAAGAAGCGCCATAACCGCGAGTTTCGACTTTCCTCCGCCATCAACGTTGGCACCCTGCCCTCCCGACTCCACATGTTTATTATCATCGTATATCTCGGCAGCAACTTGGCCTACATGTTTGTCCTTAACTGGCGCAACGAAAATAAGTGGGCGTTCTGTGCCGAACTGCGAGGTCGAGCCGGCGTCCTTGCCGTCGTCAACATGGTCCCTCTCATCATCTTCGCCGGCCGCAACAACCCGCTAATCTCCATGCTCAAGATCAGCTTCGATACATATAACCTTCTGCACAGATGGATGGGCCGAATCGTCGTCATCGATACCTTGATCCACGTCACTGCTTGGGCTATCGTCGCTGTGGCTGACGGCGGCTGGCGCAACGTGCAGAACAGGATCGTCACCTCCTTGTTTATCGGCTCTGGCACCGTTGGGACTGCTGCTCTTGTTCTTCTCCTCCTCCTCAGCGTCTCTCCTTTCCGCCACGCATTCTACGAGACATTTCTCAATCTCCACATCATTCTTGCGCTCGTCTCATTTGTCTGCACATGGATACACTGCGCCAGCTCTTCTGTGGAGGGAGGATACCTGCCGCAGCTGCCCTGGATCATCGCTGTCGTCATGCTCTGGCTGCTTGACCGCCTGGCCCGCGTCGTCCGTCTCACGTACGCAAACTGGTCTGACAAGGGCTTCACTGACGCTCTTTGTGAGGCCATGCCTTGTGACGTCACAAGAGTCACCGTTCGCCTGCCACGATATATGGACATTGAGCCTGGTACCCACGCCTATCTCCGCTTCTGGGGCATCAACTCTTGGGAAAGCCACCCCTTCTCGGTTGCCTGGGTTGAGCACGAAACAACCCATTCCCTACCCGTTTCCGCCGAGAAGGAACCTCTCAATGCCGTCGACAGGGCCAACGCCTATACAAACGTGTGCTTTGTCATTGGCGCCCACACTGGAGTGACACGAAAGCTTTTCGATCGGGCAAGCAGGTCTGTCCGTGGCATCCGCATCAAGGCCGTCCTGGAGGGGCCGTATGCTGGCCATCACTGTCTCGACTCGTATGGACACTGCGTGCTCTTTGCTGGCTCGACCGGCATCACACACCAAATATCCTACCTCCGACATCTTCTAGAAGGCTACAACGCCGGCACGGTCGCCACACGCAAGCTGACGCTCGTCTGGATTATTCGAGAATACGACTCTCTCGAATGGGTCCGACCATACATGGATACGATTCTTCGCATTCCGAATCGCAAGGACATTCTTCGCATCCAAATATTTGTCACACGCCCACAAAATCCTCGCGACGTTGTCAGCTCGAGCTCGACCGTCAAGATGTTCCCAGGCCGTCCAAATGTGCGTCTGCTGCTCGTCAAAGAAGTGCAAGAGCAAGTTGGCGCCATGTGTGTGACGGTCTGCGGGCCAGGTGCTCTTGCAGATGACGTACGTTCTGCTGTACGCGCCGTGCAAGGACACAGCGTTATCGATTTTGTGGAGGAGAGCTTCACATGGTGATGACTGGACATGAGCGCGCATTTTCGTTTTCCTTTTTCTTATACCCTTTTATTCTTTTATAACGGACCAGGTCTCTATTGCATCTACCGGGCTAGACAACTGCCCACTCTCTTTTCTATCTGTATATACTTGACGATCTTTTTGGGGAAAAGTGCGTAGCATAGAAGTAAAAGGGCCTTGTACTTGGCGATGTACCAACAGAGCGGACCACTGGGATGGTGCTGCATAGACTTTGCACAGATAACGGGCGCAGCGTGGCATCACAATGTGATGAATAACACATCTTTCTGACTTGAACAGTTGTGCAAGGACAAAGACGTGATTCGAGCCTGAAACGCGTAAATTCTATGTACGATGGTGTCTATGTGTATATATGCAATCCTAAAACGCCGGCCAGCCCCATCGCTGTATAAATGCAACATGACTCGATATCAAAGCCGCCCACCAAGGTCACGGCGCTCGAAAAAAAAGTCCTCTCACTCCGTCACAATTGTTGTCTGACTTGTCGGTCCTTGAGAAAGGCACTTCTCACGCCGTGGCGACACCACCTTCCAACCCTGCGGCGACCATGGCTTCCAAGCCGTCGAGTCCATCTAGCCCACGGAAGCCCTCCTCGACGAGCCACGCGCGGCCCCTCGGCAGCGGGCCCTCGAGAGCCTCGCATGCGGCGCCGACAACCAGCAGTCCCGGAGGTCGGCTGCCCTCCGCCTCGATAGCTTCCGCCACATGCGCCAGCGTGGTGCGGATGACGCGCTGATCCGGGCAGCTCGCGCGCTCCACGACCGCGCACGACGTCGTCAACGGCCACAGCGTCCGGTTCTGCGCCGCCGCCTCCGCCGCCGCCTTGCCCTGCTCCTGCTCAGTGGTGGTTGTGAGTTCCCCTACGAGCGCTGTGATGCGATGCAGCGCCATCAAAAAGACCACGGTGCGCGAGGCGACGAACTCTGGCGGCGCCGGCGCCGCGCCCTTCTTGCCCGTGCCGGTGCAGACGAGGACCTGGTCGGCGACGTCGCGCTGGGTCGGGGGCACGCCGGCGAAGAGCGGCGCGGAGAGCGCGCTGGTGACCCCCGGCAGCACGGCGACGAGGTGACCGAGCCGGCGCGCGCGGAACCAGGCGACCTCCTCGCCGCCGCGGCCGTACAGGAAGGGGTCCCCCTGCTTGAGGCGCAGGACGGTCTGGCCGGCGAGCACGCCGGCGTGGGCGGCGGCGAGGAGCTCCTCCTGCGCGGCGTCGGCGTTGCCGGGGAACTTGCGGGCGATGCGCACGGGCGTGCGCCGCGGGATCAGGGCGAGCACGCCGGCGGGGACCAGCTTGTCGGCGAGGACGAGGTCGGCGGCGAGGATGGCGCGGTGGGTGGCGCGCGTGAGGAGGTCTGGGTGGCCGGGCCCGCTACCGGCGAGGATGAGCCGGCCGAGCCTTTTCGGTGCGTTGTCGTCGTCGCCGCCGGGGGGGGAGGAAGAAAAGGAAGGGTCGGTGGTGGCGCCGGGGTAGCTGGTCAGCAGCCGGGCGACGTCCTCGTCGGTGACGGCGGCCAGCCGGCTCAGCGGCCAGTACTCGCAGACCTGGCTCAGCCAGCGCATGCGCCGGGTCTTGGCGTCCTCGGCGTCCTGCGGGGTGACGAGTTTGTTGAACGCGGCGCTCTGGCCGGTCGAGTCGTCGTCGTCGCCGGTGGGCGTCGTTTCGCAGCGGTCTTGCTGGATGACGCGCCGGCGGGCGTCGCCGAGGCGGGCGGTGGCGGCGCCGAGGTGGGCGGGCAGCGAGGCGGCGATCTCGCGGCGGATGCGCGAGGCCAGCTTGCAGCCGCGACCGTTGGTGGTGACGCCGATCTGGAGCGGGCCGTCGACGTGCGTGGACAGCAGCGTGAGGGTGCAGAGGTCCGGGGCGTCGACGACGTTGACGGGGATGCGGTTGCGACGGCAGAGGGCAGCGAAGTGGGCGTCTATACAGAACTGTTAGCGAAATTCCCTTCCCAGTGGTAAAAGGAGACCACGACTGAACGTACTGGTCTCGCGGTTGCCGGTGGTTATGAAGACGGCGTCGACCACGTTGTCGACCTCGTCCCGGCCGAGGCGGAACAGGTCCGCATCCTCGAGCGGCTTGCGCTCCCACTTGACGCTGCCGTCGTCAATCTTGGCCTGCAGGTTGTAGTGCATGTCCTCGGCCGCGGTCGCGGGGGCCACGAGGATCGGGCGCGCGCCAGCCGCGAGGGACTGCGCGCAGCGGGCGGCGGCGAGAGGGTTGGTGCCGACGACGAGGTGCACATTGTCGCGGCAGCAGAGGCCAGCGAGGAGGACGTTGGATTGTGGTGACGATTGTTGCCCATCCATGGTATTTGCTGTGTATGGATAAAAAGATAAAAAGGAGAATGAGGGGAAGAAGAGGGAGAAGAAAGGCCAAAGGAGGGAAAAAGAAGAGGTGAGCTCCGGTTCGGGTCGTCGGGCTGGTGGGAGCTGGCTGGACTTGGGTAGGTGTAATTGCCCGTCTTGGGGATCGCTATTTTGGGGGGATAAAGTTTTGGTGGTGATTTCTAGACCAGACCCCGCATTCAGCTATTAATTCAATGCGATTGAATATCGAAGAAATCTTAAAAATTGCAAGGAAAGAAAATAAAGCTGTGAGAAGAGAATGAAAAAAAAAATTACAGCCGAGCGCCCGACGCACACAGTCATGGGCAGCTCGCCTCGTCCGGTCCGGCCCCCCCCAGGATCCATGCTGGCTGCATCACCAATTCTGAGCCCCAGTTGACGCCATTGCGCCTTGTGGGGCGGCTTGTTGTTTTTATCGCTATCCAATCACAGTAGCGTCAATTCCAACATCCAATAGCAAACATGGGGGGCATTGTAGATACGCGGAGATGCAAATGTTGAAACCTCCATATCTAGAGTTAAAAACCTCCATATCTACACAACGCCTCGTCTTTATCTTTGATTCTTCCCCGTGCTCCCGTAATGTCCCTATCGTACAAGTTTATTATACACGCAGCTGTTGATACATGGCCCCGCCCCCGCACGTCTCCCACCGCTAGATAACAGTATTATACAGATAGGCATTTGCAAACGCATCATCCTGCGTCGCGGGCCCTGATATGGTACATATGCCACCGCACGGTGCTCTCCGAAGCCGCCTGGTCATCTTGTTATTAGTCCTTGAACCGGCGCTCAGCCTCCACCTCACGGTCCAGCTCCGCCAGCTCCTCGTCCACCTCCCGATCAATCTCACCGTCCTCCTCGTCGATCTGATCTTGCATGATCTGCCTAATAAGATCCTCGCGCCTCCTCTGGCGGCTGTTGCCCCGTCCCGGCCTCGTCTTGATCTGCCAGTCCGTACCCAGCCCCTCCCGCGCCGCCTCGCGCTCTGCCCGCTTGGCCTCAATCGCCCGCTGCTTCTCCGTGCCCGCCCCGCGACCGGTGCGCGCCCCGCGCGGCACCCGCGTCTTGGCTCCCAGCGCCCACAGGTCGCCCCAGCGCGACTTGCGCGCGTCGTGGTACGCCACCCGGCTGAAGCTCTTGGGCACCGTCCACCGCTCCAGCCGGCCCTCGGGCGTGCACGCGTCCAGCGTCACGTGGCCCTTGCGCTTGATCGGTGGCAGGATGATGCGCGGCAGCGACCACATGTCCGGCACCTCCTCGGCGCCTTCGTACCCGGCAAATGCCTCCTCGGTGAGCTCCTTGCCGTCCTGCGCTTCGCCCTTTTGAACGCCCTTCTGGATGGCCACGTAGCTGAACTCGACTTCGCCCTGGTTATGCGACTCGCTGCCTAGCAGCTTGCTGTAGAAGCCGGGTCTTACGAACCGCTGGCTAAAGTGGCAGAAATCTTTCCGTCCTCTGCTCTTGCCTGGTTCCGGATACATCGGGCATGTGCCGTGGTTGGTGCACGGCGCAAGGATTCGGCCTGCCTCGAGCTCCCGATGGTATCCTGGGTTAAAGTCCTTTGCATTCATTGGGTTCTCGCCGGATTGAGGCAGCAGAAATTGCTTCAAAAGCGTATCTCGTACGTGCGCGACAGCTTCGAAGCCGCGCGGGTGAGCCTTTTCCGTGACAATGAGCACGCCGCCGTCTGGGTTCAGCAGCGTCCAGAGGTTGTTCAGGATGGCTTGCCGGTAGTGATCTTGCTTCTCTTTCAAAAATAAGTGTGACGCAATGATAATGTCATAACTCTTGCGCTTTTGCGGTTCGCCTCCGGAATCCAGATGCTCGGCACTCTTCATCGTGCCAGAGTGCAAGTAGTCGGGCAACCGCGGAAGAAAGGTGGTGTTGTGCAAAAACGTCTTGAGGCGCCCGCGGAGTCGATCCGAGCTCACAACAACTGTCTTCTTGCCAGGTATCTTGTCGCCCTCGACTTCCCCCTTCTCTGCAAGGAGATCCCACTCCGCTTGCAAGATTTGTTCCCAAGCGACAAGGCCTGCGCCTCCTGCACCCGCATCCAGTACACTTAAGCCTGGTCCGTCATTCTTCAACCGCGATTGGATCCAGTCACCGCCAATTCGTTTTCGTACTTCTCGAAGCGTTGCCATGCTGCTGGAATACGCTCCTGGTAGATAGGCGGCCAGGAAAGCGTCTGCCTCGATTTCCGTCATGTGTTTTGTGTCCGGAGGTAGACCAATTCCACCCATGTGCCCGTTTCGTAGGCTAAATGGTGTCACAGGAGATGTTGGCAGGCCCCTACCTCCAAATGCAGACTCTGCTGCAGTCTTGACGTGATCCAAGTGTGTTCTTCCGAGCAGCGTCTGCAGAGGCTTTACCAGGCGCTCCTGTGGGAGCAAAATCTCCACAGGGCTGTCGTGAAACCGGCCTTCCAACGTGTAAGGGTGGAAGCGGCGAGCTTCTCCGGTTGACGTTGGCTGTTGGGTTGGGTAGTATTCTGTCGCCCATGAGGTCTCTTCGTCCCTACCACTGAGAAGGTCGTCGTCTTCCTCGGGATGTTCACGCTCATACGCTGCTTCCTCTTCGACCCGTACGGTAGTTTCGAATTCATTCTGCAGCTGCTCGAGGGCGACGCGCTCTCGTTCGCTTCGCGCAACAATGTCGATGTATCCGGGCTCTTTCGCAACTACGGCATTGTCGGCGCTCTCGCCATCCTCCGCCGATTGTGTTGCCCTCTCGTAGCGAACTTGTTCGAATTCGCCCCCGTCCAGCTCTCGAAGCAGTACTCCTTGGCCATCTGGGTGGCCGCGCGCGCCTCCCATATCGGAGTGCTCTGGGATGCCAACATCTTCGGGCGTCGTCTCTCGCAGAGGTGGGCCGTATAATCTCTCGTAAAGTCGATACTCCTCCTCGGTCAAATACCCCTTTGGCAATGTGTCTCGAAATCGCTGTTTGGCTTCGCGCACGACTTGCTCAATATCCTCGGGGGTTTGTTCCGCCTCTCTGATCGCCCCTCCGTCTCGTAAGCGTCGCGAAGTCGAAAACTGACGAGCTGTAGAGGCTTTTCGGCTCAATGAAAGCGTCGCAGTTTGTTGGCGCACTCTTGGTATTCGTGCGATTCCGCGACAGTCGGCTTTGTGTTGTCGCGAAGCCGCTACAGACGCCCTGTAGCATCTCGGACAGACATTCCGTAAGCCGGCGAGAGAAAACATGCCTCTCTCCCTGCCTGTTTGCTGTAGATGAAGGGCGGGCTCAGACAAGAAGCTCCTCCAGATTTTTGCGTCGCGGCGTCGCGTGGTTGTAAAGGATAAATTTACTGCTAGGCCCCTATAAAAGTGAAAAAAAAAAGCCTATCACAGTCGTCCAATTACAGTGGCTGCCCCGTAAATGGCTACAGCGGATCCGCCCCCACTAGAGCTGCTCCAACCCGCTGGCCCTGCTCATTGTCAGCCGTTCGATGGCCTGACAGAGACAAGAGCCTTATCTTAGAAGGGAATAAGGCTAGGATGAGAGTGTTACAATGATCGGCCTTGATTAGATCAGGAATGTGTTTCCTTGTCCCATGATGCTCGTTGGTGGCACCTGATTGCATCACCACCCAAACGGGTGGTAGAGTAGCTATCAAGGATCACCACAAATTGCTATCAAAAAGCAGAGACAGCAGGAATTAATGACGTTTTGGCGCAGTACCTAGTGAACGCGTCTTATCGCTACGACGGCAATAAAAATGGTTCGTCATAAGACCTTAAGGGAAGATCGGTAGCCTTGTGCCGCCTGATCTTGACATCCGTCCCTTCCCCCGCCAGCCGCGAGCTGTGCAAAGAACTTACATGATTGAAGCTCAAGATAAACCACGAAGTCACGACCGCAGCCTTCATTTCTCTCGTCTTGGCGGCGGCGTCCCTGGCGCAGGCAGTCACTGCACCGGATGCAAGGTCAGGCCAAATCATAATGCAAAGCAGCCTTCTCAACTCCGCTTACACAGCTTCCAAAAGCAACGGAAACCTTACAATTGCCCTCTTCACAGACAGCCACGGAGATTCTTTCGGCGCCAATGACATCAGCAACACCATCACCCTCGCCACGAGCTCCATCCCCGTAAGTTTCACCTGCTTCAACGTCGAGGGGCGGGCAGTGCAGGGTGACGCCAGGGCTAGTTCTCAGTTTCGGGATCTACAAGGCGGCCGAGTATAACGCAGCGCACAGCGGCTGCTCAACCTGGGTGAGGCTGGATACGGCACCAGCGATCAGGCAGGGTGTCGGTGCAATAGCCCTCGCTGTCACCAGTGCTGTAGCAATGTAGCTCCTAGGCTGAACAATATGTCTGCACTTCCTTTTCGCAACTTTCTCGTTACTTTTAGCTGCCAGCCCGCATAGAATCAGTCCAAGAAGACATGCATTTTCTCGAGCAAACAACTTGAACAGCTGCGTCCGTTTAGGAATCATAGAAAGCGGAGGCTCTTGGCCGCTGGATCGCTGGTATTGTAATCGCCAAGTCAATAACTATATTCTATGTGTCTAACGTGTACACTTTACTCTGAGCTTAAATCTGCCAGTGTTTTGAAAGTCTTTGGCTTGGGAGGTGCAGCCGCAGCAGGTCGTGAGACATTTGCACCTGCCGCAGGGGCGTTGCTCTTCTTTTTTTCAATATTAAAGGACGAATTCTTGGCTGACCTGTACGCGTCGCTCTGTTTACACACTGCAGTTAGCAATCGGCGCGGTCCCCCATCCGCGTAGCGTCCATCCAGGCCTTTTACGTACCGAGAAGAACGACACCAAGTATAGTCCGAGAATAGTGATGATATGGTTGATGATCGAGACGAGATCAAACGTCACGTTGCCAAGGGCGGAGGCGCCGCCGCTGACGCCGCTACCTCCGAGCGTCTGGCCGCGGTTGCCAAAGACCTCCGAGCCGCTGCCGCCCTGCACGAGCTTACTGGCCTTGACGATGGCGCCGGCCAGCGCCGCCGGGTTCGCGCCGGTGATGGTCTCGACGACGACGCCCTTGTGCAGCACCTTGAACGTGGGAAGGCTGCGCACGCCGTACATCTGACCGATGCTGCCTTTCTCCGTGTTGACCTTGACAAAGGCCATCTTCTTGGGCTTGGCGTACTCGTCGGCCAGGCGCTCGAAGTGAGGGCCAATCATCTTGCAGGGACCGCACCAGTCCGCGTAGACTATCGGTGGCGAGGGTTAGCCTTGCTGTCTGAAGTACATTGACGGGGTTTGTCGTCAACTAGGATTGGGCGTGTGCCATACAGTCAACGACGACGACCTGCGTCTTCTCGAGTACCATGTCCCACTCCACCTGGTCCTCGATATGCTGTGTGGCGCCCATTTTGTGTGAAAGTTTTTTTTAAGAGAAAATGAAAAGGTGCAGATGATAATGTTGATAGCAGGATGAAATGACGAGGCCCATGTCCTGACACGGTTGCTGATGAATAGTGCAGCCTGGGGAGGCCCTCTAAATCAGGCAGGCGGTCAGATATTCTGCCACCCTCAATCATCTTCGCAATGGCTCTTAATAATACTAAGCTGATTCATGATATAGCTATGTATAAATTGGCCCTCGATCCTTTTCTTTTTTTTTATGAAGAAAAAAAGAAAGAAAGAAGGCCAATTTAAATCAATGAAAATGAAGCATGAAATTTATACTTTGTGAATTCAAAGCTTACGTGCACTGACAAGGAATCGGCTGCCTTCCCTCCAGCCATCTCTACTCTAATCCCTCCCTCGATCTGCGGTCAATTTCGCGCCGCTGTTGACGGCGGTCTATTGCGTCTTGTCTTCGCATACAGCCTACCATGCCAGAAATAGCCAGACGGAAGGCTGCCAGAAGTATCTTCGATGTACTGTAGGTTGCACTGTAAATCTTGGCTCCACAAAGACACAGAAGGCAGGTACATAGGTATGTATGTATGTAGATGTGTAGATGTAGATTGTATTAAAAAGCTAACCCACTCGACAACAAAGCAGCTGTAACGCTACAATCAGGCGGATCAGGCGGTATTAGTGGCCGTTTTTAGGCCATCGCGCGGTCGGATCTAGCTGTTACTTTCACCCGTATTCCAACGTGCCGCAAGGCCACAACGTAGATATTGTGCATGAAATTCACGTCATGCATACTTTGCCGTTTTGCTTCGTTCGATATAACGGGTTGCTTTTCCATATCTCATGCTTCGAAGCGGTCTTACGTATGGCGCCTGATCCGTCAGTAGGGAGGGCGACCTCATATTAAAAGTAAACAGCCTAGCCTATCTATGTAGTGTAGAGGAGTCAACTCCGTTCGGTACATCATCTTGAGCTTTGCCGAAATTTACTACTTTTTTCTCATGCTTCTAAGTGACAATCAGAGCGGCCAATCTTGGCCATTGTGCTTATAGAAACGAGCCATGATGGTTTTCCATAAACACTCCAAGCAGCTGGTTCCGTTTGCGGCAAACACAGTACAAGCCGCCTTGATGTTAATGAAAACGGACAGTGGTTTCTTTATAAAGACTTGTCTTCTTGCTTTTCCGTTCCGTGAACAACTACTTAGCGTAGCGCAGCATCGAACTTCAACGATGTCCCAATCGAACCAAAACGCCGAGAAGGCCGTCTATGATGCCCTGTGCGTCGTACTCAATGAGATACCTGGCGGTACCAGCAAAACGACGCTCAAAGCCCGCATACAGGATCACGCTACGGAGCCTGGGCTTGCCGATGTCATCCAAGTATATGGTCTGCTCGGTGTTAAGAAAACAGCTTTGATACTCCATGAGAAGGCTGTTTTCTCCTCCAGAACAATTGCACAACAATATTTTCAGGCCGCCATCCAAGGTGTTGAAGGAGGTGTTGAAGGCAGCCCTGATGCCGCCATACAGGGTGCTGAAGACAGCCCTGATGCCGCCATACAAGGTGCTGAAGACAACCCTGATGCCGCACCTTGCGATTCTCCATCGTCTGACAAAGAGATACACCTATCCGCCGAGACCAGAGTGCCACTTTCCGCTCAGCATCATTTGCTCACAACGGTCCCCGCTTGAGCTAGAAGCTGCTTGCTTTGAGTTTGCCAGAGCCAAGATGCCAGCTGTCCTGGAAAAAAATGACTGGACCTGTGCGGAGGCCACAGAGCTCAACCTGATTGCAAGGGCGCTGGGCAAGTATCAAAAGCCCCTGCCCGGGGTCGCAAGGCTGCCTAGGGGCGTAACTGCAGGCAAAGTCCTAAGAGCTATGGAAAACATCAGGCATGCTGCTGTACATCGAGAGTACTTGAAAGCTAAGGACTTGTGGGCTATGCTGAGAGATGGCGAGAGTCTGCTGATCTTGCTCAAGAACGAGGGCCGTCTAGCTTCTATGAAGAGCTTAAGAGAGGAGGTCACCAAGTATATTTTGAAGCTGAAAGAGGATGAGACGGATGTTAAGGAAAGCATTGCAACAGCCCATAACTTTGCGGCTGTGCAGATTGCACGTCTGAAGCAGCAAGAGGCTGAAGCTGTCGCTCAAGCTGAGGCCCGGCGAGCCGCATTTCGATGCTCATATGGCGAACAAATCACTGCCCTGGTTGCAAACTTCCATGTCAAGGGGGCGACGCAGATTCGGCAGCCATCGTTTGAGGCCGCTGCTGCAGCATTTTTGTTGTTCTTTGCGCGCTTTATGAGAAGCGCGTTTATGTTGGTGTTTGACATTTTGTGTCGCCTATATGCCGTGCTGGCAGGAATTTTTCTCTGAAAATGCAAGCTAGGGATGAGATATTAATCAATAATATTTTGAAAATGTAGAAAGAACACTTTAAGGTGCGATAAATGCTGGCAGGAAACATATGTGTCCCCTTGTAACCACTACTTCAAGCTCTGGCTAGCTGAACTTGGCGCTATCTATGGAATTGATAGGCAACAATGGCTGTTCAGGGGACGCGAAGGGTGAACAACGACTGCTTGCAGATTAAACAACACCAGAATACTGACTGCCCCAATTTCCTTTCCAAGAGAGGAACCTGAGCAGCGCTGCTCTTACCTGAGCCTCACTGAGCCACCAGCCAAATTGTGTCCTGAGCCATCACCGGAGCCCCTCCGATCAAGCCTGAGCCACTCACCTAAGCTGCTTTGATTTCTCCCGAGCTGGTCTTGGAGGTGGATAAGGACACACATCTTCGAAAACCCACGTTTCAGGGGTGTCCAGATCATAGTGGCGCTTCGCGGGCAGTACTAACAAGCACCTGTCGTGTAAGTGTGTATACACACGCTATTGCCACTTTCCACTCTGATGAACCTCGGCCTGAATGCGCGTCATCAAGTTCAATATGTTTTCCCACATTCAAACTCTCTTCAAGCTTTTTGAGAGCGTCATTTGAGACCTCCTTTGAGCAAAGACGACCGCACCAGCCTTCCACTGCATGAGCTCAAGATCTGGACCGCAGGCACAGAAAACCTACTGTGTATACCCTGCCGTCATACAAACGCCCACGATAAAAAATCACAACAGCGCGTCCCTAATCATTACTAGTCCCTTGTTGCTGTGCTCCCTTGCATTGTCTTGGGCCTTTTCATGAGTCCCATCGGCCACAAGAGCTTCATTGATGAGCGCCAAATCATTAAAGGTTTAAAGATCCTGGACGCCTCTGTATCTTACACCAGTACGAAAATGGAAACCTCGTCAAGTTTTCATCATCTCTATTGCCTCCAGTGTCTACACTATTGCTAGTATATCTGTTATATCTAGTGTCCCTCTTTTTGTAACAACCCAGGTCAGTACATTCACCACCCTGTATTGACGGCCCACAAGACCGAACATCTCAGGTATCCGCTATATACCTTCAAGGCCCATGATACTTATCCCTGGAAACAGCAGTCAATGCTTGTTTAGGAACTCGGCAAACCCAGAATCGGAGTCATAGCCCCCAATGTCGTAGTTTGCCGAGGCTTCTGCCGCCTCCCCAAGGTCCTCTACTGAACGAACTGGGTCGCGAAGCTGCAGGTGTGACTGACACGCCGGTGCCAGATAGGATCCATTCGAATAGCTAGCCTCGGTGAAGAAGCTGCACTGCTTGGTGGCCGTATCTTGGTCTTGCGCGAGGCGCGGGAGACTTGCCAGAGCGCTTCTTACCTCATCTCGTGTCAAGCCACCTGGCTGTGCATCCTCGAGGAGGGCAACCTTGCGAACTGGTCCGGCTAGAGACGGCACTGCTCCTGAGGGCACTTGCTCTGGAGACGGCGAATTCATCAAGTGCTCCACTGGCGCCGCGTCGAGGTTGAAACGGCTGCAAACAGTCATGGCATCTTCGTAAGAGACATATGTGCCATAGAAAATTACAGCACCTCTGCGGACTGTCGTTCTCTTGATTTCGGGTCTTGCCCGAAGAAATTGACGCACTCTATTCCGCGCTCCGTTGACGAGCTTGGAAAGCGCCGTGATGCCCACAATCCGCTCACCAGGCTTGTACGGGATATCGTTGCCGTTCCATTGCAGGACCTTGAAGCCATCGGTGTCATTGAGCAGGTAGTTCCGTTCTCGCGGTGGAAAATCGAGACCAGGGAGCGAAAGCAAGGGGTAGAGCTCCCCCTCAATACCCAGCGCTTGGCAGAGAAACACACCCTCTCGAAAGTTCACCCAGCTCTGTCTCTTGGAGGCTTCCCACTCAATGGCCTGGCGCTGTTTCAATTTTCGAACAAAGTTGTCCCTGTAAGTTTTGTCCAGTTGAACCACGCGGAAGAGTTCAGAGGCACTTATTTGGAAGCCCGGCATTCTCATGGATACCTCTTGTCGATTGACAATCATGCGTACCAGCCCGGCTTTGTCGAAGAAGAGGTCCCGTATGCTGATATGAGACACTCTATCCACCCTACGCCGGGCAGCGCGCTGTGGATGGGCGTTGGGGGTTCGTCCGGGATTGCCTGCCGCCCTCTCAAGCGCCGTGCTCGGAGTCCAGTCTGTGTCAAGTAGCGTTTGCCCCGGCACAACAGTGAGAAGACCACCACAAGAGGCATGCCGACTGGTTGTCTGCTTCGATGACCCGGATCCCGTGAAGGGGAGGGCCGCAGTGTCGTTCTGAATCACGAGCGATACCTCCTCTAGACATTGGCCAGCCCCAGGTCGCAGGTTAGGTTGCACAGACAACATCTTGTTCAGTACAAACTCTCCGAGCGCATCGAATTTTTGGTCAAGGGCTCCCAGGAACGTTTCCCGGACCAGCTCACCCCAGTACATGCCAAGGCCTTCGTACTTTCTGTCCCATTCGGGGAGAGGCCACTCCAAGCCACACAAGACAACTCCAAGAGACCAAATGTCCACAGCTGCCGTGTAGCTTCGCTCTTCAAGCCCACCAGTCTTGGAATACTGGTTATTCTTGTAAACCTCGGGTGCAAGATAGCCGTGGGTGCCGCACATGGTGGACATGATATCATGGTCTTTGGATAGGCCAAAGTCGCCGAGCTTGACTTGGATACCATGTTCGTCGCGGCTTTTAATGAGAATATTGCCAGGCTTGATGTCTCGGTGTACAATGACGGGGTTGTGCTCATGCAAGAATGACAACCCTTCAAGGCATTGGCTGAGAATCATTCCGCGCTCCTTTGTAGAAAACCCGCTCTTATCTTCCAAAGAGCCACCGGGAAGATACTCCAGGGCAATTCGAGGAAACGGCTCAAAGTTTGCGCCAAAGAATGTGACGATATACTATTGGATCATTAGAAAACAGTTGTCAATCGTAAGTACATAGGGCACCTACCGGTGAACGGCCCGAGATCAAGTTCATGATGCGGGCTTCGTTCTTCCATGCTTCTTTGTTGAAGTGGCGGGGACGAAGCGGTTCCTTGACAACGAATTCAAATCCGTCACTGACGTTCCATTGATACGTTACGACGCCATGTCCTCCTTTACCAACCTCTTCGGAGAGAAAGATGGGGTCGGTGCAAGGTGTGTGGGCACCGGTGGGACACTGGGTATCGGGACGAATCCTCAGGTCAATGGCCTGGAACAGGTCTTGCGTTGTCTGTTGACCAGCGCACCAGCGGTCGACTTTGGAGACATAGACCGGCGATTCGATGCTGTGTTGAGGAACAACGATGCGGAAGCAGACTGTATCATCGATCTCAATCACAATGACCTTGTCGTGAAGCGCAGTTTTGCAGCCGCTAATTATCCAGCGAAAGCCACTGCGGCGGGAATTTGCTTTATCGTTGTATTTGACGATGGTCCCCAATGTCGACTGCAGGTCCTTAACAATGAGCCGTCCCTCCGCATCGAAGGTGATACTGCACTGGTAATGGCTGAAACCGGTCCTATTTGGTAGGACCACGTCACAGTTAGGGTGACGCCCAAATAGGAAACCGTGGGACGACCTCGGGACTTTACTAAATCGCAGCTCGAGGAAAGGGTCTTCAGGAGGTGGCGTTTTGTCAGACTTCCTTGGATCTGGTGTCGGAGTCGGCTCCCGAGAATTGTACTCCGTTTCGTCCGGCGGCGGCGCTTCAACGGGGCTGACATAGTGAATGCTGTTCATAATGGCCTCGGTAGCGGACTGTGTATGATGTGCAACAGCGTAGACGCGAGCAATGAGGTCTAAGTCTTCCATCTTGGGCAGTTGCGTTACGCACAGAAGAGGGAAGTTAACAAAGGAAAAAGAGATAGCTAAAATCAAATGGAAAAAATTTGCCCAAGTAAAGAAGATGAAGGTGACGAGTATTCCTGGGATTGGCGGCGAGGCCGCTCATGTTTTTAGAATGAAGATACTCCCACCTCTTCCATTGCATCTGTTCCAACACTACCGCTACACGGTAGCAAGTTTGCTCTCGCCCTCGTACAATAGTCTAATATTCCAATTAATTGTAAGATTGAAACGCATAACGATCAGGGCGGAAGTAGGCTCGATGCGATTGGTTGGTAATGTAGAAGTAAAGGTTGCGATGCTTCACAACGGTCGGTTCCTCAGCCACAGCCGTGCCACAGCCGTGCCACAGCCGTGCCACAGCCGTGCCACAGTGTAACGGCTACAGCCGGGTACCCACTCTGAAAAGAATGGGGGCCTGCCTAGTCGGTATCCATGTGCATACACGAAAAGAGGGACGATCAAGATCAACTAATGTTCGGAGTACAAGCTACCAGGGTGTCTTCTCCAATAGTTTGGATGTGCAGAGGCTCCAGAGCGGTCAGTCGCAGGGATGGTAACAAATGATACGATGAAATTTTTTGAGGGACGCAAGTTTTCGTCGTGTGTTCTCAATATAATATGTACTATTTCTGTCCTCAGATACGAATTGAGTACACTAAGATACAGATACTAATCCCTGTATTTACGTACCGAGTAACTAGTGTGTCAACTAACGTTAGTGGGTTAGTAGAAATACTCTCTGGAGCCGCTGCACATCCAAAGGATGGAGTGGCATTGACGATAATTCATTACCTATCCTCGAAAGTGATCGAGATTGTCCCAGAGCACTGACACAATTCAAACCATCATTTTATCCAGGCTACCCATGCAATCCAGACAACTAACACTGCTCTAATGCCATTATCCGGTGGGCACGTGACATCGCGTTAGTCGCGGTGCCGACAGATGAGATGTACCCATGTATATACCTTCTTAAAAGCAACAAGTTAGCGCCATCTGCCATCTCCCTTATCCCTTAGAAGTAGCACTTTTTGACAAAGAATGCAAGCCCTGGGACGACACTTGGATATGATGCACACGACTGCAACTCTACAACTCGGGGGGGACACTGCGCGTCGTCTTACTCCGGCTCCTGCGACGGTCAGCGACCTTGCGCACCTGGCCGATCGAGAGCTGTGCGACTGGATGGAGAGCAGTCGCCACGTAGATGGCAGTATCAGGCTCAAATTGGAAGGTTGGGACAAGCTATCAACGGAGGAGAGAAGCCAACTGGCCAAGCGTTTGACGTAAGTCCGGTTCGCGACCATAAACTCAGACCCAAGCCATCCCCACCTTGCTCATGCTTGTGTAGAACCGCCCAAGCATCAATGGTTGCTCGCCCAAGGCAAGACCTCGGGCACAGCCTCGATCTTGACTACCTCAATCGCCGCGTCTGCCAGCTGTCCAACAGTAAAGACGCAATATTGCCAACGGTTCTTGAGCAAGTGACGACGGAGCAGAATGCAGACGCTCTTAGCGAGACGCAAGTTGGCGAGGACACTGCAACAGTTTCCGGGACCCATGCCTATCACCGACTTGTCGATGATGGAGGCAGACCGCTATACTCCATTGATGACCTACCGCAGGTCCTAGATAATCCGAATGCGTACAAAGAGAGGCTGCGGCCGTATTGGGGTCATCCTCGCACTCAGTTTTACGAATCCGTCAACAACATCTTTCAAATACAACTCGCGCGATGGAGAGAGTTTCGCAACTGGCAGCTGGACAACAGAGGTCTCAATGACCCCGAAGATGCTTTCGAGGTTTTTGTACAAGAGCAACGGGAGCTGTTAGAGAAATGGGGCTATCTCGAGAAACTGGCAGAGTCGGACTCGGATCCATCGTACTTCAAAAAGAGTTGGGCACAGTGCCAAAGAAAACGCCGCTGGCAGCGCCGTCACCAACTCGAGCCCGACTGCGATGGGTTTGATGACTACAAGATGGCTTTCGAGGCTCGGCTAACGCGACACGGACATCTCCTGCCTAATCTGCAGCTCAAGGAGAACCCCAGACAACAAGGCACGTTGACAACATGGGCAGAATACCTCTGCTTCGAATATTGGTGGTATGATTACTACCTTGAACGTCTGAAGCGCTTGCAGCCTGAATACAACAGGGCATGCGCCATGTTTCAGGACCAGGGCATACTAGGTCCCGGCGAAGGCTTCATCTCAGTTGATGCATGCGCCACACACCTGTTTGCTGAGATTAATATGAGCTCGGCAGCCCTCGTCGCGGCCAGAGCCAAAGCTAAAAGCGCTTGCCAGTCGCATACCACAGCAACGTGCGCAGCATCCCATACTTGCTTGGCCGCCAGAAAGCGACTCGACGATGCAGAATCAGATTACCAGCGCATTTTTGAGCGCCAGGTTCGGTATGGCAAGTTTCTTGAAGAGACTCGCTCCTATAGACAATCGCAGGAGGATATCGAAAAGCACCCGTGCCTCATTGAGTGGGTGGAGCAGCAGCTGCTCCTCATTCAGACGGAGATGATTTCGACAAATCCGGAACCGCAAGGGGACAGCAAGAGAAAGCGTTGCTTCTCTGACGACCCCGGAAGCCAAATGGCCGGCAAGTACATGGCTGTGGAAGCGGCGGCCTCTGGGCCGTCGGATCTCAGCACCTGTACCATTCTGGTAGGGACACCGCCACGTCGAAGTCCAAGATTCCGTGGCCCTAATACGCCAGATAATGCGGTCAAGATGGCACCTTCTGAGCCATCGAATCTCAGCACCTGTACCACGCTGGTAGGGACACCGCCGCGTCGAATTCTACGGCCCCGCGGCCACAAGAAGCTGGGTCATGATGGTTCTGTAGATACTGTCGAGGCCGCGCCTTCTGAGCGGTCGGATCTCAGCACCTCTACCATTCTGGTAGGGTCACCGCCCCGTCAAAACGTACGGCCGTGTGTCCCGGATAATGATGGGTCTGCCGATGCGGCCGAGGCAGTGCAGCAACCGCGCCGAAATCTTCGACCCCGTGGCCCCAACATGCTGGGTAATGATGGTCCTGCAGATACGGTCGAGGCAGTGCAGCGACCGCGCCGAAATCTTCGACCCCGTGGCCCCAACATGCTGGGTAATGATGGGCCTACAGACACGGCTGAAGTCGTGCAGCCGCAGCGTCATGTCTTGGCTTATCCAGTGCTGGGCTTACGTCGCAGCGCGAGAATTGCGAAAGTCCAAGCACTCAGGATCTCTGCGAAGGTTCTCGCTGCCATAACACCATGCACGAAAAGTCTGCAAGCCGGCCGCATTCGCAACTGAGGGCTTGTCCATCCTCGAAAGCCAGATCACAGCATGTTCAGCGTGACATGTTCAATTCCCCGTCGGGCATACGGCTGCCGACATATCTGGCCATCATACCTCGCTGTTGACTTGCTTGCACACGCCTTCGGCGCAGAGCGGTTTTCCCATTGGGGTCAGGCTGGCGCATGATCGCCGGCAGCACCACTTGAATTGGTACTGCTCATCATCCGCCGCAGCCCCGGCATCGCGAGATCAGCAGAATTTATGCGAAATAGCCACATATGAGTGGCTCGTCGAGCGGAAGACATAGAAATGAAGATCCAGCTTGCGCCCTCGATTTCGGATGGACTTTCGCACAAGAAATGAACAGGCGCAAAATGACCGGCACACACAGAGACTCTCTTTACCTTTCAGTTTATTAGTCACGGGTACCCATTCTTTATCCGTTGAGGTGTCGAACTTCCTGGCGTGCAACCATCCTCGGCCTTTTCCTGAATGAATCTTGGCGTTGAATAAGAACAGTCAGTATGGGTTGTCAGATTTTGGGCCCGGCACTCATGCTGACTGGTTCACCACCCAGACCCGTGGCCAAAGGTAGCACGCCGTCGGAAGACTTACCTGCGCTCGCCCCTGCATTGGCCTCAATTTTCTGCCATTATTATGCACAGAAAATGGGCTTCTCTAGCGAGCAGGCCGTCTGAAGATTAACCTTTGCTTGCTCCTGCATTAGCCTCTAAATCTTCTGCCAGTATTCTGCAGAAAATGGGCTTATCCAGCGAGCAAGGAGCCACTTGGCTTTTGATGGCGGCAGCGATTGCATGTGTAGCGCCAGGTACCTACTTGAACTTCTCAGGAAGACACGAGAACCAATAAGCAGTGTGAGAGACATCAGAAAATAAGGCCATGTCCACACCTGTCAGGTCAACAGACTTCGACAATCGACGGTTTCATGGCTTTGGGTGCTCAGGTCTCATCCACAGTCAGCACATTTGGAGATGGAGAGCCACAACCTGTTGGGTTGGGTTCACGCTCGGCAGATCTGCAGATGATTTTCACCGTTATTCCCATATCGATTCAGGAACGTGTCTTCGCTACGACCCTCATCTCGATCTGTGCTCGTTCCTACGGGACCACCGCGCTAGGCCTTTGTCGGGCTCCTCGTCGAGCCAGGCCTAGTGCTGGCGTATTTTTTTGATTTGCCGCATTTTGGATGAATTGGAAACTTGACACCGGATTCCATAGGTCGGGGGTTCCTCGAAAGAGCAAAGCAGCCAGGGCGCAGTACCCGTCGCAACGCGTCTAAGCGAGACTGGGCATCTCTTCCTCCAAACAACCTCGTGACTGGTCCAGACTGGCATCAGAGTGAGATCAAGTGGAGGTTGAGGTTGGCGAATTTGAAGTACTCGAAGTGGAAATACCCGTAGCATGGGTTGGGCCCTGCGATGCTTGTGGTGTTCAGTCAGCCTCGTGTTGGGAGCGAGGCCTAGTTGGAGGAGAATTGCGTATAAAGAGACGATAACCTTGCTCAATGTTGAAATCAGCTTGAAGGACTAAAGTTCTTTGAGCAAAAATTTGCAAAATCTCGTCCAGAATGCACTTCCCTACCATTTTGGCTGCCGCTTCCACTTTGGCTGGCCTGTCGACGGCCGGCATGCTTCCCATCTACATGTAGTGGCCGGACCAACCATTGATTTTGGTGACCATCTCGAACTCATTCGCTTTCTCTCGAACCAGGGCCAATGAGACCGACACCTCCGTCAGCATGCTTGACAACATGGACGCCGCCGCTGCCGCCGCCGCCTTTGGCTGCGGCAAGCTGCAGCCGCACCTCGACAAGGCCGACTGCGAGCACACGGCGCGGATCGGCATGGCCGGGCAGGGTATTAACTCCCTGCGCCCCAACGGCAAGGCGTGGATCGGCTCCGGCGGGCCCAACACCTTCAAGTTCACCAACCGCGCGACGACGCACCCGTCGCCTGTGCCCGTAACGCTCGTGCTCTGGGCGTGGGACCACGACCGCGACTACCAAGCCATGTGAGTCAACGCGCGCCGGTCGTACATCACCGCCTCCCTGCCCAAGGCGGGCGACAGCGTCGTCGTTTTGGTGGCGGACGGCGTGGTCAGCGGCTTTGCAGCGCTCAACAACCACGCGACGGTGCTGAGCGGCGCCGGACTGGTGTACAACACCTGGGGCGAGTTCAACACCGAGGGCGCCGGCACGGTGGACGTGTCGCGCGAGGTCAACGCGCGCGGCAACGCAATGTCGATCCGCGCGTCGAACGGCTGCGAGTCCAACATGGGCAAGTGCGTGTTTGTGTGCAAGAATGGCGGCGTCGGCCATTGCGGCGACGCGGGGTCCTATCATCTTACCAACTGCGGCCCGGCGAACCGGGCCGCACACGGATAACGGGCGGCGCTGACGGTGGTTGCTCCGGCTGGGGGAGCAAGGGAAGGCACCTGGATGTTGATTTGGGACGCAATGGAGGGTTGCGAGGAGTAATGTGATGAGGTGCATGGCGACTGTATAAAAGACGCGCGTAGACTGCTTATAAGACGCGGATAGCATGCAGTGTGCGGGCGGGATTATAAGACGCGGACTGTACATAGGACGGGGACGGCGCATACCACTACCTGGCCTCTATGAAGAAATCGAATACAACTATGAATATTTTGTGGAAATTAACGGATGGCAACTTTGAAAGTCTCTGCGATTTACTATTAATGTTTCAAGGTGGCTGCTGAGATGGCCGTTGATGTGCAGCTGGAGACGCTAGAGCGGAAGGCGAGTGAGTCCTCGACGTGACTCGTTGCGCCGTCCGCTCGACCAACTTCATCACAGCATCTACTCTTGCTAAACTTGGCAGAAACAGAAAACATCTTCCATGATGAACACCACTCCCGCTGACCTGGCGCCTTGCCAGCGGCGGGCAATCGAACACATCCGCGCCAAGGCCATCGCCCTCCGGCCCGAGTCTCAGTCCATCCTATCCCACATCTTCCGCATGTCCAACCTCTCCGACTCGGACCTTTAAAAGACCAAAGCCGTCATCAGATCGCACGCGCGCGTCGCGGTGCTGGTCCACGGGGAGGTGCTGCTGGGTCGCGACGTCGAGGCGGTGGTGGACGCGGCGTTCCACGGCACGCCCGTCGTCGGGCGGCACCTCGAGGACGTGGCGTCCAAGTACTGCTTTCCGATCCAGCATCACGGCGGGTTTGCGCTCCGTGCGGAGGAGGTGCCGTTGGACTTTTGCGGGCCGACGATGCCTTCCCTGGCAAAGCGTGTGGCGAACGAGCATGGCGTGGTGGACGCGGTGGGCCTGGGGCGGGCCGTGCAGTCGCTCACGGAAAGACCAGATCTCTGGGAGGACCGCGGTACGTTTGCGGATGTACTGCAAGAGATCAAGTTACTGTGGCATGTACTCGTCAAGTATGGCCGGCCAGTGGAACAAGTTTTGGCTGGGGCTGGGGGCTAGCTAGCATTGTTGCGTGGGCAGCTACTTCAATTAAGGTTGGGCAGCTCACTTTGCAGTACACCTCGTAGATTTCTTGCAGTGCACAGTATGTGGTGTGTTTTCACGGCAGCACCTTGCTTTGTATAATACGAAGCCATGTTGATGCAATAGCCACCAACAAGTCGTCCCGCGATGTTAAGGCATCAGTGAATTACACGGTCCGGGGGAAGGCCGACTAGCCCCGGCGCCGGAGGGCTCCACCCCCGCCCGCTCGCCGCTAGCGGAGCCCCAGCAAAACTTAAAGCTCTTCAGGAAAAAAAAAAGAAGGAATAAAAATCCAACTCAAAAGTCAACCAAGTTGCCTCGACCTCGCACCGCTCCTCAGTCCGCGCCGCTGCTGACTACGAGACAAGCTACATAATGCACCGACTCGCCCTCTCCCACTCTTAAGAAGAAACGGTTTCGTCTCAGATAGCCAAGAAAAGCTTTTCCCACACCTCCTCGCACAACATCCGTCCTCCGACCGCGCTTTTCCACCACAAGAAACACACACACACACACACACACACACCAAACAAGACATGCACGCCGAGGGGAATCCCAAGACGCGCAGCTTCTCGGAAGCCTTTGCCGCCAACGGTAGCGGCGGCCTGCAATCGGCGGCGGCCGAGCTCAAGAGGCGCCGCGTCGCAGAGGGCGGCGGCGTCACCCTGCCTCTCTCCACGGGCAAGCTGGCCAAGAGCTTCACGCCCACCCGCGGCGGCCGCTCCTGGACCGTTTCCGTCGCCATTCCAGGCAGCATCATCAAACAGTGCGCTCCCTTCCCTCTCTCTCTCCCCTCGCCCCTCCTCCATCGCTGACTCCTCTCTCAGCCTCCCGACAGCCGAGCAGCGCCTCGCCACCGTCGCCCGCCTCGCCCGGACCCTCACCATCTTCTGCGTCGACGAGGTCGTCGTCTTCAACGACGAGGGGCCCTCGCCTTCACAGACCCTGACGCTGCTCAACGGATCGGGCGTGGAGGCCGCGTACACGGGCGACTCGGACCCGTGCCACTTCGTCGCGCAGGTGCTCTCCTTCCTCGACTGCCCGCCGTTCATGCGCCGCCGGCTGTTCCCGCTGCACGCCAACCTGCGGCACACCGCGCTGCTGCCCGCGCTCGACGCGCCGCACCACCCGCGCGCCAAGGCGCCCTGGCTGCCCTACGCCGAGGGCGTGACCGTCGAGGAGGAGGAGATGCTCGGCGAGGGGGGCTCGCTGGTCGACACGGGCATCGGCGGCATCGTCCGCGTCGCGGAGACGATACCCCCCAACACGCGCGTCACGCTGCAGCTCGACGACCAGCAGCAGCAGGGCAGCCCGCCGGTGTGCGTCCACCCGGAGGCGCCGCGCACGAGAGGCGGGTACTACTGGGGCTACGCGGTGCGTCGCGCCGCGGGGCTGTCCGCCGTCTTCACCGAGTGTCCGCGCGAAGGCGGCTACGACCTGAGCGTCGGCACGTCCGAGCGCGGCGCGCCGCTGTCGCAGGCCCTGGCGGGGCGTCAACAACGCCGGCAACAACAGCAGGGGCGGCAATCACACGGCCACCATCATCATCGGCGCGGCGGGGAGGCCCAGCAGCAGCAGCAGCAGCAGGCAGACAGCGTCGCCGCGCCGTCTTTCCGCCACCTGGTGGTCGTCTTCGGCGGCCCGCGCGGCCTGGAGCACGCGGCGGACAGGGACCCGAGCTTGGCGGCGATGCACATCCGCGGGCCGCGCACGCGCGAGCTGTTCGACGAGTGGGTGGACGTGCTGCCGCACCAGGGCAGCCGCGTCATCGCGACGGACGAGGCGGTGCCGATTGCGCTGATGGGCCTTCAGGGGCTGTGGGAGTCGACCTGAGACGGTGGACGTGGAAGCCTTTCAGCGTGTTTTGACATTTTCCCTAGCTTGCTTCGTTTTCATCTTCTGTCGAGACCTAAAAGCGCCATCAGTTTCGGCGTCGTCTTGCGGTACGCTCGGGTGCTGGATAGATGTTGAATGGTTTTGTTGGTTTTTATGGGCGTTTTTTGAGATACCAAGCACAAGCTACTTTTAGCTTGACGAATTCATGACAAGGCGACATGGTGCGAGGATAGAAGGATTCTTGATTTTTCTGCAGGCCAATTGCTAAAGGTCCTGCGAAACTCATGCAGGTAATGGTTGAAGGCGGTGGCTCTTACCATGACCAGCGATGTGGCAAAAAAAAAAAGGCTCTATAATTGGTGTAATATAAAAACACGTAACAATGCAATCCCAACGCCACGTCTTATGTTCCCTCACTTGTTCAATAAAATATCCACCATATCCCCAATAAGCCCAATAAGCCAAAATCTCCCATATCAGCTCTACCACCCATCTCGCGCCTCTGATTAGTGCCAGTACACGGTAGAGCGAAGAATCCCAGAATATGCAATGAAACGCAAAAACGCCCCTCCAGTATATTGATGTGAATAGGTATAATTACAAGACAAGAAAAATCATGGTCCGGCACGTCCGTCCATGGCGACGGCCTGGTCCAGGCCAGCCTGCGCCGTGATGGCTGCCTTGTCGCCGGCACGCTTTCGGAGGACGTTTTCGATAAAAGCCTCGCCGGCCTTGTAGGACGAGCGGACGAGCGGCCCGCTGGCGACGTAAAGGAAGCCCATGTCGAGGGCGCGCTGGCGCCACATCTCAAACTCGTCGGGGGTGATGTACTTTTCGACCTTGAGGTGGCGCTTGGTGGGACGCATGTACTGGCCAAAGGTGACGACGTCGACGCCGGCCTTGCGGAGCTCCGTGAGGGCGTCCATGAGCTCGTGCTCCTGCTCGCCGAGCCCGAGCATGATGCTCGTCTTGGTGATGATGCCGCCGTCGCCACGGACGTCCTTGACGTGCTTGAGGACTTTGAGGCTCTGGCGGAAAGTAGCGCGGCGGTCGCGGACGTAGGGGGTCAGGGCCTCGACGGTCTCGACGTTGTGGGCGTAGACGTCGAGGCCGCTCTCGGCGACAATCTTGACCATGTCGAGGTCGCCGCCAAAGTCGCCGGTGAGGGCCTCGACGAGGAGGGTAGGCTTCTTGTGCTTGATCTTGCGGATGGTCTCGGCGAAGTGGCGGGCGCCGCCGTCGGCGAGGTCATCGCGGTCGACGCTGGTGAGGACGACGTAGCCGAGCCCCCAGCGGGCGAGGGCCTCGGCGGTGTGCTCGGGCTCGTGGGGGTCGAGGGGCGGCGGGGCGCGGCTCGTCTTGACGCTGCAGAAGCGGCAGCCGCGGGTGCAGGTGTCGCCCATGAGCATGATGGTGGCGGTGGCGGCCGACTTGTCGGAGCCGCCCCAGCACTCGGAGATGTTGGGGCAGCGGGCCTCCTCGCAGACGGTGTGCAGGTTGAGGCCGCGCAGATCGGCCTTGATCTTCTTGAAGTTGTCGTTGCCGGCGGGGATGGGCGTCTTGAGCCACTCGGGCAGCCGCGTGATGGTGCGCTTCTTGCCCTCGGGGCCGACCTGGGCGGTGCGCAGCTCGTATGCGGCGGATTGAGACAGGGCGGCGTCGGCGCCAGACTTGCCGGCGATAAAGTCATCGAGGGAGGCGACGGTGGTGTCTTTAAAGTATGTCTTGCGTTTGGGATTGGGTTTGGCGTCGGAGGCCGGTGAGGGGACGGTGGCGAGGCCCCTTGTGGTGGTGGTGGTGGTGGTGGTAGTCGCGCAGGTGGTGGTGGTGCAGGAGACTATAGAGGTGAAGGCCCTGCGCAGGGGCGCGGCGGATCGATGTAGAGAAGCCATTGTGCGGCTGTGTGTGGTGAGGATGATGTTCCCTATTTGCCAGAAGGACCAGGAACCGTGTTTTGTGTTGATAGTCAATGAAGAGGGGAAGACGAAGAAACCACGGGCCAAGAAAAGCTCGAGTTTCTGTGAACAAATCGTTGACTAAAATGTTGGACTGGTCGCTCCACAAATTTGAGCGGTGATTTATGATGGGACAAGCCAAAGGCCGATGGGACCCGCCGCCCGCCGACCACGGACAGGAAAATGGCGGTACCTTATTCGCTAATTAATGTGCGACCGTAGACAGGCAGAAAAGACAAGGGAAGGAAGGACAGGACAGGACAGGACAGGAACTGGGCAAGTCGCAGTCGATTTATTAATCAGCCGGCACTTGGACCATGCATTAGTTATCATTACGATGCAAAGTGATTCATGTTGCACAAGCACAAGCGCGAATAAAAATGGTCCGAGTTCTGGCTGGGTTTCTCCGCTTGTCCCCATTCCTCTCCTCCCGTCACCTGTTTGTCCAGGCAGGTCATCATCCCATGAACCCACGAACGGCGGCTCGTTTGCAGCCTCGAATGCAGCGGTTGCAGCGACATTTCACCAAAAATCAGAAGCACATTCATCATCGTCTTTCCCGAGCGAAACAACACGCGCACAGCAAAGGGGTTGCGTGCGCTTAGTTAGATATGGGCTGTTGACACCAGCACGCAAGCTACAACTCGATCCAGGCAAAGAAAACGGTTTGACCAACAGGAGTGGTTTGACCAACACTCTGAGCAAAAGACATTTATTTGGCAAAGTAATATTCATCTCCTCGGCCCGTCTAGTGCAGCACCTCTTCAGCTATTCGGATTCATCGACATTAGAACCATGACGGCATTTGCCCTGGTGAACTTGGAATCAATGGCAGCGGGTCAACCGCCTCGCCAGGAATCTGATATTTCAGTACATCTCTATCGACAGGAAGATTGAGCTATCTAGTACACCGACATGATATCCACTCAGCAGCCGTCTTCACTCTATGGTTATGGGAGTCCTTCCACAGTCGCAAGGGCTAAAGATCACCGTATTGGCAAAGCTTGCACTTATTATCCGCCCAGTATTATTACACGACTTGCAATCTACCATCGCTGTTAGCAGAGCCAAGAGCCAAGGTCAGGCAAACTCAGGGCATCTTACCTGGCTCGGGGCGGCACAATATAAAACGAAGAAAGGAACCCATGGCAGGGTGTAGAGTATGTACGTTCGAGTTGATGACAGTCTTGGAATGAGTATGTGGAAAAAGTCAAGAGACAGTCCGCAGATGTTTATACATATAGAGATTCTGTTGTTCAAAAAGTCAGGAAACAGTCCGCAGCTGCTGGTTTATATAGCCATTCTGCCTTTCCCAAACTCCCCGACACAGTACTACTAAACAAAGATGTTTGATGATGCATGGCAATGAATGAATGGCATGGTGTTGCGAGCGAGCCGCGCCGTGCAACCAAGACGACGGGTTTCAAAGAAGATGATGTATCGTACGAAAACAAGAAAGCATCAACTAACAAATATACCAATCATGAGCACTGCGTGGTGCTAAGTTGTTCCCAACTCGTTTATCCTCCGCAAACTGGCAGTCGCACCAATCCTGCCCAGCACGCATACCGTCGCATCCCTCGCACAACGTTCTGTTCCTCGGCGCAGTTGCGGTTGCCGCAGTCATATCCAGGTCGACAGCCTGCCCCGTCGCAAAACTCACACTGCCCTTTTCCCCATACCGAAGCAAAAGTACCAGTTCTTCAGCCGCCCGTCCTCATCGTCCTTGTCGCACCTGTACGGCAGCTCGTCGCTCTGCGGCAACACTCTTCTGCTAGACGCCGTTGCACGTCTAAGACTTCCATCTCGAGGCCAGCTCCTTGATCTTTCGCTGCCGCTCCTCCGCGGCCGGGCATGTGCAGTCCGGCCGGAGTTCGCCGCTGCCACAGCAGGTCTTGCACTTCTCCTTGCCCCAGCCCGCGCAGTTGCCGCAGAACCCCTTGTACGTCCTGAAGTCTCCGTGGCAGGTGGTGCACTCGCCGGCGCGACCCTCGCCGGCGCAGCCCGGGCACGGGTAGCAATACCACCCCTTGCCATCGCATGCGACGCATCCCGGCGCGGTCATCTTGTCGGCGCACCACTTCTCGTTGGGGAAGCTGGAGGGAGCGGGGCTTGGGGCCAAAGGGTTGGAAGGAAATAGGGTGGTCTTGCCAGCGAGTATCGTCTGAGCGATGGCAAGTTGAAGGGTGAGGCGTGAGTAGTTGCTGTTTTGTGAGAGTTGGCTCCTAAGAGTCGGCGTAGAGTGGGTGATGGGGTCGAAGTCGGTGGCGTCGCGGAGAGTTCTTGGAAAGTCGACGAGGGTTCATGCTGCTGTTTTATATAGAACATACGGCCTTGATGTTCCGGCAGCTGCGTGACTTCCTGGATTATCTGATCCAGAATCGAAATGGAACTCTTGGGTATAGGAAGCCGACGGGTTTACACATCCCCGGACCGTATCAAAGAGACTGAGTGAGGCCACATGGGCCTCTGTAGCAGCGAGTCTCACAACGGAGGCAACCTCCAGCGCACTTCATTGTTGATCTTTGGGTCGGGGCTGATAAACCAACATGTACGCTGTAAAGATATTCTCCGCTCAGGGACTACACGGGGAGCTTGAACGCTTTGTGCTCTCCCAACCTAACCCATATCGTTACACGCAACCTTGACAATGCTGACTAGGCAGCCGGTGAATGACGGCAAGTGGCTAAGCCCATAGCAGTCCGAAAGGAATAGGGTAGGCCGACGGCGCTGGATCGTCTGTGACCCCAAGCTGACAGGAAAGAGAGAGTGCTTTGGCAGCTTAGAAGACTTGTTGTCGTGCAATTGCAGAGCTGTATAGATACCAAGCACTTTGAGTTGACGGGTACAGACAAGCTTGTCCCCAGAATATGCGTAATACAGCTCCGTCTTATTACGGCTTCGAGTTGCGGGAAACCCGTACCCACATCCTCAAAGTATTCGTATCCTCAAAGACTTTGCCCCTTGAAGATGGCAAGTTCGAAGCAGTCATTCATTCCATCTTTGTTTCATCTGCACGCTACGTCATTCCCCATAGATACACTAAGAGCCGGAGGTATGGCCCAAGCTGAATGCTAACCGTGGATGCATGTACACGAAACCTGCTACAGCCCTGCTCGATGTTGGTTGGCAGGCGCCTACGTCAGTTGGCTCGACCGTTGTGACCATAATGCCAACACAAACGACACCTTGATATCTTGATAGCACAAGCCGCGGCCTGTTTCTAGAACCAGGAAGGACTACACGGTGCATGTGCTTATACGTCTCCATCACTTTGACTCATGTAATACCAAGTCACGTAGCCCATCCAATTGTTCTTCTCAAGGTCTCGTCGATTTTTTCCATCTATCTAGGTCGCTTTCAAAAGCAGCTGCGCCTGCAGGCTCTATAAACGAAGAAAGCAAAAGAAACCGTAGAAAGGCCATCGCCCGCAGCAGTCCACCAGCAGAAAACATCGCACGCCTCAAGGAGTGCACAACACACTGGCTGCCGCCCGAGTACCGAGAAGAAACAGACAAAAAAGTCTCGTTTTTTGCGTAATCAGAAAAATAGCAAAAAGCCACCCTTGTCCTGCATCCAAGAAAAGAGACTTGGAAGCGGGGACGAGTCCTGAACGCATCAAATATGTAAAATGGCCTTGTTACCCTGTGAAGCAAAAGAAGATGGGTAACAGTATGGTAACAAGTCGAAGATGAAGTAGTTTGAGAGTTTCTAAATCTGTCCCAGCAGCGGGCTTGAATTTTCCGGGTGGAATGAAATGCGGTCCAAAGTAAAACCGAGGCTATCCCACTGCAGCGGCAACTACCTTGAGAGGGCAGAGCCTGGCTCACAGCCCGGGCAGATGTAGAAGCCGTGAACGTAAAACCGACTGCTTCTCCTTTCCTCTCCTCCAGAAAACATCACATCAACAACAGTTCCCAGAGGCGGAAGGGGAGGGGAATACAGCCGCCAAGTATATGCGACGAACCAAAAAAGAGGCAGATGAGGGCAGGGAGATGGATGTGGAAGTGATGCCCACCCAGCAAAAAAGGTCGCCTTAGTTCGTACTCGTGTCGAGGTCGTCAAGCATAACCAATCCAGAAAAAGAAAACGCCTCGCGGCAGAATGAAGAAGAAGAAGAGAGGTATATGGGGGAAAATTCACGAAAGGGTTTGACAAAGGAAAGGAAGAACGCGGCGTCATGCTTTGCAGAACAGACGGGCTTTGTGTAAGAAGTGTCTTTTCAGGTTGAAGATTGTACTCGATTTGCTGCCAGAAGCGAAAGAAGACAAGATGGCAACAAGTCAGGGAGGTCCTGCCCAAGCGTATAGACTGGAGGGGGTTGTGAGGGCGAGTGAGTGAGAGCACCACCATCTTGGAAGCTCGCTCTCACCCACACTCTCACTCTCACTCTCACCCACTCCCTTACAACAGAGCAGCGACAACCATCCCGGCGACACCGGCCAGGGCGACGCGGCCGGCGTCGAGGGCAACACCGGCGTTGGAGGGACCCTTGGTGGGCAGGGTCGTCGGGGCGGCGGTGGACGCGGGTGCCGTGGAGCTGGGCAGGGTGACGGTGCCACCAGTGGGCAGGATGACGCCGGTGCTGTTGATGGAGACGACGGTGTGGACGCGCGAGAGGGTGACGGTCTTGGTGAGGTGCGCCGTGTCGGTGGTGGTGGTGGTGATGGTGGTCTTGGAGGTGCTGGTGACGGTGGTCAGGCTGGGCGAGGCGTCGCTCTGGGCGGCGGCGATGGCCGGGAGGACAGCGAGGAGGATGGTGGAAAGACGCATCGTGATTGTTGTTGCTGTTGTTGCTGATTTGGTCGAGGTTGCTGTTGGTGTAGGCTGTCGAGTTGCTTAAAAGTAAAAGACAATTGCGTTTTTTCCGTTCAACGTGTCGTGAAAATATCTCTCGTCTTCCTTCTCTGACGAGGTAAAAATAAACTGCTCTCTCTTATGCTTGGCCGACGGGCTGAGGCGCGACTTGTTTCAAGTTGGAGGAGTTGAGTGAGTATTGGTTGGATGAGAGTCAGTGGGATGGATTGTGCGGTATAATAAATGAGCGTCGTGTGTGTTTAGACTTTGCCAACGAAGTCTTGTGAGAACGAAACGAATAGGATTCGAATTGTACTTGCTGGAGAAGAGAAAGAGAGAAAAGAGAAAAAAAAGACGTTGAGAGGTGTGTGGGCGCCCGTTGCAGTAATATGAGTTGGGGGCTCACGAGAACAAACAACTCTCTCTCACCACAGACACGGGATAGCACACCACTAGTCACCTACCAATTGAATCAAAAAGGCCCACAGACTAATGAGAAACAGCCAAGATGGGGGAATCCCTTTTTTTTCTCGTCCATTGACAAGAGGGCCAGGGATGGGAATGGGGCCTGCGCGATGCTGGGCACGAGGGGAATTCCCTTTGTGTCAGTCAGTCTTGCAAAGTACATACACCGACCAGGGGAACTATCGATAGCCAGTGATGAGGAGTGATATGGGGGGGGGGGCATGAAAAAGGGTTGGTTCATCGCACGCACGCGCCCTGGGCCTCTCGCCTCGGGTGTGACCTGACCAATTGTCAAAGGGGGCGTTTTCCCAGGGAAATGAGGGTATCCGCCTTGGTCTCATCCACACAACACCCAGCTTCACAAAAAAGCAGAGGCAACAGAAAGCCGAGACTCTGCATAATGGGCTAGAGTAAAGTGTCCGTCCACCAGCTTGTCACCGTCATTAATAAATGAGGGCCCCTAGGGGCCAATGTTGCGACGTGTCGTGGGTAGTACACACGGTTTACAAAGAGCTGTGATTTGCGTCCCGTCGCGGCAAAGAGAAACAAGGGGGCGCGAAATAAATACAATCCAAATTTCTAAAAAGAAAAAAGGACGGCTTGACCTTTTCTTTGCTTCGACTTGGCAACTTACCACTATATTTCTAGTCATTCAATCACCATCTTGTCAATAGACTACATACACATCACAACGGCCGACAACTCGCTCTAGTTATCCCTTCCTTCGTCTTCCCTTCCCACTTTCGTACTCGTCTATCGACCTAAACTGCCCTGCGCCCCGATTGATTTTCTGGGGGGAAGCACGACCAAGAGCAAAAATGCTTGTAAACTGGAGCAGGCAAGCCACCGAAAAGCAAGGGGGGGGGATTACATTGGGCTTTGCATCTGGACCCAACCGCGTAGTCCCCCTGATGGGACTAGGTTAAATTTGCTCATCTAACCCCGACACATCATCATCATTGGCCCCTTCTCTTGTTCCTGGCCAGTTGGTCAGCCCTAGAGAGGACTCGAGGCGCCCGTACCTGACGCTTTTCCCTCCTAGGAAGGTCGTGCGTGCGTTGCAGGTTGCAGGTTGCAGGTTGCAGGCGTCTGGTCTTGCCCGAGTTCATCCCAAGGCTCTCATAAAAGACCAGAAGAAAAATAAATAGAAAATCACTGAAAAAAAAAATCTACTGCCTCTCTTGTCACAAAGTTTATCTCTCAACTTGTCATCTATCTTCTCTATGCTGCACTGCTCTGCCCGTGTCCGTCCCCCCCCTGGGCCTTTCGATTAGCAATTTCCAACACGTCATTTGACGATTTGGCGCGATGCTACCTCTGTAACGGACAAATAAATTAGTCCTCTATTTCCTATCAAAAATCTTTAAAGGAAAGGGGGGCCGTTATATTTCTCAAACATGACCTTCTTTCATCTGTACTATGATGCCATTCTGTTTGCTTCGTCCTGTCCGGCTTTTGATCGCCGGCGCTCTCCGCGTAAAACATGCAGTCGCCCAACTGCGACATGCAGGCGAGGTGTAAACGCACAGAAGAAGAAGAAGCAAAAAAAACGTCGGCACTTGTCAACTGATCTCAAGACCCCAGTCAAGTGGTTCGTTACCCCGGCAGTCTTATTGCATGGATCTGATCGCTTACATCGGCAAACAATAACTCGTGTTATATACCTCGCTTTTGTAACCCGAGGATAACTCTCTCGATAACTTCAGGATGGCATCGCTTCACACGAAGAAAAAATTATAGACCCAGTCAGGACGCGTCTCGTCGCGATCGCACTTCATTCTTGCAACGGTTAGAAACGATCTAGACGCCGAGAATTTGGCCACATGCTCATCGGTGGAATGCTGGGCGCGCATTCATTCCCAGCGCGCTAGCCCCCGCATCAAAACAAGCCTGGTTCAAGGTGGGAAGCATTGACGATGCGAGACAATACTTCCATCTTTCGGCACTCGAGACAGTTTTCTCAATAGTGCAATGTTGAGTGACTGCCTTTCCTTTTTCTAGTTCCTTCTTTGCCCTACTCGTTTCGCTACTTCCTGAGCTAAGGCTAGTTAATTCTCAGTAGGTAGATTCCACCGTTCGTAGCGCAAACCCATTGGTCTGTGTTATAAATGGAGGTTATACGCGGCCAATATCACCGGCAAGTTAACGGCGACAACCAACAAATAAACCTAGTACTCGTGATACTATATTGATAAGTTGCGTGTATAAAACAAGACGAAATACATGACTTGCTATTTTTGTCCAGCAACTTGGCTGTCTAACATGACCAAGGGCGCGAGGCCAAAAAAAATGGCACACTATAGGGTAGGGGTCTCAATATATAGCCAAACTAAATTCAATCTAATCTGAAGCATGTCGTATGGACATGGGTGGGAAAAAGTGGTATCCAACAAGACGAGAGAAATGTAAAAATCTAGTAGAGCTGCATGGGCGTCATAAAGTAGAGACCAGCATGCCATCCAGCCATCCAGCCACAGCGAACCGTGGCTGCGTGGCACACGCCGTCTACGCGAGCCAGTACCAAACCTTCTGGAGCCAGTTGCTGGGAACACGCTCCTCATCCATCTGTTCTAGTTCATCCATCTCCTTGACGCCACTGACAATGTCAATCTCGTGGACCGGGATGGCCAAGCGGGTTCTAAACCAAATCTTGTGTCCAACGTAGAGTACCAGCACGATCGGGATAGTGATGTAGGCGGCGATGAAGTCGGCGGCCACAAATGGCTTAGCCATGAATGTCTGGAAACCGTTGGTGATGGTGAGTAGAGAAACGAGGCCAATCATGAAATAGCTCGCGTAGGGCTGGAGAGGCGTCTTGTACGGTCGAATATCAAGCGCGTTGTTGTACTCGAGTGCCTTGCGGAAGCGGACGTAGGTGATCATGACAATAATCCACGCAATGTACCCAGAAATGGTCGATAGGTTGACGAACCACGTGAACACCTTTTCACCCGAGTTGTCGACATTGAGGTACGAGAGCAAGCTGACGGCAAACGTGGCCAGGACGGCAACCCAAGGGACACCGAGGCGAGTCGTCTTGGAGAAGAATCGGGGGGCATTGCCGGTAAGAGACATGGAGTAGAGGACACGGCTGCCCGAGTAGAGGAACGAGTTACCCGCGGACCAGGCCGACGTCAGAATGGTAGCGTTGATGATGTGGTTGAGCACAGAGATGCCGACCCTCTGGATGCCAATGACAAACGGAGAGGCCGCCGCACCGCTGGCACCGGACGCGAGGGCACCGAGAAGCTGGTCGTCGTTCGATGCGACGAGGATGCCAATGACGAGCGAACCGCACCCGTAAAAGATGGCAAGACGCCAGACGAAGCGGCGGGCGGCCTTGGGAATGTTGCGCCTAGGAGCAACCGTCTCGCCCGCTGCGATTGCGATCAGCTCGGGTGAAGTAATAAACGCGAAGCCCGCGGCGATAAAGGCGTGCCAGAAAGCGAGGAAGCGACCGGTGGAGCCAGCGACGCCCTTGTACTGCACAAAGGCGCCTGGGTGCTCCCAGTAGTAGAAGCCTCTTATGTGATCCTGGTTGGGGCCGCCGCCGAAGAAGATGACGATGCCGAGAATGATGAGACCCATAATGGAGATCAGCTTGATACTGGCAAACCAAAACTCGGCCTCGCCAAAAAATTGGACGGCGATGATGTTGAGGAAGAGCATGACGATGAGGATAATGGTGATCCAAACGGCGACAGGGACTTTTTGGGCCCCAGGCCAGTAGTCGATAACGATGCTGGCGGCGGATGCCTCTGCGCCGACGAGAATGGCGTAGACGTACCAGTAGTTCCAGCCGGCGGCGAAGGCGAGGGAGGGATCGACGAATCGCTCGACGAAGTAGGGGACTGTAATGCCGCGCATGGGCAGGAGTGTAACCATTTCAGCAAGACAGTTCATGACGGTCCAGACAATGGCCATCATGAAGATGTAAGCCATGAAGAGTGGGGCGGGACCGCAACTGCTGAGGATAGCACCAGAGCCGACGAAGAGACCAGTACCAATGGCACCACCGAGGGCGAGGAACTGAATGTGGCGACTCTTGAGGCCACGCTCGAGTTGATCATGCTGGGCGGCTAGGCTGAACTCTGTCGAGTCGGCGGGTTGGGAAGCCTCAAGGTTGAGATTGTAGCTGTTCCCCGAGGCATGGCCCTCTTGGGAGGTCTTTTTCTCCATGATGGAGGGTGAGGCAAGTGTGGTTGGAGAAGATGTGTGCTTTGTGTTGTGCGTCGTGTATTGCGATCAGATAAGTACAAGGATAGCGAGCTGTGCGAGGTGTGACGACGCGGCGCGTGACGTCAGAAACAGGAACCGTTGGTGGTTGCAGCGTAGCAGCGGCCGACTTAGGAAACGGGGCAGTTGAGGTGAGGTGAGGTGAGGTGAGACGAGACGAGACGAGGCGAGCTCAGCTGTAGGTGCGGTAGAGGCAGGTGTAACCAGCACAGCAGTGGGCGAACATGGATGGGCGACGACCTCAATGAGACGGGAGAGGTCAGTTAGCAGAGGGAGGAAAAGAGGTTGAAGAGATGTTGGAGTAGAGGAAAAAAGAGGACAGGCTGAGCTGGAGAGGTTGATGTGGGCATGCGGCCGGTTTTGGGGTTTGTGTGGGAGGAGGAGAAGAGCAAGGACAGGCTTGGTGGGGAGCAAACGAGGCTTTGCGGTGCTTGGGAAGTACCTGATTGCGGGTTGTTAGCTGTAGAGAAGCGGAGGTATCACCTTAGCAGCTTGCCAGGGCACCACCCACCTTATCTGGAAGAAGAGAACTCAGCGACAACCAGATTTTTGGGGTAACAAACGGGACAAACGGGACCCCAGACGCCGCTCCTCCCCTGTAAGTTTGGGGGAGATGAAGCAGAAAGCAGTGCTGCACTGTTAAACTGAACGCCAGACCCGCCCCGCCCAAGCCATGAGATAGTCGGGCAACGGCAGCGAGTCGCTCAGATTCGTTTACGTTTTTATTATTTAAAAAAAGTAAAGTAGCAGGTACAATAACCCTCGAGCCATCGCATCGAGCAGTGGCGGGTTGCTGAATGCCAAGAATGCGGATTGCGCCGCTTTGGGTGTTTACTTGGCAGTCATCTCGACGTCCAACGTCGCTTCCGCCGCAGCGCCTCCATCGACGGGCGCAAGCATACAATCAATCACAATGCACTAGCATACAGACACAATAACTAGCCTCGAGGCTCACATGAGACGGTTCTATTTCCGAGCCTGTATTCAAGGCTGCTTTGGGGCGCCATGTCTCTGATGGATCCAGTTAGCGGCTCTACTGGGCGTCAGCCCCAGGTGCTAGTTTTGCCAGTGTACCAACGACTTGCCACTGCAACCAGTCAGATTATGACCAGTGAGTGCCTAGTAGGCATAAAAATACTGAACAAAATCGCAAAACGTGGCGCCAGGCAGCAGAAAACCCTTTTGCCCGGCCAGTTAGTCGTAACACAAGTGGCTTGCCAACTTTATGTTGAAGCATGCTACCCCCGACAGTAGTCACGCACGCACCAACTGGGGGAGGGGACCCCAGTTGCCCAGGTGAGTGAGCTTGGGCTGCTTGGCCCCTCGCTTCTCGCTTTCGGGCTCCATTTGTGCAATTCCTGCACTCGTGACTTTTTTCTTGTCAATGCTGAAATCAATACCATCGTATCGACGATGGCGCGGCTGGACGCAAGCTTCTGGAAACAGACACAGACTTTGTTACCGGCTTTGGCTGGCGTCTTGCCACCCCCACTTGGCAAAAACCGCCGAGTGCGGCACACCCGTGTGTCTTTTTTCAGCCACTTAGCAGTTTATTACCTAGGTGGTGGCTGGAACAAGTGCTTGGACAGAGAGGAACAAAAACCACGCCACCGCCAAGGCGAGTCGTGGCAAGGACCATCTTGTCGATTGAAATCAACTCGGCCTTTGCATGGCGCTCTCGGGAGGCGCTGCCAGGCGATGCCCAGCCCAGAGGATACATCCAAAACAGGTAGGTGGCTGTTGCTTGGCTTGACGACGACCAACGAAGGGACATAGAATCGGAATTGAAGCAGTTGAACTCGAGAAAGCAGCTGACCAACGTCTCTACAACGGTGCTCAATCTTCAATACACGACCCTATTCCAGTTTCTTCCCGCGCAGCTCGAACCCACACAGCCTCCAGCTTAGCCCACAGCCGCATCACACCCTGGCCCCAGCCAGCGACTCCATCCCTCCATCCCCTCCATCCCTCCATCCATCTCCAACCCGGTCCATGCACCATGGCATCACTCGGCTGATGGTCTGGGGCGCCATGGGGAAGTCGGCCAGCCCTCCAGCCGTCAGCCTATTTCCAATTTGCTTTTGCATCTATTTGCGCACCAAAAATAGCGGCAGAATAGAAAAAAAAAGAAATCGTCATGGACAGCAGCCTTGCCAAGACGGGTCACGGAAATGAATCAGCGCCCACAAACTTGTTCCGAATACTTGATGAATTTACTCTTCATCAGAGAGACTATCACTGGATGGTCTATCCTCCGTTTTGTCAGTACCAAGTAATCATCGTAAATCCCAAGCCGAAGGAAGCCGTCTCCAGCTCCTTCTCCCCCCACCACCCAACAACGCCCCGTCTCCACATCGCCAGCCTTCACGGGCATCCTACCTACGAATAATAATAACCCTGCACACCTACGAACACATGCGTACACAACACCTGCTTCCAAAAACGCCTCTTGGCCTCCTCCCAACTACCAAGTCATGCACTCGACAAACATGGTCTGATTCATGCCCATCGCCTCCTTGGCCATCCCCAGTGCTCGCTCTGTTCTCCTACCCCGACTCATACCATACCTGCCTCCCTCCCCTCGCCTCACCTGTTTGCTGCTGATCATGACAACCAAACAAACTACCTCGAGATGCTTATCTCGCACAAAGTCCCATGTTCCATCCACCAAAAACGACTAATAATAATCCTTGTGTTCTTAGACGCGATCTGTCACGATGCAGTGGTTCTCAGCGGTCCGCGGACCAGCGAAACCGCCCACCCCTCCCACTTCTGCTGGATTGCTTCTAGAATTTATTGTGGAAGCTTGTATGAGACTTGGGTTGGGGCTACACGCGCCTTCCCCGTCTTCACCTATGCATGCGAGTACGGAGTACACAGCAATGAATCATGCCCGCGCAAATCTCGACACCGTCAACTGATACTATTCCGAATCTGATCCATATTTGACAAATTCCATCTCTGCCTCGCACGGGCCAGAATTTTGCGACTTTTATTTTGTCCATTTCATGCTGCGCCAACCATCCATGCAGACAGACGACCATCAGCGTGGACCCTGTCTGCAGCGCCGCTCACAATGTCGCAGACGTGGATCTCTTATCGCGACCAAACTCCACAAATTCGTGCCTAGAACACCGTGAAACACAGGCCCGAAAAGAAAAATCTGCACGCAAAAAACAACTCTGTGCTTGGCGGATGGAAGCGTCCCCATATCCGCTGCAATCTCACCGCTGCTCCCGTATCTAGTATGGAACCCGAGACAGCCGACCGCCCGTTAGGCTGACGAGCCGACGCCACCGCACCAAGGCGTCCACAGCCATTCAGTAGAATTGCTGTGTATCCGACACGAAGTCACCCGTCACAAGCCATTACAAGCTATCATCGCATTCTCAATTGACTATTGGTTTGGTATGTCATGTGTAGCAGTCTCCGTACTGCACAAAGCAAATCGACACCCGCGTCGACGCCGTCTGCCAACCGCGCGCTGAGGACGACAAGTCATGCTACTGCTACATTCTCGCTGCAAGCTCAGGATAGTGTAGCCCTATGGATTTGTCATTACCTGTGCGACTCATACCTACAATGTCTCTGCTCATAGACAGCTCGACCTTTTGGCCGCTACGAGTTTTTAGCTGGCGTGGCTTGCCCACGACGGCAGCACGAGACGCGATGCGACGACCTCAACCCGGCTCGGCCTCGACAGAGAAGTCTGGACAGAGTTCGTATCGTAAACCCTGCCTTGAACTTGGCAAGACTGAAAGCCGCGTCGGTGTCGTCTTGAAATCGAGCTTCTTCGGACAGATACCCTGGCTGACGCGGGATCCGTGTCAAATATCGTGCGGCCGGCGCCACTCTCCCCGACCATCGCTACGTAAACGAGCGGCACCGGCCTTGAGCTGCTCTGCGCTGGTAGCTACACAGATTGATTCTTCCTAGCTTTTGATTTGCTGTAGAGACACGTAGACGCTTGAGGGTGCTCCGTAAACGTGTGAAGACCGATTGACCTGCCCAAAAGAGACTTGCACCATTTTACTTGCCGATGTTGCATCATTACAGATTACATGCAGGCAGATTCGACGCATGTCGCCCATGCACGCACAGACTATTGAATCGACGGGTCTTAATTGTCTGCTACGTATCCAGAGATATATCCGATTTACCCCAGATTCACGACAGAGGTCCCGATTAAAAGTTATATCAAGCGGTATAATGCTACCTCAATACCAACTTTATCTTTTTTTATGCTCTCACCCTTTCCACTCTTTCTCCCATTCTTTCTGAATCTCTAATTCCGAATCATAAAGCACACGGCTTTTAAAAGGGACATCTGTACTTGATCTCCTGATCCGACCAACTTGGCGCCCTACCCTTTTGACAGCCATGACTGGCAGGCCCGGGACTCCAGCCTGGCCACAGAAAAGAGCGATGACATAATGTGCATCAAGTGGTCTTTGAAAATGGCCCAAATGCCATGCAATCATTTACAAAAACATATCTGACCCTCCGCCGGGGCGCATGGTGGCTGGGCTGGGGTCCGTGGCGCTGCCCGATCCGATCCCGATGAAAGCCCCCCGCAACCAACCCACGTCAAAACCCCCTGCCCTTGGTGACCTGCACATTTCGGCGGCCTCACTCGCGTAAGTATACAAGAAACAGCTTTATCTACTCAACTTCCCCTCTCGAACAAAGGTTTTGCGGTGGAGCTTACCTTATTGTACGTCACGGTCAGTGACTGGTCCGATTGGTGACTGCAACCCTCCCCGAGCTTGCGGGGTAGAATACCACACACACCAACGACCAAAAACAACGAGTTGCTACATAGCTACTAGACTGCTTTGATTGTTCGAACATGGAAAACGGGGAGAAAAGCGTCTCCATATTGGATGTCCCCGCACCGGTTAGGGCCGTTCCTCTCTCAGGTGACGAGCTCATCAGCGCCCGCACGCTGTATAAGGTTCACTTGCTGTTTCACCCATCACTCAAAGCCATGCATGCTGATGGGCTGAGAGGCTGGATTGCATGCATCGGGCACAATGTTCCAGCGCAAGCAAACACCCGCGCAGAAGGGCCAAGATCCGGATGCTACGTGGCCACCTAGATCCTTTATATGCTTGGAAGGACCGACGTAGGTGAGAGAGGGTCGTACGGCATAGAGTAAGCACCGCCGCGCGGTGTACAGCGTCACAGCCGTATTGGAGCAAAGCTCCAGCACCAGACAGAGAGGGTTGGCAAGGCTCGCGACGCACTGCATACGGACAGGTCATTCGCTGCTGGACTAGAGGAGGGGAAAGACGATGGCTGTCTTATCCCGCTGTACGTCGTTTAATCCTACTTTTGCCTTCTCTTAAAGGGTCCGGCCGTTGCCCGCCCTCCCCCTCACCGTCAGTGTTCGCACACCGTCCTTCATGAATCACAAACACCCTCACCCGTGATATCTCGGTACCGCAGCCTTGACCGCGCGGCCCTACTTGCCGTAGAAGCATGAAATAGACACAAACATAGCAAGCATAAAACACACGCACACACACGCACAAAAAGCGCATACGTCACGATGCTTCTCAAGCGACTCGCCTATATCGCTGGCGCTCTCCGGACCGCCGCCGCGGCGGCTATTGATCTCCCTGCAGAGACGACAGCCGCCGCAGCCCGAGCGCCGATCGTCCACCTCGACTACGCCACGTACCGGGGTTCCCGCGCTGCTGGTGCCGGCGTCGACCAATTTCTCGGTATGCGTTTCGCCAGCCCGCCTGTAGGTGACCTGCGGTTCCGCGCGCCGCAGGCGCCGGCCTACGAGAACGAGGTGCAGGACGCGAGCAAGGTACGTCCTCACCTGCCCAGCGCAACGAAAATAAAAAGGAGGAAAGCCGCCGGTATTGTCGGCGGAGGCACAGAGACTTGGCTTGTACCACTTTTTTTGCTGACATGGATCGCAGTTCGGCGCGCTCTGTGTCGGCGTTGGTACCACCGCCGATGACAGTTTTGCCGAAGACTGCCTCTTTGCCAACGTCTTCAAACCCGCCAACGCCACCGCAGCATCGAAGCTTCCTGTATGGGTCTTCATCCAGGGTGGCGGCTACGCCGCCAACTCCAACGGCAACTACAACGGCTCCCAGATCGTCCAGCAGAGCGGTGGCAACATTGTCTTTGTCAACTTCAACTACCGCGTCGGTGTGCTTGGCTTCTTGGCTAGCGAAGAGGTTCGTCACGACGGCGCGCTGAATGCTGGCCTCCTGGACGAGCGGATGCTTCTTAGATGGGTGCAAAAGTACATCAGCCAGGTATGTTTGTTTCGTGATTATGGTACCGGGAATGCTGATGAGAGCGCACGCGCTGATTTCGTCTCTGGCACCGCAGTTTGGAGGCGACCCTAAGCATGTCGTAATTCATGGCGATTCGGCAGGCGGTGGGTCCGTCTCGTATCATTTGACCGCTTACGGAGGCAATGACAAGGAGGACCTGTTTGTTGGTGCCATGCCTGAGAGCCCGTTCTGGCCGACGCAACGTACCGTGCAACAGATGAGATTCCAGTGGACGCGTCTTCTCGACAAGACCAATTGCGCGTCTCTCAACTGCCTCCGGAAGCTTGGAATTCGCGCGCTACGTGAAGCGAGCTTGCCTTCGCCCTTCCCGGAGGCACATACCGGGGACCCCTTGCCGCTGTGGTACTGGTTGCCTGTGATTGACGGGCACCTGGTCCAAGACCACATGTACTCGCAGTTCCAGACAGGACAATTTAAGCGCGTACCGATGCTCATCGGTGATGATACCAACGAAGGTACCTTCTTTGCTGCCAATGCCAGTACCGAGACAGAAGCGTTGGCCTTCCTGCGAGCCAATTATCCACGTCTTAAAAGGTGGCAGCTTGCCCTTGTGAGCAACCTCTATCCCAAGATGGACCCCTTGCCCAAGCACGCTGCCTACTTCCCTTCTACCGCCGCAGCATACGGCGATTGTACCTTTACCTGCGCCGGAAACGCCATAACCGATGCCATCTCATCCTTTGTGGGTCGTGACAAGTCGTGGAATTACCGTTACAACGTCGCCGATCCGGAGCAAGTAGCCGAAGGTTTCGGTGTGCCACACGTCGCTGAAATCGGTGCAATCTTTGGTCCAGACAATGTTCAGGGACAGGAGGCGAAGTCTCTGAGGACCACCAATGCCGCTATTGTACCAGTGACAATGGCGTACTTCTCCAGCTTCGTTCAATACCTGGATCCCAATGTCAAACGGCACCCTGGATCGCCGGTGTGGCAGAATTGGGCGTCTGAAGATGAGCAGGGTCGCCGTATGCGGCTGGAAACAAACAAAACGGTGATGGAGGCGGTGCCCTTCGACTTGATCAGAAAGTGCCAGTTGTGGAGGTTTCTTGCTAGTAGTATGGATGTTTGAGACGGCGGAGAGCGAGAAATTATGCGAATCATGATTCTGAATAGTCGCAAGGGCCATTGTGCTGTACTCACCTGGGTCTGGGGACCGGCTTCAACCGAACCAAGCTGCTGCTTGGATAATATCGTCGAACTGGAATGAGTGTATCTGCTGGTGCAAATAATCCTTTTGCTGAAAATGATGGCGAAACTTGGTGCCGAGCCCTTCTAAGGGTATGTGTAGTGACGGTTACAGTTTCACGGCAGATGGGCAGCCGCAGTTCAACGCTCCGGTCCGGGAGCAGGGGTTTGCCTGTCACATCTTACCGAGGCGAAATTTCCAAGACAATGCCGCCGGCGGTAGAATAATTTTCGAGCTTGATTACGTTTCACGGAACTCTTGCTGCTTCGGATTGAGCGGCGCTTTTGCTCCTCAATAATCGTAACGACGATTGTATCGCCGGTTCAATAAATGGGCCAAATGGGCCCCGTCATCTCGTGCCCCTGTAGCGCGTTTGATCACTTTACAAACAGGAGAATAGATTCCTTATGAGTCGTCGTGAGGCCGGGGCATCTGGTCCGGAGTGGGCTGGGCTGTTCGGACCCGACGATTCTCCTGTGATGTGTGATTGTCGCTCGCAGTCAGTTGGTGCTGGCCGAGGTGACATGCATAAAAGAGTGGACCAGGTCGGCAAAATTGGGTGGTTTAATTCACCGTAACGTTGAACGGAGTGGTTGGGCTGGCCGTTAGGCAGAGCTCGTATTCTGGCGCAAAGCCGGAGGAATCCAGAAAACGAGACGGTGTGATGCAACTATGGCCATGTCGAAAAGGATTCAACGGCAGCAATTCGGTTTATTGATTCATGGTTCGAGGAACATGCCGGAGCTCGAATTCGAACAGGGCCGTGGGGATGACTTGCTCATCGAATCGCCCAACAGCAAATTGCGCGATGCCGTAAGTAGGGTTTACATATTTAGAAGATATTAGTACGCAACTGTAGCTCGCTAGCGATCCCGTTTGTGAACAGAAGATTTGATAGGGAATTAGGGGCGGCGATCTGCAGCGAGATCTGAGTCGGGATGGCAAACCGCTGCTCGTTTGCGGTTGTGGGGATGGTGGGATTCTGAGTCCAGAGCACGAGGCAGGAGGGGCAGCTGAATCTTGACTTGGGTCGGCTTGATGAGGAAGACGAGGTCGAGGCTGTTCGAAGCTGTTTTGGCGGGCGGGAGCGTGCGTCGGATTATTATGGATGGCGTGAGGTGAGGTGAGGAGAGCGGAGGTAGAAGAGGAGGGGGGATTCTTTCGGAAGAAGTAGGTCGGACAAGCATCCGGAATTGTGATCAATTCAGCCCAGCCATGGTCAAGATACCAGTAAAGAATGTGAAGCGGGTCTCACCGGTGAGGAGCATCCGTTCGTAGTTATTGTGTTGAACGTTTGGAGTTGTCAAAAGAGTATCGTGCAGGGTTTAATTATACTTGGACGCTGGAAAGTGCCAGGAGTGCCGAGAGTGGCTAGAAACTGGTGGAGCCGTTCTCTGGGGCGCTCCGGCCCCTGTCGCTCTGCCACCCGTCGGCTCGGGCCTATCAGATGTCGCAGGGAGCTTTTGCTCCGGCTGGCCCTCGTCGATAAACCTCTGGCCGATCCTCAGTCGCATTGCTTTTGCCACTTCTTTTGGCCACGCTTTTTCGGTCGATCTGTCACTGTTTTTCTGCTGCAGACCACTATTTCTCAACGTTTCTTCAGCCTCACAAGCTTTCCAACGCCTGTACCTCGCTGGAAACGGTCTGGGCCATCTCCGCCGCGGAGTCCATGCCGCCGAGCAAACTATCATTCTTAGCTGTGACTAGGCCACCTTTGCAGTTAGCAGTATTCAGGACAGTTTGGTAAATTGTTCTGCCTACCTGCCTCCGTCGCTGCGTACCGTGGGCAAGTTGCCAAGGTCAGCACCTACCGTAGCCACTGGGGAGGAGGTAGGTAAGGTAGTGGTAGTATAGGTAGGCATGGCAGTAAGTGCGCACAAGGCCGGCCGTTCTCGCTGCTCCTCCTCTCCCTCCTCTCCTCTTCTCTCCCCCCTCGGTGGATGTTCCGTCCGTTGTGCGGGTAGTATGGCGTGGTGTGGCGAGTCCCTTTCACTCCTACAGGTACCCCAAAGCACTTCGCCCTACACCAAAATGCTCCTTCCAATAGTCTTTGTTTCCCGCTGTTGGTGAGGTTTCGGGCCCCAAGGGTCTCTCCTCCTTTCCGTGTCCCTTCTTCTTAGCCACATGGGGCTGTGGCGAGTCCAGTTTACCGCGTCTTTGATTCCTTCCTTTTCCTCTTCCCTGTGGCTGACCCTGCGCGACGACGCCTGTTTTGGCCCGGCCCTTTCTGTCTGTGTCGGTGTTCGACTTGCCGGAGTAGGCGCTCCTCAGCGGGCAATCGAGAAAACCAAAAATCTCCTCGCCTGATTTTCCCCGACGCCTGCTGCTCTCGCATCGGTATACCCTCACAGCCTGCTCCAAGTCTCTTCGTCTCCGTCTTTCCCACACTTGTCACCAACCTGCTTGCGCATCTGCAAACTTGCCCCTTCACAGCCTCGCTCACCATCAAGGGCACACGCGCCACTTCACACCCCCCCCTTTCGCCCATCTACACATCCCGCGGCCAAAGCTGCAAAAAGTTCCATGGGTGTGGCCACCAAGAATCACCGTCCTCAGCTACATCTCATTATTACCAAACCTCGCGGTTTGGCCAGAGATTGTATCGCATTCGGAGCACCAAGTTCGAGATAAATGTGCACAGCCCATACGGCAGATTGCCCAGTCTGCGGGAAAGAATATCTCGTTTATGTTGAATTCTGCCCTTCGTATCATCCGCCCTATCTCGAGTGCCCCGACGGCACAGTTTTTATTCGGAATGACATGCGAGACGGCCAGTGCCCGAGCCCCGTCTGCCCAAACAGCCTGAGGGGTGGTTGCTCTGTCATGTAGTCTGCTGGCTTCTAACAAACCATGCCTCGACACGCACTTACCGTTCAGAGCCTCAGAGCTTTTCGCCTGTCACGTCGACTTCGACAACCTGATCCACACCTTCGTACTCCGGTACCTGAAGATTGTACTTTTCAGCAATCGCAGGCGACACAAACCTGGTTAGTGTTCTTAGCCATCGTTGTCCGCATTATGTAAGTTGTCACAACTTCCTTTGAGAGCGAACTTACCGGCCGCCAACAAAGTGGCGTCCCGTAAAGTGTTTAGCCAACGGCTTCGGGGCAGACAGGCTAACGAGAGTTGCAGGCATGAAAGAGCTACCCACGCCCGATTTGGGTGGCCCTTGCTCAATGTCCCACGACGATGGCGCGTCTACCGACGTAACGGGCTTCTCTGATTTCTGGAGGGCCTCTATTACGGCTGGAAACGGCTCTCTGACCTCACCGGAGAAGCTGAAACCTAGCACATGATTAGACAAGAAGGGCCTGGGACTATTGGAATGATTCAACAAACCAAAAATGGCATCAACAATGTGGTCAGCTTCTTCCGCTGCGGATACGAAATCATCGACGAACGGGACTTGAAGATCCTCAAGCTGTTTTGCAAGGCGCTAAGAAAACGATGAGCGACCCACGAACACACGAACATCTCAAGTATAATTCAATACATCATATGCGCCACCGGCCAAGCAGTAAACGACGTTTGGAAAGCAAGGATGGCCAATACTGGTGCATGGCGAGCTCCGGGCAGTTGCCAGCATGCAGAAAATGGAAGGGCGAACACAGATGATACACGCATATGCATAGGAGCATGAAATACACGCACATGGACAAAGCACAGAAATTGGACAACAGCAACGCAACTGTGAACTGAAGCGGCTTACCTGATACAATTCATTCTTGCCCCGCTTGGGATAGTAGATGGATGGGCGGTAGCCATAGTAGAACAGATGTCGAGCGGCAACAAGACCGTCGCCACCTTGACACGGATCGGTAAGAATTCTTCTAGTAGTTCAAGTTTAGAGTCGATACTAACCGTTGTTCCCAGGGCCACAAGCAACGAGAACTCTGCGCCCCATGGTTGGGGGGTGAACGCGATAGACTGCATCACGGGCATGTTGACTTAGTTCGTCTAATCACGTAGCCAAGAGGCATAATATATGCCAAGGATAAAAAATAGAATCACATACCGGCTTGGGAAACGGAAAGGCCGGCCAGTTCCATGAGCTGATCTAGGGAAAAGGCGCAGGTGCTCATGAGCTCCTGGTCCAGGGCGGCAGCAGCCTTTGCGCTGAGGGTCTATGTCACAATACATAAATTAGTCAACCATAAACTTTGCCCTAGAAAATAACTGATGTTCGACGAAGAAAGCCTACCTTGAGAGTCATGACGGATGCTGGGGATTGGCGTGGATGTGTTGCTTTCCAATGATGTAAGAGCTGCGTTTGGTGTACATTTATTAAGCACTGGCAAGGGTTTTGACGGCTGGCGGCCGCTATACCGCTTTAGCCCGACATGGGGGAGAGAAAGAAGGGGAAAAGGGTCCTGCAGGTACTGCCCCCAAGGAACCAGCGAAATGGGATCGGGTTTATTTAAGAATCGAATTCGTGCACCCTGCGGCTGGCTGACTCGAGCCGGAGATGCACACGCCGTTGGGCTTGATCCGATCACTTTCGGGCTTACCCAGTTACAGGCACAGCGGGTTACCGATCCGTTGCGCTGCAGGTCTGGAACAGGCCCCCAGCGCCCAGCTCTGGCTTCCCGGCAGCCGGCAAAACTGGCGCTCCGGGGCAGCGCGACAGAGGGAAGAAGTGGGGACCATCCAAGCCAGCAAATCGCCAACCTCTGCGACGAAGAAAGTATATATCCATCAGGAGAGCGCGAGAAGAAGCCCCCGTCGACACAACAAAATCCAAACCAACATGGTGATTAAAATCCGACTAGCGCGCTTCGGCCGCCGTAACCTGCCCTTTTACAACATTGTCGTCGCCCACGCACGGTATGCTCTTTCTCGACGACAATCTTCCCACCCCCCCAAAAAAAAGACTGACGCAGTTCCCCCCCTTCCAGCACGGCGCGCAACTCCAAGCCCCTCGAGGTCATCGGCACCTACGACCCCGTCCCCAAAGCCGACCCCTACGAGAACGCGGCCGCCGCCAACGGTAGCAACGCCCGCCCACCCCTCCACAAGGACGTCCGCCTCGACACGCAGCGCGCGAGGTACTGGATCGGCGTCGGCGCGCAGCCCACGGACACTGCGTGGCGGTTGCTGAGCCTGGCGGGCATCCTGCCCAAGAAGCAGTTCGGCCCGACGCGGCCGCCCCCGACGGCGACGGTCAAGGCCGAGGACGTCCGCATCCGCTGAAAGGCGTGGAGGAAAAGAGGCGTGTGATGGGAGACGAGACTTGATGCCAGACCACATCAGGGGAAGCATGTGTGGCTGTGAAGCTTCAGGGAACGCAACACTGTGGAAGAATGCGAATGGGATGATGTCTGAGAGCTGCTCGGGCCGAGAATCCCCATCGGAGACTGCTCACGCGACACGGCATGCTCAGCCTTCTTGTATTATTATTACCTGCGACGCGATCACAAAGCGGCATTTCTTTTTACCAGGCGTTGGGAGCGGGGAGATAGATCATGTACAAAGATGTAGGATATATATTGCCTCGATATCAAAAAAGGATAAACAAACCAACCACCGCATATCAATAAACCACGATGCCCTTCTTAATAGACGATGCGTCTCTCGCAATCGATATTCAAAGCGCCTCTTGCCTTGTGTTTCAAACCAATATATTCTGCTCTACCGCGCTCGCCGCAAATATATGCCAATGGCGCTCTTCAGGATATCGCTTTTCTACATGTACCCAATCGAGTCGTAAATTCCCCTGCAAGCCACGCAGGCCAGAAAATAATAACCAACCAAATGCAAAAAGAGGCTGCACGCACATGGTCCCATTGATTCTGGGTGCGCCTTGGTAAAGCCCGATAAATAAACCTGTGGCCGGAGCCAAGTCGTCTTTTTTTTTGTACATGCTCCCATTGCCCCCAACTCGTCTCTCGTCAAAGACAGAAAACAAAAATCAATCTAATGCGATGTTGTGAAAAAAAGGTTCATTATCAAACAAACGGCCATGACAACAACGCCATATACGGCCAAGACCAGGGCAGCCTTGCGGATCACCTCGTGATCAATGTGCTCGAGATCCCAGCGCCACTTCTTGCGCCAGCGCCAGACGCCTCGTGGACCAGAGGGACCAGGGGCCGCAGGGTTCTGCGCCAGGGCCGCTGACTCCTCGACATCCGACGTGGAATCTTCCATGTCATCGTCTTCCTTGAGCAGGCGTTGGTGGTGGATACTGTCGGGGTCGCTAATCTTGTAGTAAAACAAGCCGGGTAGGATGAAGCTGATCGAGGTGGAGCCGGTGCTGCCGACAAATGCAAGCATGCGGTCAAGGCTGCTGACGGAAAGAGCAGTAGCGTAGGCGCAGGTTAAGATGAGCGTGGTGAGGAGGGCAAACCGCATATCCGACATCGGAGCGGTGCTGCCGTGGTCGCCGCGACTGGCGGTCAACGCAGGGGAGCCGGGACGGCCGCTGTTGTTTTGCGAGCGATTGGGGCGCCAGCTGAGGACTGCATCAAGGGAAGCACGGCATGGGTGTACCTGGAGCGGAATCGAGAAAAGGACGAGGACGACAATGGCAGCCTTACCAACGGTGGAAGCAACTCCAGTAGCGTCTTCTTGGGTTAGCTGTAGCCAGATGGAGCATGGCGCATGACAGACTTACACATCATGATGATGTTTCCGACGACGGAGTTGCCAAAAGTTATATAGCCAGTGATGGCCACAAGCAGATAGATAAAGCCAGCAGAGCCAATGCTGCTGCCTATCACCGCAACAATACTGCCAGGCGTATTGTCCCCGATTTCGTTAATAATCGAAAACATCTGATACATATTAGCCCGGGACCTGAATGGCAGAGCGAAGCAGGTAGTTACGTTTTGGTGGCATGTATAGGCAAAAACCACGACTGGCAGAGTGCTCAACGTCTCGACGGCACCGGCCCACTCAATGACGCGAATGTCACTGGGGTCAGCATGGGCATCGGCAGCAAAGTGATAAACAACGAGGACAATTAAGTAACCGATCGAAACGAGTGCGACAATGCTGGTGTATTTTAACGAGTCGAGCCGGCGAAGAAAGGCGAGCGGGATGACAAGGAGCATAAACGCGGTGATCCAGAAATGACGGTTGACAAGATATGGAAAGTTGTCGGTGTGGCTTGTTAGGCCCTGCATGACGCCGGGCATCAAGTCACCGATGATGATCATATAGGAGACGCCGACGCCAAAGCACTTGATGGCAATGGCGAGGTCGAAGATGACGGCGGCGTTGGGATAGGTCAGCTGGGAGAGGGCGAAGAAGGACGAGGTGCCGCGGTCGAGGTATCGGGCGCATCGCGATTGGAGGTAGAGGCCAAAGGCCGATGTGAAGGCAGACCAGAGGATAAGGACGACACCTAGCATAATACCCATGTGCGAAAGCACGAAGGGCATGGTGAGGGTCCCAGCTCCTACAACTATATCATGGTGATGAACGGTTAGCACTGGTGTGGGCGCGTCCAAGGCCCAGGACGTCGAGTGAGAAGGATAAAATGGAGTCGTACTGGTATTGAGGAGGTTGACGATGCTGCTTAGGCGCGAAGCCTTGCCCGCGTAGCCGGCATCTTTACCGCCGCGTCGTCGGTGTCTGCCAGAAACGTCCCTCTGTTAGCTTCAACGTGGCAACTCATTCTGGGTGGGAATGCAGGCGTTGCCGTTTTCCGATCTCGATCGAGCACAAACCCAGGGAAAAGTCGGCAGACAAAGCACAGGAAAAAGAAATCGTACCTCGACATGTCGCTGGCGTGTGTATTCGAGGGCTGTGCATCTGTAATGGTTGAATAATTCGTCATGGCCGGCGCAAAAGCAGCGCCGCCTCCCGTTTCAAGGTGCGAAATTGCGCCTTGCGAGGAGGGAAGAGTAGAAGCGAAGGCGAGTCAGGGAGGGATGGATGGTTGGAGCGAGGGAGGAGAGAGCGAACGGGGCGATGTGACGGGGGTTAAGGTATGTGGGCGGCAAGTTTTGGGCAGGCGAGAGAGAATGGATCGTCCTTTTTTTCTAAAACAAAAAAGCAACCCCGAAAGGCCGTGCAGAATGAATGGTCAGTTTGGGGTCGAAGAGAGTGATGGTAGAGTCGCCTTCGGATTTCAGGCTGCTGGGGTCAGATGAGCTGCCTACTTTTGCTGCCAGGGCCGCCCAGGTACCACGGCCGAGGACACAGAGTTTAAAGCCGTACTTAGTCAGCAATCCCAGGTACAGAACAGGTATCCGTACAAAGATAATGATTATGCTTTCAAGGGTATCTAGAAAGACTGTTTCAAATATTTAGTTAAAATGCTTGAATAGTAAAATGTATTGAACTTTATTGCAAATTGATTTAAGAATCTCAGTCCTGCTTTCAACCTGTCAATTGATACAAAGCATCAAGGAAGCCGCGCTGCCTACCTGGATAAAGTGTACATCTAGCGACTTCCCATTGGCTACACATTACGTACAAGAACAAGTCGCACTACGTAAATTGAGATCATCAGCAACTCAAAAGCAGCTTGGACGCCATCTGTCATTTGCCAACAAAACCTATCACAGCAAGATAGGACGGCGTGAAACCCAGGACTCCCCAGCTCTTCTCAACTTTTTTCTGACCACAGGCGGCTCAGGACTTGCTTCCAGGCGCCGCGAAGCGCCGGCCGGCTTCTTATTGCAAAGCAGCCGCCATGATCGGGTTCATCCCGACGATTCTGTATCTTCAAGACCAACCGCAGAAGAAGCCGTGCTGCTCAAGCTATTGAAGACTCTTCCCGCCTTGTGGCATATTTGTGGCCTACCAGCCGACGAGAACGCCATGTCGAGCGGCGACGGCTTCGTTGAGACTGCATCTGGAGCAGTTGATACAGTGCGACCGCGAAAGCTTTTGACCAAGTTTAGGGGCCAATTCAAAGAGCGTCGTCAAGCCGTATTAGCTTTAGGCGAGGTTGGCGACAATCGAGGAGCGTGTTATGGAAGCGTGTTTAGCCTGCTGCTCATCGCGGCTTGAGGGCGTACATGCGCACCGGGAGGAGCCGTCTCGATGACTGCAACGGGTTGACACGCTGTAGATCCGTCCGTACTATTCTAAGCCCTGCCCGGTCAAACAAAGCTTGGAACTTTTCCTCTCGCCTACACCTCTTTCATCAGCCGAGTTCTTGCCGCTGGGCGTGGAGACGCATACCTTGTGACACTGCTATCTGTTGGATCAAACATGTCGTCCAAGCCGGTGCTCAAGTTTTCCTTAACAATGATCCAGCCCGTCCCTGGCGTGAGGACCGTCTTGCAGACTTGCAGGTACTTGACGACTTGCTCGTCGTTGAGGTGTCCCAGACACCACTGCGTCCAGATGAGATCATACTCGCTGCCCGCGACGGGCTGCCACTCCTCGAGCCCGACGTTGAAAATGTGGCGCACGCCTTTTGTGCCCTTGAGCGGCTCGGTGAAGCGTGAAATGGGCTCTATCACGTCAACTTCATCTGCAATGGACAGCAGTAAATCTTTTGTAATCCTTCCAATTCTGTAGGTTGTCAGCAACAGCACCTCTGAAGGTCGATGTCCAAGCGACAGACGTACCCGGCGCCAGCGTCGACAGCGGTCTTGACGGTATAGCGGCTACCCTTGATGCCTATGTTTAACCTCGCTAGAAATGAGCGAGAGCCCAGGATATCGGTGCGTGAAATGTTGCTGTATGCTTGGAAGGTCGGGATGCCGCCCAGCATGCCATCCGTGCTGGCCTCGGCGTTTTGCCAGTAACTTCTCCCTGCTTGCGTGTTGATGAGCCCATCGGGTGCCGTCGGCTGAGTTTTTAGAGAGGATAACTCCTCTTGAGGGCTTTTCAAAGCGGAAGTTTCGCTCATGATTTATGGGCCAGACTGTTGGATGCTTGCTAATGACAAAAATTGATGCATGGTGGATTTTTCTCCAACCAGTCCATGAAGGGCGCCCAAAAAAATTTCAGTGCATTCTGGCGGTGGTCATAGTTGGTAGACCCCACTAGTCGCCTAACACGACAGATTAGATGCACCAAGATGTAGACATTTCAGCGCAATGAGCATGGCTAATTAAAGACGAAGTTGAAAGCATAGGAGGGAAGGCCATGATTTAGTAAATTAATGGCTACCCGCGTAGGATTAGTATGCTTTGACCTGGGTGGCCATATCCAACTGCGTGCTTCGACTGGGCTTACACAACTTGAGTAGTTCGTAGGTACTAACTATCCGTCCAACGTTCCTTATTTCTCCCACCTTTATATTTTTAATCTTCCTTATTTTCTTTTATACTTAATCTATGCTAAACTTACAGTCTCCTCTCTTTATCCCTGATTTCATTAACTTTTACATCCTAGATACTATAAATACTCACCCCATCACAGTGACGGTTGCTCTTGGTCTCGTAAGCTTAGTTCAAGCAAAGAGCTTACACTGTACGAAACGTGTCATGTGGGTTTTAGATCATAAACAGTTCATCTTATCTGAAAATGCCTCGACAAATATATTGTACATCATTCTTGACGTCGAGTATGCACCAAAGCAGCACCAACAGCACCCAGTGACACCCACCAGCTGTGTCGGCGATACCCTCTCAGAGGACTCGCCCACCACCGAATCGTGCCGCTTGTCAATTGTTCCTGAGCACCCCTTCTAGTTCCTGAGCAGGCCGCCAGCGAGACCGCTAGCAATGCCGGTGACGGGCTTGGCCTGGGTGGCTACCTTGCCTACGACACCCTTTACAGCCTTCTCAGCGCCGCCCAGAGCGTCGTTGAACACCTTCTCCGCGCCGCCCAGCCCGGGATCCCTGCCGCGAAGGATGCGATTGACGGCATTCTCCGCGCCAGCCTCGGCCTGGCTGACAATACCCTCGACCTGGGCGACAGTAGCCGCAGGGTCATTGAGAGTGTCCTTGACGGTATTGATAGCCTCTCCCTAGAAAAGGATCAAACATGAGCATTGAATCTTTGGATTCTCAATTGAGGCAAGGGAAAATGTAGGGTTGCTTACCACAATGGGAGCAGCGGTGGCAGCGGCCACAAAGAGAGCAATGATGCCAGCAAACTTCATGGCAGAAAGAGATAAGAAAGATAAAAGTAGTACAAGGACTGTATGGGTTTAACGTGAAAACAGTCCGTGTTCCAAAAAAAAACCGTTGGATTAGTGAGGGTAAAAGGTAGGCAGGTAAGCAAAACGAGAGCCGATGAGGAGCAGTGAGAGCAAGTATGAGGAACTCCAAACAATCGAGTGAGGTTGAAACACAACTGTTTATAACCGTTAGCAAAACTGCACTTCTGTCAACTTGCAAAGGTAAACCAGTCACACAGGGCAGCCGGTGGTTTCGAATGGCCCGATCGCAATTCCTCTGTTTGCCCATCCTGTAATAATGCAGGTTTGTTTGCACGCCCAACGTTGCATGTCTGCAGGACGCTCATACCCTAGACATGTGTCAAATCTTCCTTGGGGATCTCCCCTTGTTAGTCCAATGAGGGTTTCGATTTCTGGCGGCTCAGCGCGATCTCCAGCCGACGCCGTAGGTCAGGCCAAAAATGTGTCCGCCCTCTCCTACGTTAGACCTGACCCCTTTTTAGCACAATGAACGCAACATGCAGTAGTCTGTCAGAGAAGGTCTCATCAGGGATCATTCAGAGCCCTTTTATGACCGGGGTGATCACCACGCGTGGGCAGGCTTAATATGACGTCGTGATGTGTTGTATCGCCTCTTTCTAGCGCTACCCTGGAGGGCTGCTTTCTGTCAATGACTAGGGAGGCAGAACGAGAGAGGGAATTGCACGTGAGGAAGAAGAAAACAGAGAAAAAAAATTAATTCGCGGCAAATCCTTCTTAGTGCGCTTACTGATTGCCGCAGCAGTTCTCCGGCGCTGTTTTTTTACCTAGTATTATTGGTCCATTGATTATAGAATGGAGGGTGTGACTATTGACACAACAGCCGAAGTTGACGAGAAGCAAAACATTGGCATGCTAAAATAAGTTGAAAGAAAGAAGGTATTCTTCTCCCGTTTTAATTTTTTTTTTTTTTTTTAAAAAAAAAAAAAAAGTACTAAACCGTGGTAGTTTTTGCTCTTGCCATGGCCTTGCTTGAGCGATCGTTACCAAACCTTGGAGAGAAGCGAGCACGATGCACGGGAGATGTGACAGTGACATCATTTTGGTGATTCGCGGGTAATTTGTCTCGGCTGTCCTCATCATTTAAAGAGCCGCACACTCTAAGGAGGTGCTTCGACACTTCCACCCGGTGACGCCTACATCAGCTCCCTTTCTTCCCAGTACGTGCCGTCTCCCATGGCATGCCGTCTCCCATTGCTCTGGAGTTTTGTCAGTTTTACGGAAGAATGAGCTGGATTAGCCAACCTCTCACTATTTACTCGAACAGCATCCATCGTCATGTGAGGACAAGGTCATCCCACTCGGCTCATTTCCTGCAGCTGCGACACCAATTTGCTAAACTCCATAACGGATGCATGCAGAAACACTCGGTCATTCGATCACACGCCTTCAAAAAGATACAGGTTTATATTAGGTTGTTACAATTGCATTTATATAACATCTTCATATTCAAACAAGCAGTTGTTCTTACCTGCCATCGCAGCCCAGCCTTGCCCTTGCCGCAGGAGCCTCAAGCACCTCCGCTACTTGCTACTAACATGCGCCGAATACCACTTCTTCATATTAGTCAAAGACTCGCCGACCTTTCCAAGAGTCGCCTCTAATAAGATGCCAGCATGAGGCTGGCCCGCCATTTCCTCGAGCCGAACAACAACGTCGGGAGCCTGCTTCTTCACCAGCGCCGCCATCGAACGAGAGTGATCGGCCAGCAGCTCGCGGTCGCCGACCATGAAGTACGTTTCCGTGACCGCATCGCCGAGCCTGGCCCAAAAGGCGGGATCTGAGTCCAGGGGCCGCGCCCACGGGTTGTACACCGACTCCGGCCTCTCCGCCTCGCCCTCTGGCAGCATGCCCTCTGCCAGCCTCCTCAAGAGCGGCTCCGTAATCATGTCGGAGTCCTTGTTCTCGCGGAACGACCTGCCGTCCGCGTCGGACCCGAGCCCCGCCGAGATGACCACCACGGCGGCCAGCGGGTGCGGCAGCGCAACTGCGGGGACCTGCGGGTGAGGCCGCAGCAGGTGCGCCGCAAACTGCATCGTCAGGTTGCCGCCGGCGGACTCGCCGCCGACGATGATGTCGCGCGGCGCGAAGCCCTGCGCGCGCAGCTCGGCGAACGCGGCGACCACCTGGTCGAGCTGCGTCGGCATGCGGCCGCGCGGCACCAGAGTGTACTGCAGCATGGCGACGGCGACCTCGACGCGGGCGTCGAGGCCGGCCGCCACGAAGGCCTGCCAGCATAGGTCCAGGTGACCGGGGAGCATGGGGATGACGAAGCCGCCACCGGGGATGTACAGGACAACCTTCCTAGCGCGCCGCCGGTTGCCGAGCCAGAGCAGCGCCGAGTCCTTGCCGGAGGACAGCGGCTGGACGTCGAGGACGGCGCGGCCGCGGTAGGCGGGCTGGCGGGCGTGGGCGCGGATCCATTGCTCATAGGTTGCGCGCGTAGGAGGGACGAGAGCCTGAACTTCATTCGGCTCGAGCAAGGTAAAGACGGACTTGATCAGAGCGCAGATGACGCTGTACCGCAGGTCCATACGGCTGATGATGGCCGCGGGAATCATGTATGCCATATTATACGCCGTGAATATGGGGACTAGTAAGAATGAGTATACATTCTGCGATAGGGCTATGAGGGATGCACTTACATATAATGAGCAGCTTAAAAACAAGCGTTGGGTACTGGAGAATACCAAGCGGCGGCTTGCTTGGGAAGTCGGCGGCCTGTATACTCGTGATGTTGTAAGCGAAGTGCAAGGCAGACCCCATTCAGCAAGGCTACTCACCATCGTGAATTAAATTCTACTACGTAAATAATGATTTGATTGCCCTCAAAGTTTACTTGCCGCAATTCTGGTAGTACCTCGTTATTTATTCTTTCTAGCCGGTTGTTGGCCGGCGTAGTAGCCGAGGCCATGGTAACGTGCGGACGGCTGCGGAGGCCTAACACGAAGATGTAGGTAGATATCTAAAACTAAAGCGCCGGCTCTAGAAGACGGGACAGGGCTAAAACTCAAACCTGATGTCAAAGCGTGTCTAGCGTCGGGAAGTTCATAGTTGGAATTGCACTACTTGCTCCAAAACTTATCGAGGGGGGTTGCCCAAGAACACACAAGAGGACATGCAAGCAGGCTGAAAATTACTTACGAAATCTTTAAATGCATTAAGAGTTAAATTTAGGAATTCCGAATACATAATGGCAAGTTTAAGCATTAAACAACCACTTTCTTGCCAAACTTTGGAGCTATCGAGGAGTTTGTTGATAACGTCATCCAAGACCGAGGCAAGGATGGGAACGGAGGACATCACCTAAGTTGGCAGAGGCATCTAACAGTGCACCGAACGTGGAGTTTTGCAACAAGTTTTTGCAAAAACTCGATTTATAGATCTAATCAGAAACTCTATGTAACTTTTGTAAGGGTCAGTTCATTGGATAATCGTGTAAGACGGTTGACACGTATACGCGACTAGAGTACGGCATACAAGGGAACGCCAACGCAAAATAGAAAAAGACACAGTGCAAGACATCGAATATATACTCAAATCCCAATTTGATATAGATACATGTCAATACTCACCCATACAACACGTCAGTTACGTATTTACTTATACCTGCTTGCGACGTCACTGCATCCATCAAGTGTGGGGCGCGAGCTTAAGCTCTCAATCTCAAGCTTCCAGGCGACAACGGTTGTCCCTTTACCATCTACAGCACGTCAGCCAGTCTACGCGAAAGTCAAGACTACGACCCGAATCCAGCTTCCGATTGCGCCAGAGTCGAACGACAAATAACCAAAATCGTCATCGAGCAAGACAATTCAGCGTCCCGCCATCGCGCCATCGCAACCTCACCATGGAGAGCCCCTTGGACCAAACGACACTGTCCACCATCTCGCTCCTCGAATCACGACTACTACGCGTCGAGCACCTCCTCTACGGCTCTTCGACGCCTCCCACACAGCACGACTCGGCGCTACGGCAGCTGACGCATCTAGAAAAGCGCTTCTCAACGCTAACCTCGCGGATCCGCGTCTACGGCGACCTCCTGAAGATCTGTACGTCCTTTGCGAACCCCCCGTCGCTCGCCCCAACTCTCCCCCCCGCCGTGACCTTGCTGACCAAATCCATCTCTCTCTTGCAGACAAGGCGCGCCCCGACTTCTAGGAGGCCGAGGCGGCGGAGCTGCGGGGGCGCAGCGAGGCGGCGCTGCGCGCGTGGTACGAGGCCGGCCTGCTGCCCGCGTCGGAGGCGACGGCCAGGATCGAGGCGCGCGTCGGAGGCGTGGAGAGGCGGGTGCGTCGCAAGGAGCGCGAGCGCGAGCTGGAGAAGGAGCTTTGAGAGGGTGGGTGGGGGAAGAGGTGACCGGAGGTGCCCGCTCGAGAGAATGACTGACGCATCTGAAATTGGACGCATGAATATCGCCCAGGGTCGACGTCGCTCTCGCTATGCGGCTCGGCGTGACCGTGGCTGGCGACCCGTCGGCACAAACGGAGAGAGACGCATGGACGGCGGAAATGACGGGGGAGAAGAGCCGCAGGAGACGTCGATGATTTTTCGGCGGTTGATAATGCGCCCCTGAACATAATGATACCCTTCAAACGAGTCTTACTCTGCATCAGACCATCCTGGGCAGAGACTGTGACTGGTTGCTTATACATGAGATGATAGAGAATTTAAGCCTGTCTTGGCAAATATTTGCTTTTCCTTCTTTTAATTTTCCGTCGTTACAAGAATAGGCCGATATTAACTTTGTCGTAGCCCTCTCTTCCATGTCGAGGATAGAATGCGAAACCGATATGGGCGGCATTTCTTCCCACCTGGACGTTTCAAAGTGCATAGACGTATGTATGCGAATCGGGAGCCGGCACGATGGATGACGTAGCTGGGGGATTTTTAAACTTGCGTGCTGAAACCATCTTTGCTGTTCTCTTTATCGCTGATGGAGTCTGGGGGTGTTGGGGGCGCGTGATGACCGGGACGAGACGTTGTTTCTCCTATTGTTCCCGGCATCGTGACCGGCCGGTTTCTGATGGATGGGGCATGAACGCATGATGGGAGGTCTACCAGTACGTACTTTTCGATGCCCGTTTACACCCCAGTCGTTCGTCTTAAATAGCGATTCGTTGCTCGTCAAAAAAAAGGCCTGATACCCCGGGAGAGGAAGGGAGATGATAAGGGCTGAGGACTGGTTTTGAAGATGCCGGTGAGCAGTTCCGAGCATGAGCTCAAGGGAGTCTATCATGGGTTATTCTTTTAAAAAAAAATTACAAAGGAAAGATATGCGTGTACGACGGTTTCCCTTTTCTCTGCCTGGGGGGTATTAAGAGGGATCGAAAGGAGACTTGTCATGCGTTGCCACGATCAAGTTGGACTCAAGCTCAAGGGTAGTGAGGGTGGCTGCCATAGGGCTGCGAGGAAGAGAGGTTTAGGTTGGAGTGGTTCACCATATCTACCAATCAGTGGCGATTAAAGGCAAAAACTTGAAGAAACGGCGCTGCAATGGAAGTGGGACGCTGTCGTGTATCGACAACACACAATCCGCACAGACGCGGAAGTTGCTGGCGCAGAGAGAGAGAAAGTTTCGAAATAGGCTTTGCTTGGTGATGTCTGTGCTGGTCCAACGGGTGGGCGTTTCTACGAATCAAGTTTGCCTGGTATGAGACCGAGTGCCCATGCTTGTTGTCAATGCGCCGGGGATGCTTGGTGACAGGCAGGGAATTAGGACGCCAAGTAGGAGGTGCTGGGCAAGTCGCCTTTGTACCAAGTCTGGGCGGATATGTATGTATGCATTTGGCATTTGGCATTTGGCGCGTTAAGTGGTTGGTGATGATGCCACAGCGCGGCACGGGATCTGCATTCCAAGGCACAAGGACGGACGGTCAAGTTGTCTGGTACAGTGGCTAAACAGCGTGGTAGGAAGAAGCGCAGAAGGGGGTGTCGTCGACTGGTGATGAAGAGACATGAGCAATTCGTGGCAATAATAGGACGGCAAATCGTCGTCGGTTGACAACCAGCGAATCGAGATTGGCGCAGTGTCTAGGCGACTGAGCCACGGATGAGGCAGCTGGTCGGCCAGTCTTGTGAGGCGGCCCAGACCCCACGAACGAGGGCGTGTGCTTTTGGTGAGCTGCGCAACGTTTGGTTTGGTGGTTGGTGAAACAACTGCGTGATGCAGTAACTGCCAGTGCTGTATCGGGCGGTTATGGTACGTGGAAAAGATGTGCAATTTTAGCGCGAATTTTGTCCTAAGATTCTGGGGGGTCAGGGTATGAACAAGGCCGTTTCAGATTTCAAGTCTTTGGGAGGGATGGAAAGGCAAAAAGGGAAGACAAGGTTGGCTGTGTGGGGAAGCACAATGAAAGGTGCACGCTGAATGGCCGAGGCTGGATGCAGGAGACAGAAGATGAAACGGCGGAGACTCCGAGCGTGGCGGAGGAAAGCTTTTGAGATTGCTGGCAAGATGTGGTGAATCATGAGAAGAGAGAAAAAAAGAAGCAAAAAAAAAAAAAGAAAGGGAATTGAGAGAGAGGGCAGGAGAGGGAAAGAGAGAGAATCTCACGGCCAACTCCAACGTATAGATTGCCCACGCTGTGGTTATATGCTTCATGATTGACAACACGCCGCCCGCCAGTGATCAAGTGCTTGGATCAAGCTATGGTGATTTGAGGCGAGACATACGCGGACGAATTTAGACATTTCAAACTCGTCGGGGACCCAGTTTGGCAGCAGGGGAGGGGTGTGATTTGGTGACTGGACTGATGAACGGCATGAGGTTCTAGCGAGGAGGTCGGAACGATAGCTCTAGTGAATGTTTGAGATGAAAGCAGCGGTGGTGGCTCTCGCACCCAACTACTAAAAAAAAAAAAAAAAAAAAAAAAAAATTCTGTGCTGGTAGCCCAAGATTCCCTCTACATCTTCATTATGTACAATTCAATAGATTCGTGCAAGCGGTTGGGTGTCGCGTGCCTCCAGCACACCAGACATTCCAACAAAAGGCCAACGCGGACCTCCCATTCTAGGCCTGTTATAGCGCCTTGTGTGCTGCAGCATGACGCTGTAGACGCTGACCCCTCCATTCCGGGTTGGTCAAGTGAGACAGCGGGATGCGGGCATCGATACGCTAAAGAAGAGCGAAAAAAAGAAAGACAAGAAGAGGTTGAAGCAAGTCATATTGAATTTCCTCTCAAGACTTTACTGAACCTTTGTTTTCTCCCATTTCGTTCTGTGTTGGGTGTGCTTCATCTGCATAGCTGATTCATCACGAGACTGACATTCCTGGCCTACCAACACAGACATCCCAGCACCAAACAGCCACCCGAAAGTTACACGCCCCCACGTCTTCCATCGCACATCACCACACGTTGATTAGCCTCGCGCCAAAAACGGCCATCAACCCCAGCCAACCAGCCTACCAGAGACCTCTGTACCTTGCCTGTCCCTGCCTGTACCTTGCGCTGCCAGCACAAAGTCCCCACTGCTCGACATCAATTTGCCCGCCTACACCCCTCCCCTTTCCACGTTCGTGTCCAGCCGCAGCAAGGCCACGCACATCCTACGAACTATTCAAAAACCTCATTCGGGAGACGCGGAAGCGAGTGAGAAGCGAGCTCAATCTAGGAGCCACCAAATATCAAGAGTCGGTACTCCGTACACCGTCGCGAATCGACATCGTCCCCTTGGGCTTGTTAAGGGAATCCCTCCCCCGCCAATCCGCCACCTCCGACATTGGCCTGCGCAGGTGATAACAGTAAAGCCTTGGCCGCCCATCTACCGCTTTTCCCTTGATTATTTCAAAAGACAATCTAAGAAATTACTCTGTGAATCATAGGCCTCCATTTGGCGAAAAGCGCAAGAAAAAGCTCTCCTCATCCACTTGGTTCCTGGATTCAAATCCACCCGCCATCTCCACCGGGGACCACCTCCTCACGTTGTGAACCTCTGGTGCTGACACGCCACATTTGCGCGCCGTTCCATTTACAGGTACCTCCTAGTACCCGTATAACACGGTCATACCAGTACTGGCGCTGACAATGCGGTTTCTTTATTAGTACACTTGAGAGAGGGACAGTCGCACACCCCCCTTCGCCGAGCTGGACAAATACATACATACATACATACATACATACAAGACGTTGCCGTACTTCGGCCTCGCCAGCTTCCCGACAAGCCCAGCGCCCCCCTCCCCCGTATTCGAGCTTGTTTGGCTACCAAAGTCTGCCATCATCTCGCCAAGCACAACACAGCAAGGCGACGACGGGCAGTCGTGTTCCGAACTTGACGCTTTTCCGACCTTTTCCTCCTAGACGCTCACTGCTTCAGGTACCACTGCCGCCACCACCTCCAGTCGAGGTACCTCGCGGCCCCTGCTTTAGCCCGCCTCGTCTGCTGCGCCCACACCACTGCCTCCTCAGCAGGTACCTTACCTTCACTGCCCCTACCACCGGCCGCCTACCTACCTTACGTTAGTTACCACGTTAGCAACCTCCGCCTCGCAAAAGCCTCGCCCAACCCAAGACACTTCTCGCCGCCTCCCATTCCTGCAAATCTTTCTTGCCCCAGAACACCAACCGTCGCCTCTTCTCTTCCGCGGCTCGACCATTTCTTGTTCCATCCTGCCCTGTTCTGTTCTAGTTAGGGCTTCTTTCTCTTCCTTCCCTTCTTCTACTTCTTCTTTTCCATCATATCGACTACAGCCGTCACTCTTTTCTTCCCCTTTCTCGTCGACTTTCCTTCTCACGCTTCCTTGTCACCGTCGCCTCGTCCTCCCGCAACCACATACACCCCAGACTTCTGTCCCTATTCTGAAACGGCTGCGCCGAGACCTCGCAACACCCAACAACTATTTGTCCTCTCGACCCCAATCTGCTTTCCTCACACTACATCTACGCCCCATTTTCCGACTACGTAGATCGTCCAGTCGTCGTTATTACCTGTCGCCAACAACCTCGATTGGAATACACGATTTGAACAACACGCCTCCTTGTCGCCCCGAGACGACAGACAGGCACGGTTACCATACTCAGCCACTATATTTCACCTAATTTGAGGACCGCGCCTACTTACCTGGCAACTCGCGCGCGCACTCGCCTTCGCCTCCCGCTCCTCATCCTCCTTGAACCCCCATACCAGACCTTATGCAGAACTACGCCTCGCAATACTCTCCCTCGATCAAGAAAATGGAACGTTCGCGACCCTATGGCCGCCGCGGCATCCAGATGGGCAACATCATCGGTGACCCTTTTGCCCTAGCTACCCTCTCCGTCGGCATGGTAAGCTCCCCTCAACCGCGACCTCGTCATTCGTGTTGCTCTCCTACTACCAGACCCTACTAACACTACTCTTAGCTTGCCTGGTTTATCTGCTTCGTCGCATGCCTTATCGGCCAAATTCAGAGCGACTCCTTCCCTAGGATCTCCTGGTGGGCCGTCGTATTCGCCCTCTTCCTCAATGTCGGCGTCTTCATTGTCGTCGCCTCGGATTCGGTCCAGACCTACCACGTCGCCCTCAGCAGCTATTTGGCCGCTGGCCTTGTTCTCTCTAGCACCACCGTCAACCAACTCGTCTACTCCAACATGGGCGCCCGCCAGGCCGCCGGTGCCGGCTTCATCCTGCTCTCAATGCTCGACATTGTCTGGATCTTTTACTTTGGCTCCACGCCCTCCTCCACACCCCGCGCCTTCCTTGACTCCTTTGCCCTGTCCAAGGAGTCATCGACTACCATGAACCGTCAACCTATGACGGCCTACGGTGGCACCGGCCGCCCCGAGACCTCCAACTCAGTCCAGCCGCCTCAGATGTACACTTCGGCCCAGCTCAATGGCTTCGAAAACTCTACCCCGCTGAGCAACACCATGTCTGGCGCGCGAAACTCCAGCTTTGGCACTGGGGCGCCCCAGCAGAGCCAGCAGCCTGGCCAGACCACCCAGCCCAAGCCCGCCCACGACGCGGAGGTGGTTCCGCCCACCGAGTATCCCTACAAAGCCAAGGCCATCTACAGCTACGACGCCAACCCCGATGACGCCAATGAAATCTCATTCACCAAGCACGAAATCCTCGAAGTCTCCGACGTCAGCGGCCGTTGGTGGCAAGCACGCAAAGAAAATGGCGAGACTGGTATTGCCCCCAGCAACTACCTCATCTTATTATAAGCAGATGGGTAGCGACACGCCCTATCAATTGTCCTTTTTTTGAATTTTGAATTTTCGATTCCCGGGCAACACGGCAATGAGTACATAGGCCTGTTTGTTTGATATCCAAGGCTTTTTCGTTTGCTCTCTCGCGGTGCTGTCATTACCTCTGACGTCTTGGAGGAGAAGAAAGAAAGATTTCACGACCTTTGGCGGAAGAACAAGACATTCTTTACAACACTTTTTTTTACTCTTTCGGCTTTGTCTGTTTTTGGTTTTTATTGGGTTCTTGGGACATGTATTGGATGGAGTACATTTGTTACTTTTTTTTGGAACAGGGAAAACAACCCTGTTATAGGGCCGTTGCTGTTGAATTCGTGTGTTTTTCCCCATTACTATTACGGCAACTGACTACCTTATATACAACATGCTCATTTCTATATTCCGCTGTAAGGTTGGCGCAATTTCTGGACTAGCATTCTTTCTCACTTTACCTTTTGGGTGACTGTTGTGCGGTACTGCTGTGATGATGGAGCTTTGCTGTCAAGCATCTGTCACAAGGTTCAATGACAGGACCAAGTCACAACGGGCCAGGGTTTGACCCTCAAGAGTCGTACCAGGCCGACATCAGGGAAGAAGAAGAATGCGGGTGCGAGCAAATCACCCTTTGCATTGAGCAGCTTATTCTGATTTAGGCATGCAGATGCAGATGCAGATGTAGAGGTGATTAGAACAAGCCTGTCGTAGTAACAAAAACAAGAACGAGTGTGCAGAGAAGCTTACAATCGAGTTGAATAATATTTATTGATGTGTAGCACAGGATAAATCTTGGACAAAGTAAAGACTTGTGATGTGCTTCTTCCCCGCTTCTTTCAAGCATCCATCGTGCCACTCCTGGTTGCCACTCCTGGTTGGTGATCTGCACCGTCGATTGATGCTCTTGAAACACGCTTTCTCTTCGACGCCGCCCATTTCGCCGCCACAACGGCCTGGTGGAGTGCATGGCGCAAAAGTCTGACTTTTCATCGTCACAGACCTGTAGTTGCAGACTCGGCAAGGGGCACTATGATATCAGTACCAGGTTCCCAGTACAACCAATATCGAGGGGCAGATTGCTGCGACTGGGCTTACCCAGTCAGCGTAAGGCTGCGCGTCTAATTGCTAGTGAATGAGTTGGCGTCGGAGAGCGCAATTTGCGCAGGCTGCCCAAACCCAGCAAAGCGCTGGGAGCCGAGTCACGAGCCTAATGGATCCGCAGCGAGCATGGTCATGCTGAAAAGGAAACAATTCTCTTGCGTCGCTTAGCTGTCGCTTAGCTTTCCAGTCTCCTACGTAACTCCCTCTCCTTTTGCAGAACCTCTAGCTCAAGGCGCTCGACACCGTAGCGCAGAGCTTCCTTGCGCTGTCGGATAGCGCGTGCGCGCAGCTTGTCCTCCGAACTCAACGCGCGGCTTCTCCTTTGCCGCGCTGCAGCCGCGGCACCATCCTCAGGCTTCGCGATTCGGCCCTGCTGCAGGTCTGACCGGGCCTTGAGCGTCTCGATGCGGCGCTCTTGCCGCTCCGTCTGTGCGTCAGCGCGGGAGAGCAGAAAGGCAATGTAGGGGCCAATCTCATCTCGCAAGGAGGCCTCTGCTGCCGCCAATTTTGGCTGAGGGACAAGCTCATAATGCTATGTGCCAAGGTGTTAGCATTGCCAAATCTCAAGGAGGTAGTTGGATAGATGGACAGCGTGGAGGGGGGGGGACCAGCAACCCCCTTCCCAGCTAGAGTGAAATGCATGAAGAGTGACAAGAGACACCTAGCCCGGCAACCCGCCCTCTCAGCAGGGAAGCCATCGTGAAAACAACACCATCGACATACGTACCCGGACAGACTTGAGAACGTTGACCAGGCGCGGAAAGTCAGAGACACCCTCGTCGAGAGTCTCAACAGATGACTCAAGGAATTTGAGCGAGGTTCGTAGCGACGAGACGCAATCTGCGTAAGAGGCGGACGAGGCCATCGTGAACAGGGCGCAATAGCTGGCGGCCCACCAAACAGTGGTGGTGGCGGGAGAAGACTTCGGATTATTTCTTTTGGTTGGGGCAAATTGCCTTGGTATGTAGCCAGGTGAGACTTCTATTCGGGTTTGTTATGCGATTGGAGCTAGCAATGCCAACACAAGGGTATTTGCTTTGAGAATGCGGAGACGGTCAGTCCAGTTGCTGGATGGGAAAGGGTTGGATGCGATTTGTCGTGGGATGACGAGATAACGATTCTCTCTCTGCGGAAACGGACACGATGATCCGCTAGTTTGGGCTGTTAATATAAGTTGGTACGAAGTAGGTTGCGTTGCTGAAGTTGGTTGTCGTTGTTGTTTTGGAGCTCTGCGGACTCGCTGGGTCGAGCTTCCTGACGCGTCGCTGTTGCCCCACGGTGTGCGCGTACAGTGCATTTCGCTTATTCGCACCTTTACCCGACTTACACCATGTCATCTGGTCTTTCGTGGCAACAAGCGTTTTCTTTCTTTACTATTGACAATACGAATGAGCTATCTTATTGACCTCATTGCGATCAGCAATTACGTACTCCCGCCAGAATTCATCTCCGGTGCACCCGAAGGCTGGCTAGTTCTCCCTACCATGTTTCACCAAGGAGCAGCCTCTAGACACACGCTGGAATGTAATGACTGCATCGCGGCATGTTGGCACAAGTTTTCGAGACATTTTTCTTGTTTTTTGCGCTGATAGTCGGCAACCGTTGGTTGCTTGGTGGGCGGCAGCCCAGCTCTCGGCATCTTCCATAGCCCGGAAGCCTACGCTGCTGCTCATTCCCATCATGGATTATGGCTGCGCCTCTCTCCGTGAGGATGATATTTATAACTTGCAGCCTCTTCCATGCCTCTATGGCGTACCCAGACGCTCGTTCCAAGTCTGGATAATGACCAAGGATGTCCAGAAACCTTTGTTGAGTGTCAAATCTGTCATATTGACACACAGCTCCCAACACTTCCAACGGCCCCGGCCGTCGTTTCTCGCATCTCGATTCTTTTCGTCACACGCAAACATTTTAAGCGCTAGAGCGTTGCTAGAGGACAGCGGGTCATTAGACAGCAAATCCTGGGTGCGGGAATGCCAGCCCACACAGCGTGGCACGCCCAGAGCAGGCCACTGCACCACCCAAGGAACGAGGCCATCGTGAACAACCCTACCGGCTGACCAGGCCGCACACCTGCGGCGGTCAAATTTCCCACGCAGCAATCTTGGAGCACGGGATCTCCAAAGGTGGCGCTCTCCCTGGAACCGTGACCCATTTTCCCAAGCGTGTTTTGGTACCAGCAGCCCGTGCTCGGTCATCTCCCTTGCCGGGTGAGACCTGATAGCCATCAAGGCATTCTAGCGTGGACCCCAACATCATCTGCTATCTACTACTTAATGTGGCCGGTCCTGCTTCTCTACTATTATTTGCGGGTCGAAAAAACTGTCGAAAGTCTGTGGAAAGCATCTGCTATCTCCGGCCATATCAGTGCCAAGCCAACAGGTTGTCTCCCCGCCTGGGAGCGGCCTCCCCTCGATGGCTGGCGTTAATCAGTCGATAGATGGTTATGGCGGACGAGAGCACGGTCTCCATTTTACAAATAATGCTTGGAACGACACAATTACCAACGGCAACGACTTTATATTGCGTTGGAACCAGACAATCGAGGCGAACCTGGGCACTTTGGGCCTGTTCACCGTCAGCTACCCGAGCCAAGGCGTCGTGGTGTATGAGGAAGCCCAAAACATGACAAGTGAGTGGGATTTTTCATTTCTTTCTTCTGCATTACAGAGGGATCGATCCTTTATATGCTTTTTTCTTTCTTTTCGTACACTTTACCTTGCTCGCGCAATGAGCGCAGTTGCATCGTCTAGCCACCACGATCTTTAGTTTTGTGGGCACATTCTCCCCTCTTGGACCATAGGCTGACACGATGTCGCAGACTGCATTCAACCGACATACTGCAAATGGAAACCCGAGAGTTTAGGAGATGATCTGTACTCATTCTGGCTGACGAGTGATCGTGGGCCCAACGGGAGCTTCGCCATATCACCGGCTTGGACCGCAAAGCAACCGGTATACCCAATCCGTACAAATGCCCAAGGATGCTGCTCCATACTAACTGGCGATACCAGAAGGTACACAGCTTTACCTGGGCCGCGCCGTTTCTCGTGCCGATATGCTTACTGCTATTTCTGTACTTTGTGTGTGTGACCACATGCCTGCTTTACAGGAAGCGCCGAACCGCAAAGCGACACAGGGAAACGGCTGCCCGAGCTGCTAGACGACGCGCCTTCTCGGCTTCAGAAAATGAACCCGAAGAATTTTATATGACGACGATAGCACACGCCAACCGACAGGATTCCGTCGATTCTAACATGACGCTGAAGGCTCTCGCGTCGCCGGCAGACGTACCGGTAAAGCAAGATGAGTGGCTGATTGGCACGGCGATATCATGCAACTCGAGCTCTGACGACACGGTCGTGTCAGAGAGTTCTCAAATGGCAGAGCAAAGGGCTGCACACAAGAGAGCACTTGCCAAGTCCGCTGTACGATTTGTGCGGCAAGGCTATAATTTTTGAAGGCCTTGACCTTTTTTTACTATTTACCTTTCTTCTCTCAATGTCGTTTTTATTTTTGATATAGAAAGAGTTGACGGCATGGCACGGCATCTTACGGCCCGGGAAAAAAGTTTATCTTCTGTCTTTGGCTGTTCCTTTGCTAACTAGGAACCGCCTTGATTCGATATTGATTTGGTTATTGGCTTAATCGGCACCGCCCAGTGTGTGTTGGCGAACGGGACGATTTGATAGAAAGAGCCGAAGCCGTCACGGAGTGGATATTTCCATTGTTGATAGAACCGCGTCTATATGGAACGGATTTGATCGGAGTCTGTGGATAAATACAATATTTGGTAGCTTTAATTAACTGACTCTTTTCAACCTGTCTGACTCAGTACCGCAATATAGCGGTGTCGGAGCGTTGAGCGGCAGCCGAGCCACTGGCTGAAAACGCTCACAATGCAGCCGGATACAATTTAAGGAAAGAAAAGTATCAAATAAGATTAGAAACGTGTAACCCATCATCAAGCACAATAGACCTGATGTATGTATGATGGTAGCGCGCGCTTCTCGCGTGGCTCTGCCGGTCGCCGGCCCCGCCATTTGGGACCCCTCCGAAACTTGCCCCTCCAAGTTTTCTGACTCACGAACACCTACAACCTGGTAGAGAACAGGTTGCAGCAAGGCAACAAAACGCCCAGCCATTGATTGCGGCTCTTACCACGGCATTTCATCTTTTCACAATATACCCGAGCCGTACAATTCGACAACGAAAAACATGGCGACCACCAGCACACAAACAAAGGACGAGCGCCTGGCGCTGATCAAAGAGAACCTGGCCGAAGTGCTGAACCAAGAGATTATCGAAAAGATTTTGGATGAGGGCCGCAACCCAAAGATTTACTGGGGTATGTCGCAAGAACCTCTGCCATCTCGTGCTTTAATTGTCGTACTTTCTTTCCTTGGGCCACTCTCGCTAACTGAAGCGCGCGTTCGTTCGTCTGCAGGGACCGCCACCACGGCGCCGCCGCACTGCGGCTACTTCGTACCGGCCATCAAGATTGCGCAGCTCCTCGCCGCCGGGTGCGAGATGACGATCCTCCTCGCCGATATTCACGCCTTCCTCGACAACCTCAAGGCGCCGATCGAGATGGTGGAGCAGCGCGCCGAGTACTACCGCTTCATGATCACCGCCATCCTTCAGGCGGTCGGCATCCGGACGGACAAGCTCAAGTTTGTGCTCGGCAGCTCCTACCAAAAAACACCCGAATACGTCATGGACGTGTACCGCATGGCCTCGGTCGTGTCGGAGCACGACGCCCGCCGCGCCGGCTCGGAGACGGTCAAGCAGTCGGCCAACCCCCCGCTTAGCGGCCTGCTCTACCCCGTCCTGCAGATCCTCGACGAGCAGTACCTGGACGTCGACGCACAGTTTGGAGGTACGGATCACCGCTGAAGAATCTCCAAGATGTGGCGAACACCTGATGCTGACTTTTGATAGGCATGGACCAAAGGAAACTGTTCATTGCTGCCAAGGAGTGGCTCCCGAAGCTTGGATACAGAGAGCGTGCTCACTTGATGAACCCGCTGGTACCTGGCCTCCAGGGTGCCAAGATGAGCTCTAGCGACCCCAGTATGTTGATTCAGAGGATTTAAATGCGCCTTCAGCAATTCTGACGCACCAGTACAGACAGCAAGATTGATCTGCTCGACTCCGAGGACGCCATCCGCAAGAAGATTAGCAAGGCTGAGTGCGCTCCCAGGGTGGTCGAGGGCAACGGCGTTCTCGCCTTTACCGAATACGTGTTGCTCCCTGCTGCCGCCCTCCGGGGCAAGAAGGAGTTCACTGTCCCTCGCCGCGACGACACGCCCCTCATCTACACTAGCATCGAGGAGATGCACGAAGACTTCAAGAACGACAAGGTACGCTTACCCATATGCATATGTCCGCATAATGTGCCCGAACATCGGCTAACGCGCATCAATTGCAGCTCACGCCCCAATCTCTCAAGCCTGCGGTTGCGCAGGCTCTTGTCGACCTGACTGCGCCCATCCGCTCCGCGTTCGAGAACTCACAAGAGTGGAAAGATATCACCCTTAAGGCCTACCCTCCACCCGAGAAGAAGGTGAAGAAGGTCAAGGACAAGGGCACGCGCTTCCCCGGCCGCCCCAAGCCAGCCCCTGCCGCTGACGGCCAGGCTGTGGATACGAAGAAGGAAGCCGAAGCACCACCTGCTACTGAGCCGACTGCCTAGCTATAGAATAAAATGCTGGAAATTTAACAAAATTAGATAGAATATAAAACGTAAATATGGACCGAGAAAAAAAATTCAACTCGATATAAAGCTCTTGCACGGGGACGGATTATCTGGGATAGATAGACGTGGGGACCTTACTGTCAACGATCCCGATAATCGGCAACTCCTGCACCGAACCTCAAGTTTCGATTTGCAAACTAAAAATTGAACTGAACTTGCGTAGCAATCTTGGTCTCGCTTTTTTTATAAGAAAAAAGAAGAAAAAAAAAAGAAATCGTTGCGGTTTCCTGCATCAACCTTCCAGCATTAAACCGGCACGTGACTTTCTGCCAGATGCCTCCACCGGATTAACAGTGGGTGCGTGCGCTGACAAGGCAGGCGTCAATTGCGTGGTGGGCTCCGTCAGATGCAGCACTGAGAACTAGGGCATCATCGAGCTTCCAACCACTGCGAATTCGTCTCCATTCATTCAGCGAAAACACCACTTGGTTACTCTGCGACAGTCATATTACCAATTCAACTTTTACCATACCCAATATTACCGCGCGGCAGTTAGCGCTTGCGACGTAGCGCAGCAATCATGTCTGAGGGAGCACTGAAGCCGGAGAAGGACTTCTCCAAGGAGGTTGACGAGCAGCTTCCCCAGGCGGAGAAGCTCGCTTCTGTTAGTCCCCAAAGTATCATTGTCATCTTATCATAGCAATGCGCTAATTTTAATGGCAGAGCAACCTCCAAGGCGCTATCGAGAAGCTCGCCGCCCTTGAGAAGCAAACGCGCCAGGTATGGAGGAATACGGTAGCGACGCTGAAGCTACCTGCTGACAAGCTCGATAGGCGTCCGATTTGGCCTCAACGTCGCGAGTTCTCATCGCCATCATAACATTATGCAAGAACGCGGGCGACTGGAGCTTGCTGAACGAGCAGACGCTCGTTCTCTCCAAGAAGCACAGCCAGCTCAAGCAGGCCATCACCAGGATGGTGCAGACAGTTGTCGGATTTCTCGATGATACCCCCGACCTGGCCACGAAGCTTTCCGTCATTGAGACCCTAAGAACCGTCACCGAGGGCAAGATTTTCGTCGAAGTCGAGCGCGCCCGTGTCACCAAGATCCTTTCCGACATCAAGAAGGAGCAGGGCGACCTCAAGGCCGCGACCGAAATCCTTTGCGAACTGCAGGTCGAAACATTTGGATCCATGGACCGCAGAGAGAAGACCGAATTCATTCTTGCTCAGGTCGCACTCTGCATCGAGAGCGGCGACTGGACACAAGCTGGCATCCTTGGCCGCAAGATTAGCACAAAGTACCTCGCGCGCAAGCCCACGAAGACGGCCGAGCAGCTCGAGAAGGAGGCAAAGGAGCGCGAGAAGAAGAAGGCTCGTGGTGAGGAAGTCCCCGAGGAGAAGGCGGATGACACAACCGACCTCAAGCTCCGTTACTATGAGCAGCAGATTATGCTGGCCAAGCACGACGACAAGTACTTGGAGGTCTGCAAGAACTACAGACACGTACTTGACACGGAAGCTGTCGAAAATGACCCTGCCAAGCTTCACCCCGTATGTTCACAGCCTAGCCTGATATTCGCCGCCAGGAGCACCGCTAACACGAAACAGGTCTTGCAACGAATCATCTACTTCGTTATTCTGGCACCATATGATAATGAGCAACATGACCTCCTTCACCGTATCCACAAAGACTCACGAAATGCCCAAGTGTCCCTGGAGGCAGAGCTTCTTCGGCTTTTCACCGTCCATGAACTAATGCGCTGGCCGGAGGTTGCGAAGAAATTTGGCCCTCACCTGTGCGGCACCGACGTCTTTGATTCTCAGGGCAGCTCTTCAGACGAAAAGGCGCACCAGCGCTGGAAAGATCTCCGCAAGCGTGTCATTGAGCACAATGTTCGCGTAGTGGCCAAGTACTATACCCGTATCCAGATGGGCCGTCTCACGGAGCTTCTGGATCTCACAGAAGACGAGACGGAAAAGTACATTAGCGAGCTGGTCACTTCGAAGACAGTATACGCAAGAATTGACCGCCCGGCGCGCATCGTCAGCTTCTCCAAGCCTCGGGATGCTGATGACGTGCTGAACGAATGGAGCCACAACATGAAGAGCCTGCTCGGTCTGTTGGAGAGAATCGATCATCTCATTACCAAGGAGGAGATGATGGCGCGCATTCAACCTACAAGCGCTAAATAGAGTGGTTGGAGCAGGGGGGGGCGACAATGTCTGGGTGGTGTAATTGTACAGATAGCCGGAATATAGAAGAGAAGCGGCAGAGACAAATAAACCAGTCTAAAAGGAACGTATTGTAATCTTATTTTAACTGTTCTATTATCGTGCATGTCTGTGTAATGTCGTTGAACCTGTGCTTCATAGGCCATTCTCTACAGCTCCGCCTTGAGCTCCTTATCATGAACGTGTTGCTTGATGAAGCCTGCCAGGGGCATCACCCACTCCTTGGCGACCGGCACGTGGTGGCCGCCCGGGTGCGTCACGACCAGCGGCTCCTCGCACGCGTCAATCAGCGTGCGGCTGCGCGCCTCATCCACCGACGCGTCGAGGCTACCGAGGACGTGCAGCGTCGGCGTCGCGATGCGCGGCTCAAACAACCACCCGAGGTCCGGGTCGGCCGCGCGAAACCCCGAGTAGATGACCGCGAACCTGAGCGGCCTCCCGCCGTTGGCCGCGCGCAGCGCCTCGGCCCATTCCGCATGACCCTCGCCCTCCGTGGCAGCAGCAGCGGGGGAAGGCTGGTGCGAGGTCTCGAGGGCGGCGGCGACGACGCCGGCCGCGCACCCACCCTGGCTGAAGCCGATGACGCCGTCGACGCCGCCGGCCTCGCGGATGACCGCGGCCAGCGTGGCCATGCCCTGCTCGATGCCGCGGTACCGCCCCGTGGCGTCGTTGCGGCGCCACCACGCCCACGTCTCGGGCTCATCGGTGGAGGACCCGTCGGCGGGGGGTTGGTAGAAGGGCATGTCGATGGCTCGGAGCCGGATCGGGCCCGTGGGGTAGAGAAGCTGCGGTACGAGAGAGACGGGCGCGAGGAACTTGGCGAGGGCTTTTTCGAGGGCGCGCGTCTTGGCGCGGAATAAAGGGCCGTTTTGGGTGAATCCTGGAAAGGTGAGGTGAGCGGATGGACTTTGGGTAGTATATGAGGGGGGGGGAATGGAGGCGGGCCACGAACCGTGAATCATGAGAATCTTGACTGTTTTCTTCTCAGGCGGGCCCGGCTTGGGCGGCGCCGCAGCGCCGTTGGTGTTTGACGACATGGTGCGGATGAGGAGTGTTGATGGCTGAGATGAGCGTATTGGAAAGAGTCTCGGGGCGAGGAGGAGCGAACGAAGGGTACCGCTCATGAACTACGGCCGCAATTCTTGTGTAAAAGACAGATTAAAGAGAGGGGGAATGTGTAATCGTCTAGTAGTTGAGGAGACGAACTATAATTTGGGGAAGTGAGATGTTGAGCCTATCTGGGTATGTTCGGATATAGTGGCTGTTTATTAGTGTTTGAGTGGGTTTCCGGCGAGCAGCGTCATACGCCGTTGCGGGTTGACACGGCCTCAGACCATGACGAATAGCAGCCAGCAAGCGTAAACATTAACATAGTTCCAGAATCTGAAGGCGCCATGCATAGCATATCATTGAGTTAAAAAATTACACATCTATTACTGTCCGCATGACATGTACCCGCCAGAACCAGCCAGGAGAAACCAACAACCATGTCCCAGTCAAGCGCCCCAGGTAGCAATGAATTGTTTCTTCAAGCAGCGTGCTGCCGCATGATGTGATTAGATTCCTCCGTTGTTTTCGAGCACGACTCCTTCCAGCACCAAAAGGAAAGATAGGTCACGCGTTGTCGTTCATGGTCGAGTACAAAGGGTCTATTATGCCCGAAATGCGAGTCTATGGTACAATCAGACGATTTGGTTGTGGTTGCATTCGCTGCATCCGGTCGGTATGTTCATCCCCGCGTTACTGCTTCCTCCTTCCTCTCCGCTCAAGGTATGCTTAGTGGCCGCCGGCAGTCTTCGCGTTGGGGTTGCGGGGGTCGTTCTTCCACTCGTCGGCTAGGAACAAGTCAGCAATTTGGTTTACAGGTTTATATCAAATGTCCAGCATCAAGATAACGTACAGGCCATCATGGCGTTCTGGGCAGAGTTGGCGCCGTAGGCAATGACAGCACCTGCAGGCCTGGTTAGCATGTCTCGTTTTGCTGACGGGAGGAGGTCCGGAGCCGCATTCGGACTGTCCAACTCTCGCCATTGGATCGCAGGACGGCGGCAGAAATCGATGTCGGCTTCGGAATTGCATATGCGCATCACGTACCAGCAACGAAGAAGGGCCAGTAGGGCTTCACTGTGGTTTGACGGCGGTTAGAAGCAAATCTCGGGATCGTTCGGGGGAGGGGAGGCTGCAGGCCACGGTGGACATTGCGCGTGACGCAGCGGCATTGACGTACGGAAAGGAGCCGGGAACTTCTTGAGGGGAGCGACGCCGAGCCAAGACATGATGGCGGTTGTGAATGTATTTGTGGTGGACCGGGGGGGAATTGAGTGAGTGGTTGTTTTGGAGGTTGAGATAAAACGAGCCTTTTTCATCTACCTACGCAAAGCTCCGTGCAAGCCTGGCGTTCGTCGAATCAGAAGTCTGGGCCTGAGGCAAGGAGAAACCTCGGAAGCTGGCGGAAGAGGTTTCTCCGGCCGAGACCTGGCAAGGCAGGAGGCACTGTTAGGTGTCAGCTCACGTGAGAAGCAGGCCGCAACCCAAGGAGTTCAAGAGTGGATATCATAATGATGCTTATTATTGGCCAAATACGGAGCTCAGCCAGAGGGGAACCTGGCTCCACCCAGAATGCGGAGGCATCAGACTAGTAGTCATGGTAGTAGTAATACCTACGTACCTTGCTCACCTGCAAGCTCCTACTCCTCCAAGCAATAAGAAGGCAGCCGATTACCGCACCATTTACCACGCCACCACTTCGAACCTGCGCGATTCGTCTTGCCGCTACTTCTGCAATACAAAGTGCGGGGTGACAACCATTCTTGACTGCAACCTCCTCCTGCACCACACCCAATCACCAGCAGGAACAACCCTCCATTGACCAGGCTGGTTAACCACGGCTCCTTCCTAGCTTCTGTGTGCTCTGCCTCTCTCGCGCTCTCGTTCTGCTTCTCTCTACCTTGCTTCCGTCCGCCTCGTCACGTTCCGTTGCGATCTGGGACGCGCTAGACAAAGCCGTTCCCTCATTTTCGAACCTCGTTCGAGCCCGCCCCTTCTCCGTTTGTTGTTGTGATACTCCCTCGAGTTTCACTTCCCTCAACAAACCGACCCTAAACATGCTTCCCGGTCCGCTCTCCCGCCCAGCTCTTGCGGCGGTAACGGCCGCGCGCTCCGGCGTCCGAGCCATGAGCGCGACGGCTGCGATGCGGTCCAAGACCCCGAGCATGGGCGACATCGACCCGACCAAGACCTCCGTCGAGGCATTTCACGACAAGCAAAAGACTTTCCGAGAGAAGCTAGTCCAGGCACAGAAAGAACAAGGAGCTCGTGCGTTTGATGCCCATAAATATCCCCAGGAGTCTGCCGCGTCCGCAGACAGCTCACCCCAGACCTCTGCAGGTGCTACCGCCGCGGCTTCCAAGGCCGTGCCCGATAAGAAGTCGGGCCCGTTGTCGAACCTCATTTACGGCACGAAAGAGGGCCGTGAGATGGAGGCGCAGCTCGAGGCAAGCTTCAGCCAGGTCCTCGCCCGTGGCAAATATGTCCACTCGATAGTTTTCCATCGCGTCAAGCCTGACAAGGTTGACGAGTACGTTGATCTTGTTGGCAACTGGTACCCTACTATTGCCAACAGACCCGAGAATAAGGTTCACCTTGTAGGAAGTTGGAGGACGGAGATTGGCGACTGTGACACATTCAGTATGTTGAATTTGGGCAACTTGAAGCTGCGGCGACTAATCACTCTTCGCAGTTCACATTTGGGAGTATCAGAAGTATGAGGGATACCACCAGTCTCGGCACTCCATTTGCAACCACCCCGAATTCGCCGAGAACAACAAAAAGCTTCACAAACTCATCGACTCCAAGAAGATTGATCTCATGCAGGAATTCTCCTTCTGGCCGACGACCCCTCCCAGACAACTCGGTGGCGTTTTCGAATTGAGATCCTACACCCTCCATCCTGGCAACCTGCTTGAATGGGAGACCCACTGGAGACGCGGTCTCAAGGCTCGCCGTGAGGTCATGGAGGGAGTGGGTGCCTGGTTCGTCCAGATCGGGGACCTTAACACTGTCCACCACCTCTGGCAGTTTGCCAACCTGGAGGAACGTCGCCACCGCCGCGAGAAGAGCTGGTCCGTTGAAGGCTGGAGCGACACTGTGCACAAGACTGTGCCTTTGATTCAGAACATGCAGTCCCGCATCCTGATTCCCATGCCGTGGTCTCCCGTGGCCTAATTGCACCCCCTGCATTTTGACGTTGCCATCTGTGGCATGCGTCTAGATGAAGCGACCCGTTAGCCGCCGTGGCAATCGTGAGTGTTCCCTTGTTAAAGAATCAAATCAACTGTTCTTCTACCGGGGAGCTACGACTGGGCTGGAGACGGGATGTGATGCGTTTGGTCATGTTTTCGTATTGGTTTTTGGTGAGGGAGAACCTGTATAACAGCAATTTCACACATCTTTCATTAGCACCACTGGATTCAATAGCATATGCACGTTATAGAAGCCCCATTGTATGGCTAAATGTGATTATTGCATGTATTATCTGATATTTGATTATTATTGCTATGTACCTAATCTTGTGGGAAGCTACTGAGCACGGCAGCTAGATTTCGGCGTGTCTGTCCCAGAAGATGGCTGAGGTAGCCAAGTTTGGAGAAGAGGGAAATTAGCGAAGGGTCAGCACTGACTATGCGGACCTTTTCTCGAACGTGCACCTCTTCGGCAGCTGCCTTGCCTGTTTCAGCACGTTTTCCAGACAAGACGGGGCCACTGCCGCCCTTTTTATGACCAAGTGTCGAGCCATCGCCAGACGCATTGTAGTTGAACACGGTGTCCATCTCATCGTGCTCGAGGCGCCGCATTGTGCCGATGGCGAGGCCCAGCTTGACGCCGAAGTGGACCGGCGCGTTAGCGGGCTCAAGCACGCGGAGCCATAGTACGACGCAGCTCTCCTGTATGCCGATGTGGAAGCTGATGGGGTTGCCGGCGTTTGTACTACCGCCGCCGCCGCCGGCGGTTGCTAGACCGGCTGCGAATGCACCGACGACGCCGCCGGCCGAGCCCGAGCCAGGGTTGGTGGTTGTGGTGGTCGTCGCCGCGTCAGTAAAGTGCTGCGTGGGGCAGGAGCTCGTCTGCCAGGTCGGATCGGACTCGGTGAGGGGGCGGCCCTTGAGGAGCGCTGCGGCCTGGTCGAGCGACTCAGCGAGGAGGGTGAGCGAGGAGGCGAGGGTCGCGGCGTCGGGGGCAGGTCGCTGGCTGAGGGTGACGTCGAGCAGGCTGACGGCCTGGGTGAGGTGCGTGTAGAGCAGCTCGAGGGCTGGGATGTAGATGGGCTGGTGGGGGTCGATGGTGAGGGAGGTGGTCGATGTGGTACGGAGTTGGAGGTTCAATGTCTGTGCAGCACAGAGTAAGCGGATGCGCGGGAGCGGTGGTGACAAAAAGTTGCAGCTTGCTGCTGCCTTGCTCCTTGAAGACTTACGCCTTTGACGAGGCGGGTGCCCACGCGGGTGATTGTGCCCTTGACTCTCTCGTTGCGCGGGGTGCTCATGACGAGCGTGCTGCCTGGGTCGACAGGCGCGAGCAGCGCATAGCAGTCCTCGAGGCCGTGCTTGAGGTCGCGGCAGACGTCCAGGCTCTCGGTCGTTATCCAGGCGAGCTCATTTTTCTGCCTTCGGATTAGCATGTTCTCGGATACTAATGATTCCAGTAAAAACAAAGGTAGATTGGCGAACCGAATCGCGGACAAACTTACCAAGACCTCTGCTTCTTTAAGCTTCAGCTCCTCGGGGGAGATAGGTGGCCAGATGGCCAAGGACATGGTGTTTGCAATGAGGCGGCGTGGAAGGTAAACCAGAGCGGACTAAGGAGTCGGCTGCAGAGCAGCGCAGGCAGCCATTTCCCTGCCTGTTCAGATGGCGTTTCTGGAGCAGGCAGACGAGGAAAGGTAGTTGGTGATGGGAGATGGAAGCTTGCCAACCATTGTCGTTGGAAGGTGGGGCAGGTGACGTGACGTGGGGGCAAGTTGGAGGAAAGAGCACCAAGACTGTGCGTTAAAGCAGAGGGGAAATATTTTTCTAAACTTAAAATTGGCACGATCAATCCGCTTACCGATGACCCTTTAGTACAGAAAAAATAACAATTATTTCGATCCATTGTGCGCACATGTGTTCCAAGTCCCTTGGCCACTGTTTTACAGCGCGCAAGTACCCGCGTACTGTGGATCCCAGCACTTAAACTTTTGATTTGAAGGTCGCCAAAGCCGCTCTCTGACTGCAAACTGGCAGACACTTCCGTCGTGACAAAAGTTTTTCCCCTGCGACTCACATTCTCATTAAAACTAGATTGTTGGAAAGCCTCTTCAATAGGCCATCAGAATCGCTTTATCTGCTTGGCTTACACAGCTGCCTGGATTTGCAACGAGATAGGCCTCTAAGTTGCAGCCTACGCAGATCAGGCCGTCATGCCTGGCAGCCACGAGAAGCCCGTGACTGGGCGACAAAGGAGGACCGTCGGGTCTGCTACAAAGCTGGCTCCCATTCCCAAAGGTATTCTATTTCGAGGCTTTCCGGGACTCACATCTCTTCCACGAAACCGCCCACTGACGCCCCTTCCCAGGTTCCACGCTGCGCAAGCGGCCACTCATCCGACGGCCCGCGCCGGCGTCGTCCAAGAATCGCATCATCTACGTATCCTCGAGCACTCCCTTCATGTCCGCCGTCAAGCGCGTGCGCAAGCAGCTGGAGCGGTCCCTCCGGGCAGGCGGGAGCTCGCAGGCCGCGCGCAAGAACGCGTCGCTGCACGCGCGCATCGAGGGCCTGAAGCGCGACGTGGAGAGGGGCGGCGGCGGGGGCGACGAGGCGGGCGGCGGCGGGGGCGCGACCGTGACGCTCATGGGGACCGGGAAGGCGGTCGAGAAGACGCTCTCCCTGGCGAGCTGGTTCGAGCAACAGCCCGACTGCGCGGTGGCGGTCCGGACCAGGACGGTGGCGACGGTGGACGACCTCACGGCGGACGGAGGAGGAGGGCCGGAGGCGGCGACGGTGGAGCAGGGTGAGGAGGACGAGACCCGCCTCCGACGGTTGAGTTGCCTAGAGGTCATCGTGAGCTTGAAGTGAAAGACGCGACACAGTGCAGGGGATGGTGCTGAGGCGGTGCCATTCCACCACAGGGGCAAAGAAAGGCGGAGGGGTGGTGGCACAAAAAGACACGGCAGATTTCACCGGTTCATCTAGGTTGGGTCCTAGCATCTCCCGTGAGAAATGCCCCCCTTCGCTTTTCAAGCAGCGGACTTGCGAAATGAGGCCGCGGAAGCCATGCTTGGCGGAATGCGGAATTCTCGGAGCCTACGGGTGGTGGCGTGTCCAAAGTTGCTCGAAATACCAACGAACCCGCCCCCCCCCCACCACCGCAACCGTAACCACCGAAAGTTGCTGTTGCGATTCTTGCTTGGACCTCGAGAAATCTATTCCGGGCCCCAGGGTCTTGCGTCCGATGTCTACGTCTGATATTCGCAGGAGCGGGTCGTGATTTCGATGCATCATGCAGATAGTTATTGGATCCCCACCAGAATCAGGCGCGGAAGCAGAAGCAGATGCAGGAAGCAAAAAAGACAAGAATCACATAAAGACGCACAACGATGGGTAATTTTCATTTGCCGTGCTATTGCCGGCGTTATTTCTACATGGTATCGCTGATAAGAACAAGACGTATGGGTTTTAGAAACAAAGCAACATGCCAGAAAATAATTCAGAGACTTCGGACCCATTCTTGTTGTCCGTAGAGCCTTGCCAGAGCGCCAATATGCAAATGTAGCCATGTGTCCAGAAAGTAAAAGCAAACTCCGAGTCCATGAAACAGCATTACAGAATACCATGAAAATGTAAATGGTGGCGAGAAGTGGAAAAAAAAATCAAATCGTCGAGAGACTAGGGAGGTGTCTCTCGAGATACCAAAACGCCGGGTGGTGATGAGGCCGGAAAAAGAGAGGAAATTTGGCATGAATGAGTGAGAGTGAGACGTTTACGTGACACGGAAAGCACTGTGAAATAGTTAGCCGGGGGTGCTCGGGAATATCTTGCGAGGCCGAGACTTGTACGCACTCAATAATGAGCTGATCGCCTTTCCATACGCCGCTGGCGACCCAGAGACCGCAGTTGACGAGCTCGGCGTAGCGCTTGTCTGCGGCCTTGACGGTGCAGAACATGCGGAAGCTGTACTGGCGCGGGTCAATGTCCTTGGCCTTGCGAGGGCTCAAGAGGACGTCGAGGACGTTGCAAGGGCCGGAGAGGGAGCCGCGGGTACGCATCTCGAAACTGTGGGAGGTGGCGGGTTAGCGATGGAACAGGCAGAGGCCCAAAAGGTCCGCGTAACTAGGAGAGTACCTACACAGCAGGGGCTGCTTCGTCGGTCTGGAGGACAAAGGCGCCTTCGACGATGCGGATCGGGCGGAAGCCACGGGCTTGGCCCAGGTCATATCCACCAGCCTGTTGTACGAGATTTCGGGTTAGTCGGCAGGTAATAGCGGGAACGGGCAATCATGACGACGTACCAAGACGCGGCCGTTGCCAAAGGTTCCGGACCAGGAGCCGCTGGTGACGGTGATGATCTCCTTGTGGACCCTGCTCTCGGAGCGCGACAGCTCGGGGTTGAGGGCGACGGCGATGCGAAAGTCAAACTCGAGGGCGGGCATCGGGAAGAGCAGGTCGGGGCAGGGAAAGTGGTCGAGGGAGCGCTTGGCGAGCTCCTCGATGCTGCGCGACGTGGGACAGAGGCTGTCGGGGGGGTGTTAGCGAACCGTGACATATCAGTGGTATGTGCATGGCACGACTTCAACATACCCCGCAAGTCGAGGATCCAGCTCGGCGTCTTCGATTTTACGCTTTTTCTGGCAGTGCTGTGATGACGGCGATGTCATCGACTGTGATGATGCAGATGCAACGGCGGCAGCGACGGAGGAGGGTAGACAGGCGGCGCTGCTGGCGTCCCAGCACCCTCCGAATGTGAAGCCGCCGGCGTCCTCGCCTTGCCGGCTGGTGCCGTCGTTTCCGGAACTGGTTATGGGCGTAGGAGCATCGGTGCCCTGGGAGTTTGTCGGCACCGAGGAGGCGTCTGTGTCGGTGGCCATGACGGCGGTGGCCATGGCGGGTTGTCGCTCTGTGGTGATGTTATGTGTGTTGTTGCAGATAGAAGAAGGCGAAGGAAGAGATGGAAATGTGAAGCGTCGATGAAGTGAAGAAGAAGGAGCCCGACACCAGGATTGTCCAAAAAATACAAATTTAAATTTGTCGGAAAAAACTGTATACAAAGGTGTGTCACCTTCTTTCAGGTCTGGGTGGGCGGCCGAAGCGGAAAGTGGGCTGTATAAGTAGGCTGAACACGGTATCGCCACTGGCTTTGGTTGCTAGTCGACGATGGCGATGGATGGACCTCTATGTTGAGGATGGCGAATGTCGTCGTCTCGGGATGCTATCTCGGCCGATGCAGTGGATGAAGAGATGGAGATGTATGTTGGGCTTCGTGGCTGCTGTGCAGGGCACAAGGTCGGAGCTGAAAGGAGAAAGAGGAGGGGGAAGAAAGGTAGTGTGAGGCTTTGGTGGTTTGCGGCTGGCCCGTCATGCGGCGGGCATCAGGGCGCTTTTGTGTAAAACGAATAGCAAAGAGGTAAAGCGGAGCCTCTTTCAGTTCCCGTTTTCTGGCCAGGCTTGCTTTTCTAGTTATTCCTTCCAGCTGGGAGGGAGGGGGGTGTGAGGTCGTTGCCACCTCTTGGGGAAGAAGGGGGGGTTTGCGGCTGGCTGGGTGTGTCAAGAGAGGGCGAGAGGGCGAGAGGGCGAGAGCGAGCGGAACCGTGATGAGGAGAGGGGGACAGGCAGTGAGAGGGTGATGAGAGTGATGAATGCTGAGTGAGTGTGTATGCTGGGCCCTTTGCTGGTCCTGGGGTCAAAATGGGCTGGGCGGACTTCGGGGGTGTCAAAGCCGGCGAGGCCGCTGGAGCGAGAACTGGGCCTGTTTTGCGCTCTTGTCAGGCCAGTTCTTGGCTCTTCCCTCTCAGTGAGCTAACGTTAGGCGTTAGGTAGCCCGTAGCTTAACAGGGGAAGGGAGCTAGGCGTTAACGACCACCAGGCTCGCGGTCAACGAGTCGAAACTCCACTGCCAGAAGGCTAGGCAAAGACGAAGGCGAGGCAGGGGGGAGGGCGTGAGGTCGAGTCCGTTAGTTCTCCGAGGGGGGCGTGTTAGGGCGATGACGATTGGTATCAAGGAGAAGCAGACGGAGGGGGGGTGTATGCTTGTTTGCTGCTTGTCTGCAGGATGGGAAATAATCAGCCCGACAAAGGGAACCACACCGAGAGCCCGTCTGAGCTGTGCGTATGTAGATAAATCCTGACTTATACCAATGTGCTTGTAGGTATTTCAGATTGACTTTCCCGGGAATCCGGATTGTTCAGAGGGGCCGCGAAATGCGTAATGTCGCGGCAAGATGAAGGAATGGAAATGGATACGCTTGTAATGTGATTGGAAGGAAGCGAGTCAGTTTTCAATATGACAAGTCAAAGGACGTCAAGGCCAGAGTTGAAAAGCAGGGCTTTTTGTATTGTACAACTTGCTCTCTTCCTTGCATTTACCGCATTGTTAGCAGTTCCGTTGTTTTCCTAGTGGTTGGGCGATTGGGGTGACTTGTGGACTGATGTCTCGTAGAGTGGTGAGATTTACAACTTAGTCTTGTCAACTCCCCGCAAACTCGGACGAGACAAGTAATGATGGCGTCTGGCTTGATGGAAAGTGCGAGCGATGAAGGAGAGCAAGATGGCAAGCAAGGAAGGGATGATGTGCTACAGGGTATACCTCTTGCTGCAATAGCATCACCAGGAGCAAAAGTATGCAGCAAAGTTGCAGCAGGGAGGCAAGGCAGACGAAGCACAGATGGGGGGGGTGCAAGACACGAACAATATCCGGCCTCGATCTCCGAAACCGATGTTGAGAGGAAAAAAGGGCCTCGGAGATTCAGCCAGCCATCGTCTTTCCTTTTCGTTTGATATACGGATACTCTGGTGCAAGTCTGACACGGCAAAAAAGGCGACTTCCGGAGCGGGTGTCAGTCATTCCCTGGTGGCGTGTTACTATGGATAGATTCGGAAAGACTCCAGACTCCAGACGAGTTTTTCTTTCCTCTTCACTACGAATTATTCACGGCCAAGACAAGAAAATCTCCCGCTTCCGAAACTTTCATCTTCATCACGAACGCAAACGATTCAACTCGAAGCCATGGGACCATTTCGACGCCCCCGAGTCGGCCGTCCCTCATCTGCTGATTATTGTTAGGCGAGTTTGCGCCAAGCAATATAAGACGGCGAGTTGTGGAACGATGGGCTGGGCGCGCGTGCTGAGGCGGGCTGTTCGCTCATCGCAAGGTTTACCAGCAAAGTTGCCAGGACATCGGGCAGGTCAGACAAAGATGTCTCCGCATGATCCCACAACTTGCTATTAGTAAAGGTCAATGCCAGATCTGAATTGAAGGAGATGTGTGAGATTGAAGGGCAGTTGACCTGCTTGTCGTACCACTAACTAGTTAGAGGCCACACGAGCCCTGAAACGAGTTCAGCCAGCCCTCTTTCCAGCTTCCCTTTCTCTACTACTTGGGCAGGCTACGCCGCTTCTTATTAGCGTTGGTCTTGAAGCCTCCTGGTCCTCTCGGTTGAAGTTGTTATTGGGTGTCTCTGGATCCGAAAACTCCGGACGGCCGGGCTGAGACCCTGAGACTAGTTAACTTCGGTTTTACGGCCTTGTCGTTGGTTGTCGACGGGGCCTTGCTTCTAATCATCACGGCGTTTCGGCTTTGTCTTGCTTGGTCACGGCTGAGGAATCCAAATTTTGGAACTAACTATCAGGCAAGACGGTCGTCAGTGGTACTTGACGGGAGATGGATTTGCCAGATTGGGCTTTCAAATCAGCCCCCGAGCCGGCAAAGTGCAATCAATTTGTCTGCAGCTTCTGACCGCAAGTAAGTGTAGTACTAGTTACCTCCCTAAATACCTCCAGCGCATATCCATACTGTTTGCCTTCTCCGCACCGTCTCGGAGAAGCGAGCATGTATGATGATTATCTTGCATGGTGGCTTATTATTCTCTTTGCTATTACTTTTTTAGAATGAGATGGCCCTCCCCAACTTTACAGTGACATCCTGACCACTTCTTTTTACCCATCACCGGCCTATACTTTTCCAATCATCCTATCAGTGCTTACTGTTTCGGAGGACCTATCCGTAGGGCCCCCTACTAGCCTGACTTTTGCCGCGTCAGGCAGGCCTAGAGGCGAAGTCCAAGTAGTGCACAACCAGTTACGGTTGGCCGTCATCTCCTAGAAGCATGCCAGTAATTACTGCCAGACTGTGACAGGGCCTACGGACAAGCGACAGAGGGCGGGTCGGACGACAAAAACCTCTGCCTGACCAATTGCTCGCACTTCCGACACCCTGGTCAGCGGGTATGAGGGTATGCGGGTAAATGGACTGCTAGATTGTCACAGTCTTTTTGAGCAAGCAATTACACAAAGGAACGACCTTGCTGACTCAACCGTTGATAGAGTTCGGCCGACAAATAGGGCCGCGTCACAGGCACCTCGGAGCTGAGAACGCGGCCCAACAAAAAAAAAAAAAAAAAAAAAAAAAAAAGGCAAGGCCCCTGGAGTGAAGCAGGGCACCGGCTGGTTAACGTTAGTGGTCAGTGGCCATGTACGCATACGTAGGTAATCTGGTGGTCACTGAAGCAGAGAAAGCATGACACGCATCATGTCCCCTTGTCTTGGCACTGACTCAAACTGCGTCTAGTTATAACCTACCTGCCCTGATTTCTACGGAATATACTTATACTGCGCTCGAATGTGCATCCGTCATCCTTTGTTAAAATCATGTCCGCAACTCCGAGGGTGACACGGCAGCGATGAACGCCACAACACTGCGAGATGTCCGGCTCCGTGGGTGGCATTCATTCGGAGGAGGCTTCGGCCCCGAAGCAGCCACGAGTTGGAAGCTGGTAAATGCCCGCGGTTCTTTTCAAAGGAACAAAACTTCCACCTGTGTGTACGATTACTGTCCGACACTGTTCAGCCATGTCCTCTGACGCGCGCCTGCCTGTTTCCAAGCCGGAAAAATTCCGCTGCACTGCCAGCTTATTGACCGTACGAGCATTACGAATTTACGAACGAGGAAAGAATTAGGTTAGGGCCGTCCGTCCATCCCTTGGGGGGTGTCCGCTGGCTTCACCGTTGGTAGCGTCACAGGGCCAGTAAGGTTGACGGAGATACTGCTCAACTCAGGTTGGTTCCAACCCTGACTGCTGCCAGTGTCCAAGCAATGACAGGGCCGTCATTACAAGGCATAACGAGCCTTGTAAAACAGTGTACAAATAGGGCCTGGTTCGACACCACCACCTCGGGGGGTGGCGTCTTCTAGGCTCCTTGGCCAATGTAACCCTCGATCAGCCCCAGCGACGGGCCAGAATCTACTACCGCATGTCCGGCGGTCCTTCTTGGTGGTTCCTACTGAAGCTTGAACCCTCTGTACGCAGTTGCTTGTGCAGCAAACTTGCAACCTGTTCATACTCACCAATATCACTCCTCGACTGAGAACATACAATGGAGGAAATGACCCGGGCCTTTATTGCATAACCCCCCAACCAACTAACTACTCTTCAGCCGCTCCTCTCTCCCCCATGCTCCCGTTGATTTGAGTGGCTGCTGGCCCGCACATCCAGATGCAGCTCGCCTTTTCAGCTCCTCCCAGCTGGGAAGCTGCAAAACAAAGCCCTCCCCCCCAGCCAGCGGCTTGTCTGTGGTTTGCCTGTCCTTATTATTCTGACAACTTGCTGCGGGCCCGAGGCTGCGATACGGATCTAATCCTTGCCTCTTTTGGAGAGACAAGCGGGATGGCCAATCTCCTCAGTTCCCGGCCTCTCCCCGCCTTCCCCCCGCGACAAGGCCATGGGCCCTTTCATATGTCGAGGAAGCTCAAACCACGCGATTTTGTCGACAAGATACCACATGCCCTTCCCCCCTGTCTCCCCTCTCAAGAAGCGGGCTGTGCATGCAGATGCAAGCCCCCGGACATGCCTCTCCTCTTCTCTTCTCCCTCTTTTGGGCCCGTTGTTG